CCGCACCTCCGGTGGAGTCACCCGTCACTGCTCAGGCCGACATTGTAGAAACGCCGTCCACCATTGACGTGTCGGACGCGCATGTGGACGTGGCTGCTGTCCCCGATGAAGCCGTTGTGGAGTCGACTCCAATCGTTGCCGTCGAAGCCGCGCTCGCAACCGATGCTGAAGTCGCAGTGGACGTCGTGGACACCCCGCCTTCTAGTGCGGTATCCGAAGTGGCTCCAACGTTAGTCGCCGAACCGGTGGCCGTGGCCGAGCCAGTGGACGGGCCAGTCGCTGCGGTGGATTCTCCAGTGGCTGATATCGAGCGATCGAAGGCCGCACCTCCGGTGGAGTCACCCGTCACTGCTCAGGCCGACATTGTAGAAACGCCGTCCACCATTGACGTGTCGGACGCGCATGTGGACGTGGCTGCTGTCCCCGATGAAGCCGTTGTGGAGTCGACTCCAATCGTTGCCGTCGAAGCCGCGCTCGCAACCGATGCTGAAGTCGCAGTGGACGTCGTGGACACCCCACGTTCTAGTGCGGTATCCGAAGTGGCTCCAACGTTAGTCGCCGAACCGGTGGCCGTGGCCGAGCCAGTGGACGGGCCAGTCGCTGCGGTGGATTCACCATTGACAGACATCGAGCGATCGGAAGCCGCACCTCCGGTGGAGTCACCCGTCACTGCTCAGGCCGACATTGTACAAACGCCGTCCACCATTGACGGGTCGGACGCGCATGTGGACGTGGCTTCTTTTTCGGAGGATTCCTTGAATCAAGCCGGTGGAGTTGAGAGGGAATGTATGACGGCTGTGGAAGAGACAATCAAGCCCAATGGCGTAATGAGCTCGCAAAATTCCGCCGTGTGGGCTGCCCTTGAATCGCCAATGAATGCAACCTTACAAGCGAAAGCAAATTTGGGTTTGTGCGCCTTTTTGGTGCGTTTGATTCTTACTGCTGACTGTCGGTTTGTAGGTGAAATGCTAAACTCTACCGTTGGAGGGAAGGAGGTGGCAGTTAGCCCATTGCCAGAATTCTTGTTTGCAATGAAATCCCCCGACATAGTGCCACAAAAGTTGCTTCGCCCTCAGCAGTCGTCCACATTGGAGTCGAAAAAACCTCTCCCAGGGTATGCTGTTCGTGGGCTGTCATTTAGCAGCAGCGAAGACTCAATGGACGAAGCTCCGGAACCTGTGATTCCGCCTACAAACTCGTCGCAATCGGAAGCTATTGCGACGACATCACAAGCGTCCATTGGGTAAAACTGAACATGCCAACGTTCAGAACTATCCTAACAAGGTTGCATTGCCTAGGCTGAAAACTCGGCTCATGGGGTGGTGGAAGGACAATTAGCCCGCCCTGGTTGTTAGATCGTAGCCCTTATTTATTGTCGTCTTGAACGACGCTCAATTTAATCTATTTTAATCTTGATCACGGGCCTTGAGCAGGCAATAGATGGATACACAGGTGTGCATTGCGATAACGTGCGATGACTATCGCGAAATATTCTCGTCGATAACTCGACAGTACAGTAGTTGGCAGCTTGTCCTGCCCGGATGTCCTTATCGAGTGTATCATCCGTGCCGTCAGGAACTACAGCAACAACTGATTCATTCGCTCCGGTGAACTAGCGATCTGGTAGTATGTAGTAGCAGGCTACAGTTTGACATTTTAGGACTGTAGATATCATGGGGCCTTGAACCATCGCGTCCACCAAATTCAGCTATAACTAAAGTAGTCGAATATGCTACGATGATGCCATCAGCCTCAACCGTCACATACAGTACTCTGAAAATGGTAGACGCGAATAATCAAGTTAAGTAGAACTAAAATATACCACTGACTCATTCAAATAGCGTGGTGGGTCGTTCGAGATAGTTGGTGCAGATGGCCCCAATAGAAAGAAAGGGTCATCCGTGGCAACGAGTGGCGTGACGATGCAGGATTCGAGGTCATAGTTCACTTCCGGATGCAACTCGATGGAGGGCGCGACTGCATGGGCCTTCTTCCAAGCTTCACTCACTTGTTTTCTCACTTGACGAGGCTTCACAGGTACTGGGGCGTCCACAGGGACGAGTTGGGACGCATCGTAGCGGCCAGTGGTGTTGGGCGGCGGAAGGTGACGCATGATATCTTGCCTATCGACAGATTCCAGCTCAAACGAGTCCAGGGACGGAGCATGGTCTATAAGACGTTGGATTTCATGTTCCAGGCGAGTAGTCGATTGTTTTTGTGTGTGGCTGCCGCCAGTGTCTACAACGACAGTGTCCACTTGATGGGCAAAGTGAAGTGTGCGTTCAGGGTTTAAGAAGTCAGCGTCCAGGCGACGAGCACGCAACATATGTTGCTGCTTTGGGGTCGTATGCAGGGGGTATCGCGGTGCAGGATGCTGCGCCGGGGGTGCGGTTGTCCGTGGGCCCAAGTCATCGGCGTCGTCACTCACCATGTCAAGCCAACTAGTATTAATAATATTTTTAGCATTTGATTGGTGTAATCCAGTTCATTTCGTCCAATCCATGGTTCACTTCGATTTCTCATTTGTTGAGCCACTTTAGAGCATCTCCACTGAGTTTTGTCAATTAACAACTTATGACGCATAATCTCGGTCACAACTACCCTCGGCAAACTACTCAAACTACAATGTTAACACCAATATTTTTAGTTATTGAATCGACAAGCCTAGTCTTGTCCGTACAAAAACAGGACACTAAATAGGAACACCCCCGTCATCATGGAAAAGACCGACGCATAGTACGGGTACGCTGCCGGCAAGAACCGGTCGTACTCGTCGTGCTTGTAGGGCCGCACGCTCACTTGGGTGGTCCAGTGCAGCACCGAGTAGCCCACTCGGCGGTACATGACGCGGAACTGGAAGATGCCATACACGTCTGGGGTCGCAAACGTCACGGCAAAGTGGCCGCGGTCGTCGTGGGCCAACGTCTTCCGAACGTACGGATCCAACATGACAAACTCGAGCTGCATGTCGTCGGCCGCAAACGGCATCCATGTCCCGTCGTCTTGTCGTTCGTGGACGTCAAATGAATACGTGACGTTGTCCTTGATGCGATACACCTAGTAGTGCACCTTGTGAGACTTACCAAATGTTCTGGGAATCAATCACCCACGAGGGAATTCCGGGCCACTTCGGCGTCGGGGTACAGCGTCAGTGGCTGGTCGGGGCGGTCAATCGGCCTGAGCATGGCGTCTGGCGGCGTGCCGTCCTCCTTCGTGTGGCGGACGTTGGTCACGCGCAGCACCCCACGCTCGCCAAATGTCCACTTTGTCACCGCCTCGACAAAGTCTCCGTTCCCGTAGCTGGATGAGTAGTACGCATCTTTGAAGAGGTCCACAGAGCCAGAGAAGACGACCCGTGCGTTGTTCCTCGCTTGAATGGCCGCGACGAGGCTAACGTTCGTGCCAAAGTTTGACGAGGCGCGGTCAATGGGGCGTTTCGTGGGGGAGGCCGAGTACGAAGTTGGCTCGGCGGCCAAGACTGTCAACGCAAGTACGTTGGAAGGATCGACTGACATGCCAACGCCGTTGAAGAAAATGGGCTTGGAAGGTCGGCCAACAACCAGTGGGAACTGGGTCCATTGCCGGGATGTCAGATGAGAGTGGTAGATGTCGGTCTTGTCGCCAACATGACGCACATGGTCCATCACGACCGTGCCTTTCTTGTCAAACTGGACCCCAGAGGCCGCCGCGAATTGGCGTAACATCGACGACACCCGTATACTTCCGGCAACAAGCACGTTGCCGCCTTGCTCAACAAACGACAAGAGCGCATCCTGTTGGAGTGAGTTCGTTCCCAACGTCTTGAGGGATGGGGCCAAGATCACAACGTTGTCATACTGCCGCACACCATACTTAGCAAGGGTGAAATTTGACGACGCCTGGTCGAAGATGGCCAAGTGATGGCCTCGTGCTTGCAAATGGCTAATGTATGAGCCAAAGCTATTCAAATCGGCGCTTTCCCTCTCGTCGAGAAAGATAGCGACCCGGGAGCCCTGTGCTACGACTGCCAACAGCAGCCACGCCACCAGCACCAGCGGCTGATGAATCCTTGTCATCTTCAGAGTGTGCGTGGGGGGTACTTTGATTTTACGTATAAGCTTGACAGTATCCGGATAACATACACCTCAATTGAGGACATTTGACACTTCTGACCGACCATAAATAAGTTCTTGAGCACTACTACACTACTGTTGGAGACGTGGAGGCCGTGGAGGCGTTCGATGAATCTACACCGGATGAGACGAACGAACACGACAAGGACCGCCGAGCGGCAAGATGGAGCTGTGAAGCACGCTTGATCATGAGTTCCGAGTGGAAGCGATTCCATCGTGCCCGAACGAGAGCTTGCCGCTTCTTGGGTAATGGCAGCACATGCACGAGGAAGTCGGAGATGTATGCTGCGCCGGTGGGTCGAAAGAGTTCCTCAAGAAAGGCAAAGAACGTGGCGCCAGGCATGCGAGACGTGCCGTACTGCTTGGAGGTCCATTGGAAACGCTGAAACCGTTTAGGATTTTGTTCACAGGCAAGCCACACGGCGTCCAAAATCGCTTGCTGCAGCACCTCTGCGGTCATGTCTTCTGAATCCACAACAGTAATGACGTTGTTCTCGACTACGTGCGCCATGGAGCGGACAAATCGTTTGTCCATGACCATCCAGTCTTGTTGCGACAGCTTTGGTTGCATTTGAGACGACAACGGGGCAAGTGAGCGTAAAATGCGGTAGTGACCATGGATGTACTGGGACGTTGGGAGAAGGTAGCTCCACATGAGATGCCGCGGGGGGCCATCTACGAGTGGCGGCGGCGATTTCCATGGCACCACAGTCCGGACAGTGTGTCGGTGGTCGTTGGTGACGAGGATGATGGTGAGATTCAGCATCGTAGCCAGGGTTTGAAGGGCCAAAGCTCCCACGCGCACTTGAGTCGGCTTCTTGGCAACGTGAAACGCCTTTTTCACATCAATGACATTCATCCCGACGTGGGAAGCGATGGCTTCGGCATGTAAAATACCGTAGTTGGTCATGTACCTCCTCAGTTTCTCCGCGGCTGCCGTCGCTGGCATCCTGTGTATTGCTCCCTTGTGGCGCAATTTGTCTAGACGTTCGAGGGACGCCAGCTCGAGCTCCATGTCTTCAATGGTGTATAGTTCTTGGACAAGGCACAAGTATGCGGTGCGAACATCACAGCTGCTATCGTCATCCTCGGGGATGCCTGGCAGGTCCCACGGAACGATTTGGAGATGCTTGGAGGTCAAGTACGCTTGCATGTTGCGGTGGCCTTCTACGAGGGATTGGAAGTGGCATTTGCAACCGTATGTGGAACACAGGAGGATGCCACGGCTCGCATCGTCCAAGAGATGGCTCTCAAGCACGTCGAGTTTATCCTTTTCCACCGCCCCCAACGATGGATTCCACACCGTCACGTGGAGCTGGGTGCCAAACCCAGCGTCAAAGTTGCAGAAGTACCGCATATACGGGGGTGCGTGGATGTCCAGGAAATGGAGCAAGCGCAACGACGTGGCGCACACGGCTTGCAAATACGCTTCCAATTCCCCTTGGCGCTGGACCATGAAAGACTTGGTCTTGTGCTGAAAGAGCCACCGCTTTCGACGATGCAGCGGTAGTGGCGCGATGGCTACCATCGGATGTTGCTCGACAACATCCTTCGTTCCGGTTGACGTCGGCGTGGACTTTCGCCACCATGAAAACAGAGGCAGGGAAGTTGCGGGTGCAGTCGACTCGACGACGACGTCGAGGGGGGTTGTTTTGGGGGCGGAGGCTTTGTGCATGGGGATTTGCCGCAATTGGTAGTCCAGCACGCGGAACTCATCAAAGGACCGCCACGTCGTCCACGACGACTGAAACGCCATGTGGGGGTACTGGCGGCAGGCAAACACCATTTCCGTTGAGATGGCGTATTCTGGCTGTTCCATGATCGAGGCATCGTATCGACATGTGTGCACGTGCACTGTGCACTTATGAATCGTTCGGATGTCGGGGAGTCGAATGACGATGCGCTGGTGGCTCCTTGGGCGAAGCCACCGCGTCGCGGCTGTCCTTTGGAGGGATACTCTCGACCCCGACAATGGTGCCAGCGATGAGGGCGACGGTGTCGGGGTCATGTCTGTCGAAGGTGATGTCAATTTGTAAGCACTGGGTGGCGCCAAGCTTTTACGTACCTTGGTATCACTAGCGTGAAAACTCATCCCAAACGGCTCTCGGGCATGTAACGCTTCATCTGCCTTGAATTCCTGTCGTGGCAGCTGTGTGACATGCAGCAAGCACTACGAGACACACAGCACATCTGAACTCGATTGTCTTGGGCGGAATAGAGTACAGTACGTTCACGACAGCGCAATTGTAGTGGGTGTGTGAACGAGGTGAGTACCAGTGGGAGTACTGTAACGTGAAGTCGACCAGTATGAATGCCGACCTGATGCAGTTCATCACACAATTTTCACCTTGGCTTCATTCGCTGGTGCATGAGCAGGGGTGGCAACACATTCAAACCGAACGATAAGTACTGTAGCTCGCTCCGTCTTCCGGGTGTCAGAAAGTGTTTATATTGAATTGTATTATTTTTATTTACAGCACAACGTAATTGCTTGTATTTGCCATGTCGTCTTCTTCGGGCATCGTCCACGACGTTTTGCCACACGAAGGATTGTAGTAGTACATTTTGCCCGACACTTTCGAGTGCACGGACGTCCACCCCTCTGGATGGGCATCATCAGCGCCGGTGGAAGTCGCAGGGGTGAAGCTGCTGTCTTCCAAGAAGCTCACAAACCCACCACGCGTGGACTCTGGAAACGGCGGCGGCGATGATTCCTCGGACGAGGAAGCCGCCAACAAGGGGGGGCAAGGAGGGGGGGGGTCGTCGTGGGTAAGCCCTTCCACAAGCTTGACATCCATGACTTTCGTGGACGTTACTTGCACACGGTCCATTTGGTGCTGCAGTTGCTTGAAGTTCTCGTTGATTCTGTCCATGGCGTCCAACAACGTCTGGTCGGGTTGTTCCGGCGCGGCGGCGGGGTCGGTGGTCTTTTTGCTCTCGACCTTCTCCAGCGTTTGGATCTTTTCGTTCATGGCTTCGTTCATGTGATTCAGCTGAATCGTGCCTTCTTGCACCGTTTCCATCTTGTGCTGGAGCCGGTCAATTTCGGCGTTGAGTTTGAGCACGACAAACAAATTCTCCACGTCCGGCATGGTGTCCATCGCCGACGACGACGTTGTCCGAGTCGGCGGCGCCACGTATTCCATCGATATCCGGGTCATTTGGTCCTGTTCTTGCTCTTCCAGTTTCACCGCTGTGACGTGCATCGACGCTTGGACACTTGACATGCCGCGATCGATTTCGGCCAACGTCATTCTCGTGGCTTCCAAGTAATCCTCGGCCGCCATGTGGGACGGCCGGTACGCCCAGCGGGCATCAACGTCTTCCTCGTCCTCTTCTACTTCGTCATCAGGAACAGTCGACACGGCGTGCACCACATGCACACACGACGGGTCCATAAAACTGGACAAATCGCTCAAGTCGCTGTTGTTGGTCGTCTCCACGACCACCGCCCCCTCGTGGCGATGGTACTGGTCGTCGTCGTACGCGTCCACGTCTAACTCGCTCATGCGCTCCGACATTTCCGAGTTGCGCACGGTCATGTCGCTCAGCGCTTCGCTGACCCTACCGAGGTCGTGGGGTTGGTTGGTGGCTTCAGGCTGCTGCACGATGGACAAGTCATGCAATGCCAACAGCCCGAGGCTCACCACGTCCACAGAGCTGGCTACCGACTGTTGCTTAAAATGGCTCACTCCTAAGTCGAGGCCTTCTCGCGGCGGCGGTCCAAGTTGTTCTATATACACACATATATGCGTTATTACAGTGACAGATGGAAGCAACGTACGGTCGCCTTCGGTGGATGTGTCTTGAATCGTGGTCGTGGACGGCCTAGTGGACGCATTGGACGCCACGGACGTGCGCGTGGTGCTGCTGGTGAATCGCTGGTTGTCGCTGATTCTGCCATTGGAATCACGATTGTAATGATGGGACGCCGAGAGGGGCGTGGTGGGGCCAAACGAGCCGTGGCGATGGGACGGGTCGTACATTTCCGACTGGCTGCGTCGGTAGGCGGCGACGGGCACATGAAGAGTCGGATGGTTGTTGGAGGAGGAGGGTTGAGGGTGCGGATGCGGCCAGTCCGGCGTCGACTGGGAGTGAAGAAACGACCCGTTGTCACTCGCCCGGATCGACGACGAAAGCGAGCCGCGATTGTGGTTTGTCTGTCGTGACGTGATCGAATTATTGTGGGGACTGTGAAGGCTGCCGGCGCTGGATGGCCGACTGGCGAGGGACGAGTTGTTAGGAGTGTGGAGCGCCGTGGACCGGGCTTGGATGTTGCACCCGATGCACACGCGGGTCTTGGTGCGCTTAGGACCGATCAACTGCACGAGGCTACATTGGTTGCACACGACTTCACCACATGCTTGGCAGTTGTATTTTTTCCTGACGAGGGAAAACCCCCTCGTGCAGATGCCGCAGAATGAGCGCTTGCTATGCAAGTTGGTGAGCAACTATTCGTGGATTGGGCAAGGTGGCTAGTGGGCTGTACCTGGCGGGAACGTAATGGTGGGGCGCGACCCATTGCAACGTACTTAGCCGCTGCTGCTCAAAGAAATCCCGAATAGATTGTCCCCGCAGCGCGGCCAAGTCGGACATTTTAGTCACGACCCACGCCGGCAGCCTGCCGTTCGGGTCCCCCAGCACCATCGACCGAAGCTCGACTTGGAAGCTGGACAGCGGGGACGACGACGAAGATCCGTTCGAGAGGATACTCGCGCGGGACGAGCTGTTGGTCGAGTCGAGACTGTGGAACGTGTGCATGTTGAACGTCTTGGCCCGCACAAACCGATGCGAGTCTTCGAAGGATGGAAAGTTGAACAGGTCGATCGACTTGGACAGCCGAATGCCCACGCGCACGTTCTGATCGTCCACGAACGAGTCCACAAGCTACAAGGATGCCGTCAGCACGGGTTGAAGGAAGTTTCGTCAGGTACCTCAATGTAGACGTAGTCGCGGGGTTTGGTCGGGGTTGCTACAGCCTTGAGGCAGTGCCACTTTATGCACACAAAGCGCTGAGATGTGTATTCGGAGGAAATGTCCCGAGGATGCAGGACATGGAGCACGGCGCCATCGAGGAATTCAGAGCCATGGAGGGCTGTTTCCCGCTCCCGGAACATCTCTGTGGTTTCCGTGATGAAGTGGTCCATCATTTCGTCGAAGGACGCATTCACTGTGCACACTGTTCGAACGGCAGCTTGGTTGGACAAGCTATTGATGTCGTCAGCAGCGCGGGAGATGACGACGTCGGCTTTTTGTTTGACAGGTTGCCAGCGGATGTTGCCGAGACCGTTGATCAAGCAAAGCGCATTGTCCACCGCTTCGTCGACGTAGTTGATGTACGCCTCGATCTCGTCTCGCCTTAGTGGAGGCAGCGACGACAGCGAGTCTGCGAAGGCGCTCGGACGCGGCGCCGGCAGAATCGTCATGGCCGCCAGCAATCACTGCCAAAGTCAGTTCCAGCAATTACTGCGTTGCGTGATGGCAGAACGCTCTGGTCATAGACGACAAAACCATGTGGTGATGCCGATAGGAAAAATCCCCCCATCCCGCTGGTGGAGTTTGTGCTGGGGATTAAAGGTCGTACAATCCAAAATCGCAGGCGAATTCAAAGATTCCTACAACCGTCCTTGCGACCCCTCGGTGCGTCGCTATACAACATTTGTGCAGTGGAATAACCGCGCTGCCCATACCTCGCTTGAAGCGATTCATCATGGGAGTTCAATGTTTGTACCAGGCGAAAAGTGGGTACAACTAGGCAAATGGGGAAAACTCCTCATTGGGAAAATGGGGTTTTACCAAAATCGATGGCATAGAAATTGACCAATCAAACCCACAAATATGAATAAAACCTAGCATCCGATTTGTATTTGGTTTCTACATTCGAACCCACACATGAGAAAACGCACGTTTGTATGTGTTAGTTTGCTGGCTATAGTATTCTAGCCTCATTTGGAATGACAGTTCACTGGTTTATAGTCGTCGTGCTCGAAGATGGGTTTGCAGCAGATCCAAAGTACTACGCTGTGCTAACTTTAACGTACACGATAGTCGAGTAATAAAATGGAGTAACATACGTATAAAATTAATCCGAGCTCGGAGCATACAATCTGGTATACTACGTAGTACTTCGAAGTCCTACGTGGCACTTTGATTAATAATAGTAGAATTATTTACCGTTAATTAATTCTACAGTGTACAGTACATATTTCTGTTTTGAAAAACGCAGGCAAAATACAGTATGGTACGAAATATAGCATACAACTAACTGTTCGTCTATGATAGGAATTGTATTTACTCTTCAGCCCCTTCTTCAGGCGGCGACGGGTCCACGAGCACGTCCGGCTGTTCGACCAAATTCGTGAATTTGAGCACATTCGTATCTCCTTCGACGGCGACGCCAAAGTCTGTCGCCAGCTTTCGTGGCAATTGAATTTGGTGGTCCACCCCGAACTTTGCTTTGAGGCCATACCCCACGTACACGTTGAGGAATTTTTTGCCGACGCCGATGCTCACGGCTCCAGGCCATGTCAAGGATCGCGCGATGGCCAATTCTCCTACCGCCGCCGACGTCGTGGACGGCAAGCGGTCGACCCGCCACGAACCGGGCTTGTCTTCGGAAATAGCTCGAAGGGGCTCTGCGAACTCCTCGCCTTCCCACGGAACTTCTTCGCCGTCGTCATTGGTATTCGGGGGCAATGGAGTCGACCGGCCGTACTTTTCGTTGATTTCTTTCGTGTAATGCACCCAGTTACTCGGGTCTCCGAGCTCCGCCGCGGTTTTTGGTTCGGGGGCTTCTTCGGGAACTTCCAGTTCCCCTTCTTCCGACACGATGAAGAAGCCGGCGGGGCACAGAACTGTGCCAGCATTAATACGAGCAATTTGTGCGCGAATAAAGTTCTTCTCCGTGCCAGGAAACGGGGGGTGGCCATGGACCTACAGTAGTACCATGTGAATAAGAATCACGACAACGAGTAGCAAGTACCTTTCCCTCCAAGTCATCGTGAATGAACCGACGCAACGCCCGCGCGGCGACGATTTGGTCGCGACGCACGGGTGGCAGCTTGGTCCATTGATACGACCCTGACGCACTCATTAGCTTGCAATCTCATAAAAGAAGTCCCCTACCATCATCTTTGAGAACCCAATATGTGTTCTTGTTCAGCCCATTCGCCCCTTCTTCCGCCGCGGCGTCTTCAGGTTCATATGGCTCCGGAAGTTCGCCTTCAGCTACGTAAAAGTCCGCGGTCGTGCCAAGCAACTTGCCCCAGAAGCGCAACTTGGTCGTGCCGTTCAAACTCGCCAGCTTTTGAAGGGCCAACGACAGGCGAAACGTTTCCGCCTTGGAGAAACCAATGCCCGCCCATTCAAACATGTTGGCTTCATCCAACAGGTCCGATACGCCACTGGGGGTATCTTGGGCGATCTCTCCATCTTCTGTTTGGATCTGGTGGACGACATATCATCGACAGTTGAAGTGGTGGTTATACCTTGAGCAGTCCTATGGCCGACTTGCTCCAAGCTTCTTGGGCGGACTTCTACACATGACACGTTTGCAGTTTCGTCTGAGGATGTGGAGCATAGAAAGTTGATTTACTGCTTCTGCCTCTGCCGTAATTTCTCCGTTGTTCGGTGGTTCACCTCGATTAAAGCGCTCTTGGCGAACACTGCAGGACAAGTGCTCAAACATGGTGGTCGCATCAATGGGGCGCTCCACGAGTAGCTTCAGAAGGACTTCTGACAAATGGTCATATAAGTTGACACCACCGCGCTCTTCCTTCAAATAGGCCTTGGCCTCATCCAGCGTCAGGTTTGTGCTTGCCATGTTCGTGATGCTGCCTGCCTGCAAGTATTCGCAATGTGACCTTTCCGGGCGAAACCACTCGATGTGGCCTGTGATTGGTGCATTCATTATCCAGATAACATCCGGATAGTATTGAATAATATCGGAATCGCGCCAAAAGTACACGCGGGAGTACCGCGGTCACATGAACTTCTCGCAGTCCCAGGGCGGCGATCGCGAAGGCCGAGGACGTCGATTGCAGAGGACCAAGGAATGGGAGTGTCAGGTGTGTACGTTGCTGAACACGTACAAGCGGAAGACATGCGCGGCATGTCTGACCGAAAGGGAAGTGTCACCTGATCGCTTATCCCAAACTGTACCGTCCACGCAGCCAACGAGGAAACGCATTCGGCTACGTCGATCGTCACAGGCCAACTCGCAAGACGTAGATCGTGATTCCAATGATGATGACGACCTCGACAACCTTCCATTGAAACCAAAACGCGGGCGAAGTTCCAACCAGTTATCCCAAGCCATACCAACAACGATCACGAACGAGGCTTTGGAAGATCGCGTCGGTGAAGGTATGAATACTCCTGGATCCAGCATTGAGAGGACAAAGCCCATGTCGACCATCACGGCTGTTGTGAATCAACCCGAGGTGGTTGACAACAAGGAGAACAGGCCAACGTCCCTGGAACGGATGCGGGCAAAGGTCACCAGTATCCACAAGCAGACCTTCAATTCTCTACCGATGGAGGATTCAATGTCATCGAGGAAACGTCGGTTTATACCAGCCACCACGGAACAGTCCAATGGGCAACCTGATTCCGTACACGACGGCATCATCGATGGCTCGACACTTTCACTTCAACCTACCGTCCACAGCCAAGACGTTGTTTCCCAGGGAGCCCCTGCATGTCCAGCACAAGTTCACGTCGACTTTTTCTCGAACGAGACCCTACCGTCCATGACTACGATCTCGACCAACGCACACGATGCCTCGCCATCACACGACAGACAAGAACACGATGGGTCATCGCATCACATCCACTTGGCCCGTCACTCATCCCTTGATGAACTTGCATTCACTGCACCCTCGTCTATAACCTTCACCACCAACCACATACGAAAGCCGCGTGGAAGTTTCTTTTACCATATCTCGCACGGCTCGTCCCGGCCAACACCGCTGCGACTCAAGCGAAAGGCCACCAACACAATGGACAGTCTGACCGACCATCGTCGGCGCTCCGACGACACGGCCGTAGCCATCATCAATGCCAAGTGGCTCACGTCGACTATACGACCGATTCAAGAACCAACGAATGAAGCTGGAGTGCATGAGAATAGCCCAGGAGGGTACACTTGCCCGTCATCAGTCGCGTCGGATGGATCGAACGAGGCTGGCGCTCCACCGCATGCAGTCAAGAGTGAGGAGGCCCCTGGTTTCCACCCGATCGACGTGGACCAAGAAATGGAAGCTCCGTCCTTTCAACTACTCAACTTTGCCGCGCACGTCGCCGCTCCAGTGCCCCTCTTCGACCAAGCAATCCCCGCGGACCGTAGTGGCGACATGGTTGAGCCAACGTCGATGCCGGGGGACTCTCAAGGCGCGCCACCATCGTTTAGTTTATTGTCCTCTCTCCGCACTGGCCTTCCCCCGTCGGATTATTCCCTTCCACGTCCAGCCGAGTTCCAGGAAGACCGTGGTGTCGTGTGGGTGGACGATGGTGGGGGGGCACCTCGACGACAGTTGATGCATCCAACGGCATCCCTAGACAGCGACCATTGTTCGTCGACACTTCAACGGGATCGTATGCCATCCCACTCGTCGCAGTCGTCTTCTACCCACAGTGACCTTGCCATGCGCCAAGCCGGATTGGACGACAGCTCGGACGAAGAAGAAATCAAGCCCAGAAAACAGTTGCGGGGAAACCGAGTGTCGATTCAGTCGGCCGAGTGGACGTGCAAGTGGTGCACATATGCCAACGAAGGCGACGGCGCGAGCAATGAATGCGATTGTTGTGGTCAAGCCAAGGGATCGTCGTTGGGACTGCCGAGGACGACACATACTACAAGCAAAGCCACAACAAAGACGAGGAGCACACGACCCATCAACATGGACGAGAATGAGTCCAATATATATCCTTCAGGAAACGAACAAGGAGGCACCGGTGCTGGCTGGCTGTGTAACATGTGCACGTACGAGAACTGTACCAACCCCGTGCGATGCGAGTTGTGCGACACACCAAAAGGTACCTGTGTATACTACTGTATCGTGTAGAACGTTGACGACATACTAAATGATGTTTACGTAGGCTCCAACATGCCGTCGCAGTCTGAGATACGGTACATAAATAAAGTGTTACGTGTGATGACTAATCATTTCTCTTTTGTAGGGAATTCAACCACTTTGATGACCTAGACGACGATGACGACTTTGAAGTTTACGCATCGGACGCGACCAACAACCCTCCTGACGTGGTCGACTTGACAGCGGCCAGTGACGGGAACCGACAGCCGTTGTACGACAACCAGTCCGACTCGATTGAAGAAATCTCAGACACCGAGGTACACCTACCTACCTCTTGCGTCCTCTGCGACGATATAATGTATGTACTTCGTAGCGCCGTCCTCGCTCCCCCACATCCTCATGGCATACCACCACCGAGTTGCGCGAGTTTACGTCCTTTACCCCCGTCTCGTTGCTCCGACATCAGGCAGATAGCATCGACTATTTGAACATGTTTGGTGCCAACAGGTACAGTACATCCCCATGTCATTGTCAATGCTCCACTTTGGACTTCGCCTAGGGGAGGAAGGTCATACTCGGATCGATTGCAAACTCGAGTGTCGGAATCTCGACGACGACAGGCGGCGCAGGCACGAGGAGGAGGAGGAGGGGGCCAACCAAAATCCTCTGGAAAGCGCAAAAAAGGGGCCAAGAAAGGTCGAAAGTCCCCCGCCAAAGCCCCCAAAGGTCGGTCTGTCAATGATTCCCACACGTTTTCGAATCTACTGCAAGTTGGATTGTCGAACACGAGTATCAACAACGCTTGGACTTAGAATATGCTTCGAATCGATCGTCGGTTCCTCAATTTCAACGAGCATCCGCGGCCGGAAAACGTCGCGCCATGCCGCCATTCCAAAAGGCTTCTGCAGCAACCAGCAGTAGTAGCAGTACCAGTGGGGCCCCTCGTCTGGTCAATGCCAACTTACAGCCCAAGGCGCGGACAAACTCGATGCGCGTCGTGGCCGAAGAAGGCGACTTTGGAGCATTTCGATCGGCGCGGCATCATGCCGCCGACTCGAGCCGCCTCGCCGCCGCGGCGTGGGAAGGGCAAGGGTCGATGCGGTACGAAGACGATTAAATTAACAAAACTCTTCAAGGATACTTGTCGAACGCACTAAAACTATCTTGGGCCGTCCGCGACAGTTTCGAGTAGTTGAGCAGCCCCAAGAGCCCAATGCTCACGGTGGCACTCACGACAAACAACACGTCAAACCAGGACGCAAACCCATAGTAATCGATCGGGCCCAACACGGCATCGATGTGTCGCCTAGAAAAAGATATCATCAACTCGTATGAAAAACGTATATATTTTTTGTATAGTATATATATATATTTGTACTTGTGGTCGGCTTGCAAATTCATGCGCATCATGACAAACGACGACACAAAGTACATGCCCATCAAGTTTGCGAGCAACAGCACGACCGAATTGGATGAGACGCTGCTCGACAAAAAGCGAAAGCACTAGACATTTGCAAAATGCTCGCAAATTGTTCGCATTTTGAGAATGTATGTACGTACCTTTAACACGAGGAGGAGGAAGCCGCGAGTCTGCGTAAAGACCAAAATGCCCACAAACACCAGGGACGACACATTCGCCATGAACCGGACGTTGATCTAATCAACAAAACAAGTACGTTTCAGTTAAATTTGCCAATTTTGCGAGGGATTGATGAAATCGAGAAAAGACGTATGATTGGCTAAAACGAATGAAGGTTGAAATAATATGATTGGCTCAAAACATTGACTGTCCCTCTTAAACTTAGTTTAATCATGCGATTTCACAGGTCCGGCGTTGTTCGGCGATTCAGTCAACCAACCGCCGGAGCAAGTTTTGAGTATAGGACACACAATATAAAAAGCAAAGAAAAATCATGGACGAGAGGGTCATGCGACGTACCCACGAGTGGAGCGACGGCCACAGATACAGCAGTTTGACCACGACATTCGTGATGGGGTCGGTGTCTCGGTCCCGCCGGAACACGACATTGACGGTGCTCATGATCATCTTGTACACGCAAAAGCCGCAAAACGCCATGCCGATCCAGTTGAACACTCGTCCTTTCAACGTCCGCTTCTCCACTGCACGGTGCTATCGCCATCCATGTAGTTCAAATATTTTTTTAAAAAACATTTAAAACATGGCATGCAGCATCATCCAAGACATTTAAAACATTTAAAACACAAGAGGGCAACATGGAATATATACCTGCAACTCGCGCATGGCATGCAGTTCCAAGAATAATTCTTTGCCCAACGTTTCCAACACGGACACTTCGCCTTGTAAATTCTGCACGTACGACTCTACCAAGCAATATCAGAATGATTTTTATATATATATATATATAATATATGGCCATTGTCGCACCCGTGTCGTTTTGCTTGTGAAACATGGCACTCCATAGCTTTCCGAGTATCGGGTTCAAAGACGAGCGTTGACCAGTGTCTGTCCGCCTGGCGGCGTGCACTTCGTACGCAATGCGCTTCTTCTTGATCACAATCATGTCCAAGTTTTGGCGGACGCGGCGCTCCAGACCGAGGATGTCTTCTTCGGCCACGCTGCGCCAAAAGATCGTCATGGACTCGTACGGCATGTTCACAGCCCCAAACCCGGACAAGATGGCCATGAAGTTGACGCCAAGAAAGCCCACGCGACTGATGAACCCTTCCAACGAGAACAAGCCCACCCAGTACGACGTGTCTTCGGCTGCGCCCGTGCTGCTTGTTGGAGGCAAGGGCAAGGACGGCACGTACTCGCCAGACTTCCAAAACGCGTAGAGGAAACTCACTTCCAAGACGATCGTGACCACGATGGCTTGATGGCGCTTGAGGCGTTGTTCCCGCGCCATGGTGTAGAACTGCATCACAGGGATCATGTACGCAATGAGGAAGGCCAGCCCAACCAAGTCGATTTGCCAGATAAGCTGTCGAGTCGCTGGCCGTAGAATGTCGGCGAGCTCAAAGATCAACACCTCGAAGATGCTAAACGACAGCATGAACGTGACGCAGAACAGGAAGCGCGAAAACACGCCTGTGTCCCTGACTTCGTAGTCTTGGAACAGCCACATGGAGAAGAAGGCATAGGCAAACAGGAAGAACAACAGCCAGCTGATGCCAACGATCACAAGGGCGTCCGTTGGCAGCAGATCCGCAAGCGCTGCGACGTCCATGAAGTTCGCACAATAATCGATTTGGATTGGCTAAAAGCACATTGTCATGGCAAATCAAGACCTTTTTCATGATTAATTTTAACCAATAAAAGTGAATAGACCTTATTGGGTACCGTTACAGTACGTACTGTACTTTGACAGGAACAAGACATACCATATGCACGTCGCACTAGATTTCCCATGAAGGGGACAGGAAGTACTCATGCACGTCGCATTAGATTTCCCACGAAGTGTGAATGATCTTGACACATGTGCAATTCGAAGCAGCGTAGATGCGCTACTATTAATTGTACTATTTCTCCATTGTAATATATCCGTGGCAAGGGTCGTCCACTTTGCTAAAGTCGAGAAAGTTCTGTGTATCTGTTCGACACGTACATTTGTTTGTACATGTACTTTGTACTATGTACGACACAAGTACTAAAAATGCCAATTGATACACTAGCGTACATTCGTACGTACGACTCTTTCGTACACTGACGTACTACTCTCGAACCCCGTCCTTCCGGTCGCGACCTGTGATTGGGCCACATTAAAAACAGCAACAATTTGCAACACTCCTATATTAAATTGCATGCATTTGGATACAAATTTCAAGTTTGACATGAAAATCCATCATTGTGTGATAATAAACTCACCCAGCAGATCCATTTCTCAAAAAATTACGCAATTGCAACATGCCGTCGTGCTATCATTGCCGCGCCAACGATGCTCGCTGTAGATGTGGGCAATGCAAGTCAGTGTACTTCTGCAACCGAGATTGCCAGATCCAGGCATGGTCTACGCATCGACCAGAATGCATACCTCCCGCCGTTGCACCATTGCATATACCTACTCCATCGCCTGTCGAAACACAATCCCAACCTCTTGTTCCCAGCACACGTCCTTCTCCACACACGTCTCGTGCATCAGACGACGTTGCAGAAAACAATGCAGCACATCGCGAGGACGACTCGGTGGCCAAAGAGCCTTCGAAGAAGAACAAAAAGAAGAAGAAGAAGAAAGCAAAGCGACAAGCCGACTCGTCTGGGTCATCATCCCCCGACGAAAGCTGCTGCAGCAGCGTCGCCGTGCATCCAACTGTGACGTCTCCTTCGATACAGATCCCATGCGCGTCCAATGTCAAAGGCATCAAGGACGATTGGACAGCCCTGGACACTGTTTCACAGAAATCCAAGAAAAAGAGTGGCAAAGCCACCAACCCGACGACCACCACCTCGAAGCAACGAAACCAGAGTCTTCCTGGAAACAACAGCAAATCCAAGACGGCGCTGGTGAAAACCAAGTCCAAGTCCATGTCCGTCAAGAAGGGCGTGTCGTGGGGGACGGTGAGCGCGCGGGAATTCGCGCGGTGTCCGGGTGGCGGCGGGGCCGTGCCGGACCAGGGCACATGGGCCCTAGGTCTTGGAAAGGCCATCCAGGACGTCACGTTTGGTCCTGTGGACGTTGTGGAGAGCCTCAAGGCACACGCAGCGAGCCAACCCCATCCCATCCCATCGCATTCGAACCATCACCACCACAAGAAAGATCGACCTGTGCCAACCGACCGCCTGCATCGCTTGAACGAACGAGAGCGAAAAGAAGTGCTCATGCAGGCGGAAAACAGCCAGCTGCTTTCCCCCCACGACCCCAGCCCCAGCCCGCCCAAGCACGAACCCCACCGTCGGCAGCGCCGTTCGTGTGCGTATTCACACATGTCAACCTGTCGACTGTGTCTTTTGAATATGACATCTATAGAGTCCTTGTCTTCCACATCATCCACATGATGGCCTTTTCTCCTAATGACGTTGCTTGTAGCGTCGGACGACTGCGACGCGCACGTGTTTGCAAGTCTGTGCCTGGAGCAAGCCACGGAATTCGCCCTCATCCGGTCGTCCCGCGATGACTTGTGCGGGTGTTCGTGCGGCGACTTGGTGAAAAAGGTGTCGAAAATGCACATCAAGAAGCTCGTGGCGTGGCTGCACGACCGCGACGTCGACACGTCGGGTATGGCCAAGGCGGAGCTGCTGCAAACAGCCAAGACCCTCGCCGCGCATGAAAAGAATTGCGCGACCGAGGACTGCGAGTGCGCCCGCAACGGTGTGCCGTGCCACCAGGGCGTGTGTGCGGGCTGCAAGGACTCGTGCCACAACGACCGGTACTCGTACAAACGCGACAGTGTGACGCAGTATCGTCACGCGCAGTTGGCTCGGTGGAAGCAGACACCCGCCGTGGCCGCCGTGTGTTAATGTAGTATGTCTAGAGTATTATACTTCGAAGTAATACTAATAGTATTGTCAAAACGAGTATTCGAAACGGACATACCTGCATACTATTATTAAAATAATTTGCTTGGACGGTTCAAGCCAATCAAATCACATGCTCGTGAATTTCTGCCAATCCAAAGTGTTCAGGTCGCATTGGGCAAGTCTAGTTTGGACAAGGTTCAAAGGGGTTCCCGCTATTGGCTAATTGACTCAAAAGTCCAAATTTGGGTGAAATACACTTTTTTGTGCTGTTAGTCGTATCATCCTATTAGTAGTGTACTCGATGCAACACAAATAGTACTATCATGACGTGGAATAAAATGTATGCAAGGTTACAAGACGACATAATTCTCCGACGAGTCTTGGCGTTGCGAGGGGGCAGCTTTGTCCGACGTCGTTTCCGACAATATCGAAGAGTTCTTTCTCGATTTCATGCCCCCCAGGACGTCGCGACTGTCCTACACACTCATGGCTTTGAAACGTGCTCCAAGCAACGACGGCCATGTACGTATATATATATATACCGCTCGAGTACGCAAGTCGTCGGCAAACAACTCGAGGGCCCGCTGGCTGTTGGTGGCCACTGCTGTGTCGTCCTCCATGTCAAAGAACTGGCTGCCATAGTTGAACGTGGCCGCACTCTCGCGGCACTTGTTGCCGGCTGCTTCTTCTGGCTTGTTCATGACCTCCGCAAAGAAGCCCATGGGCCGAGCCAGCAGTTCGTGGTACGTGCCGCGGTCGATGATGCGGCCGCTTTGCATGACGAGGATCGAATCGGCCGACCTTGTCGTCGACAACCGATGGGTCACCTACACAAAAATACAAACATGAGATACAGTATTCTACATAGAAAAAAAGTGTACCGAAATGATCGTCATGTGCAACTTCTTGGCCAACGCGTGGAGGCAGTCGACGATCGAGGCTTCGGTCTCGGCGTCCAGCGCCGACGTGGCTTCGTCCAGCAGCAAGATGGACGGCTTCCGGACCAGCGCCCGCGCCAGACAGATGCGCTGCGTCTGTCCGCCGCTCAAATTGGCCGTCGCGTGCTGTCCCACAATCGTGTCGTACCCGTCCTTGAGGGCATGGACGAACGCGCCGCACTCGGCCAGCTCGGCCGCATGTTTGCACTCGTCGTCCGTCGCCAAAGCATTGCCAAACCTGATATATATATTAGATAGTACTAGTCCAATCTATAAATGTACCGAATGTTGTCTAGAATGCTGCCGTTCAAGATCCCGCCGTCCTGAAATACCACGGCGATCTGCCCCATGTAGCTCGACTTGGAATACGCGTGCAGATTGTGGTCGTCCACGGCAATGACACCATCCGACGGCTCGTAAAACTGCATCAAACACCCCAGCAACGTGCTTTTCCCACATCCACTCGGACCCACAATGCACACGTAATGGCCCTACATTATATATATCAATATATAATATATTCGCTTTGAATCGTACAATGGGAAACGTGGCGTTCACGTCTTGCAAGTTCCACACGTCCGACGTGGGGTCATATTGAAAGCTCAAGCGATCAATTCGCAATCCCTGCTGCATGCGCGGGACACGTGGCAGGCGGTCCGTGTCGCCGTCGTCCACGTCACATTTCTACACAAGTCGCGTGAAAACCACCATCTGATTCTTCATCGTCTGATTCTTCATCGTCTGATTCTTCATCGTCTGATTCGTACGTACGTCGTACACGATCTCGTCGAGGCGCTGCAGACTGCTGGCGTTGCCAATGGCGACCCGCATGAACCCGCCGAGGACCGTCACGGGCGTGGACACGCGGCCCAAGAGCGTCACGGCCGAAAAAAAGTCCCCCGACGTCATGTCGCCCTTGTACACCTAACATTACGCCTTGGTCAACGTGTGCCAACTTGAACGACGACGATATTAAAATAATTCGCACTCGAGGGCTATACGATGTAATAGTATTGTTTATTCTAAACTGGAGCGAGATGGAGAATGAATCAACACAACCAAATGTATTACACAAGAATCATCGGCAGAAGTAGTTCGCCAATCAGATCATCATCAACGTCGAATTAGTGTGTGACTTCAATTTGTGTGATACCCATCACCACAGGACACCATGTTACATTCAGTACAAAGAAAGGATCGATAGATTTGGCGATTCAGCACAAAAGTAGTCCAAATGTTTGGTAAAAGAAAGGCAATACCTTGGTGGCCATGCCAGCCGTCATGATAGCCACAAACACATACATGGCGCTGTCCACGTAAATCTGCACAATCCCCGACCAAAAGTCTTTGAGGAATTGCGCCTGGCCTAGCATGGCCGTCGACGACGCAAACTTTGCCAGGAGCGACGGCTGGATGTCGTACGCCCGCACCACCTGTGGACATTGTCTCAGACTCATGCCAAAGATCGATAATATATATGGCGTGCGTACGTTGTGACACTGCACGGCGTTCTGAAACTCGGCGGCCACAAACGCATTCTTGGAGCCAAACTCTTTGGACTTTAGAGATGCGTGGCCTTGGGGGCCCGTGGAAATGAGCACGGCGGCAAACCCGAGGGACGCCATGCCCACAGACGGCTCAAAGTAGATGAGAAACGCAAAGCCGGCCACCACCGACACGATCGGGTGCATGAGGTTCTACGACATGGTCTCAATACAATATATATATATATATATTATCATACCCAAAACACGGCCTGCCACAGCGCATTCACGCGCGCCACATCCGACTGGAACAAGTTGTTGAGGTCGCCTTCGGTGCGCTGGGAGAAGAAGAGCGTGGGCTGGGCCAGAATCGTCTTGAGCAGCTGGCCCTGCACCTTGAGCGTGGCGTTGGCAATCATCGTCGATTGAAAGTACCCCATGAGGAAGTCCACGATCGCAAACGGCACGCAGATGAGGAGGATGCCACATACACCCACAGCCAAGCTCGAGGCCGGCACGAAGTACGTAAACGTGCCTTCGGTGCCGTTGGGGAAGACAAACTTGTTCTTGGCCATCACTTGCGTCTCGACCCACGTCTGCATCGTGCCGTTGCCTACCCACCCCGACCACATCCTCTTGTTATAGATATATTGACGTGGGGCGTACGTACGGTAGCCCTGCTTGAAGATCTTGTTGACGCGATTCGGAAATGCTTCGTCGCCGAGCAAACCCATAAAGTACGCCAACATGGGCGTGATGGACGCGTGCACGAGCACGATTAACACCGTGCTCGCTAGCGCCACCCGCTGGTTGGACCAATGGCGCAGCGTCGACGAGACCACGTCCAGGGCGCCGTACACGCGCAGCGCCGACTGCGCGTCCAAGTCGCGCAGGTGGCTCAAGAACGCCGACGCGGTCATGTCGGCGGGGCGGTGGGCCACGGCCTTCTCCAGGAACACCATCAGTTCGTCGTTGGTCATGTCGCCGTCCGTTCGGCCGCAAATGATGACCAAGTCGTGCTCCATCACTTCCACCGATGCCTGCAAAGGTATGAAACAGGATGGCGACGAGGACGAGAACGTCCATCGAACTCACCGCGGCGATGTTGGGGATGCGGCGAAGGGCCGACCGCAGCGAGTCCATCGAGATGAGCAGCGTGTCCGCGGCGGAAGTGGGCTGGAGCGACTTGGAGTAGACCCGCACCATGGGCTTCAACACGATGCGCACCGCCAGCACGACGCAATACGCCGCCGCAAAGTAGATTTCGATTTGGTTCGATCTGTATTTCGGAAAGACGTGGGTTTCGCCTGGCAGCAATGGCTGGTCCTTGTCCAAGTACTCGGTGATGACCACGCGCTTCTCCTCGACGTTGTCCGCGTACACAAACCTGCAGACAAGCATGACGATGAAACGAAATTAGAACGACGACGTACCGAGCCGCCAAGGCACCCCCGACGCACAGCAAGGCCACGACGTCGCTCATACTCGCGCAGGACCGACAAAGTCGCGTGCGTAGACCAGCCATCCGAAGCAGCACGTCGATGGCATACACGCCAGAGCACCCCATGGAAAGCAGGCGCAGGGTTTCTCCCCATTCAACGTATGTGTAGTCGGCCGAGAGGAACGCAATGGCGGTCGAGTTCACGAGGTAGTCGCCGAAATGCACTAGCAGTACGGTATAATGCCATACCCAATGGTCGAGCATCTTGAGCAAGCCACACGACACGTTCGGAGCAGGCGTGTCTTTCATGGTCGTGTTCGCCCCATCCACAGTCGCTTGGTATGGCGCAGTGGACTGCGAGTCGCGCCGTTGTCTGGGTGTGCTGCCGGCAACTTCCATCCAAGGTCACGCACGACGTTGGGCAATGGAAAGATGCAGAACGAGCCAGTCTCTGTCTCGCAACGGCGATAGTGGTCGTCATTTGTTTCGAACACGTTTCAAACGTCTTCTACATACTCTACCAACGTACATATTTTCGATCCCGACATATTATATGTACTATCTTATCTATTATCACGATTAACCACTATCGCATGTCCTAATCCTTGGCTTAAAGCACAATGTAGTTGCCAGAACTCTCCATGTGCCTGAGCGATCTGTCGGCGACACCGCGGGAAGCCTTGCGGTGTAACGACGAACGGGTCAGCTCTTGGCTTTCCTACACGTCCACAACAAATATCAATTCATACAGGTTTCCGTCGTCATGTCGGAATCGGCAAGTTGGTCATACCGTTCGTGTACGCAATGCATCGGTAAACAGTTCGAGGGCGCGCTGCGTCGATCGCGCGTTCGGGTCTTCGTCGTCAGCATGATGACGGCGACGGTCCTGGCTGCCGCATAGGATGCTACTGCTGGCGAAGCTCGAGTTGCTGGTCGATGGAACGATGGGAATGTCGGCGAGTTCTGCTAACAGTCCTCGGCCCAGTAGCTCTTCGTGCGTCCCTTGATCCACCACACGACCGCTTTGCATGACGAGGATCGAATCGGCCGACCTTGTCGTCGACAACCGATGGGTCACCTACACAAAAATACAAACATGAGATACAGTATTCTACATAGAAAAAAAGTGTACCGAAATGATCGTCATGTGCAACTTCTTGGCCAACGCGTGGAGGCAGTCGACGATCGAGGCTTCGGTCTCGGCGTCCAGCGCCGACGTGGCTTCGTCCAGCAGCAAGATGGACGGCTTCCGGACCAGCGCCCGCGCCAGACAGATGCGCTGCGTCTGTCCGCCGCTCAAATTGGCCGTCGCGTGCTGTCCCACAATCGTGTCGTACCCGTCCTTGAGGGCATGGACGAACGCGCCGCACTCGGCCAGCTCGGCCGCATGTTTGCACTCGTCGTCCGTCGCCAAAGCATTGCCAAACCTGATATATATATTAGATAGTACTAGTCCAATCTATAAATGTACCGAATGTTGTCTAGAATGCTGCCGTTCAAGATCCCGCCGTCCTGAAATACCACGGCGATCTGCCCCATGTAGCTCGACTTGGAATACGCGTGCAGATTGTGGTCGTCCACGGCAATGACACCATCCGACGGCTCGTAAAACTGCATCAAACACCCCAGCAACGTGCTTTTCCCACATCCACTCGGACCCACAATGCACACGTAATGGCCCTACATCACATACAATCAGTGTGATTGCACACATGTTCGTATAACGAGAGCTTGTGATTGTTATATCGAGGGTGGTTGGGTAGGCCGTTCGTATATACCAGAGGAAACGTCGCCGACACTTGTTGAAGGTCAAAGTGGGAGGTGGTAGTGTCGTACTGAAAGCTCAAGCGATCCACTTGCAGCGCCCGTTGCATTCGCGGCAAACTCGGCAGAGTCGGCGTGGCATCCCGACGCTCTGGCATCTACAACCCACCTTGTCACATGGACATGTTTTAGACGCCATCAATATTCTACACCGTACTTTGTCGCAGAGGACAATCTCGTCCAGACGCTGGAGGCTGCTGGCATTGCCAATAGCCACCCGCATGAACCCCCCCAAGACCGTCACGGGCGTCGAGATGCGGGACATGAGGGTCACGGCCGAGAAGAAGGCGCCCGCCGTGATATCGGCTCGAAACACCTACTTTGCATCAGTAAGGTAGTAAGTATTGTCCAGTTGATTCGACATTGGAGTGGGGTAAAGATTTTCCTTTAAGTGGTTATTTAGAAGTATATTATAATGAATTAAAAAAAGAGTAGTTTATGAACCTATTCAATTATCTCAAAAATATCGATTATTTGAATTTAATACTCCTTGGAATAAAAAATAATTATTAAATTTTATATTAATTGTTATTAAGTAATTATTAATTTTAAGTAGGGTGCTCAATCGAATGAGCAGCACCAAATCGGCAGACAATCGATCGACCAATCAAAAACCAGATCACGAATCAAGTAACCAATCAAATTCACTTCGACCATTTCAACCCCGAATAGTGTGTGGCTGAAATTAGTGTGACACTGGACGAATTAAGTCAGTACAAAGAATCGATATATCGATAGATTTGGCAAAGAATCAGCACAAAAGTAGTCCACATTTTGGGTAAAAGAAAGACAATAGTAGTTGTGGTATCCAAGTTTCCAACACTGTTTGTACGAGTCTCGTACTTTCAAGGCGAGCCCGGCCGTCATAACCGCTACAAAGAAAAACATGGCGCTGTCCACGTATATTTGGACGACGCCAGCCCAAAAGTCTTTGAGAAATTGCGCCTTGCGGAGGGTGGTGGTGGTGGCGTGGAACTTGGTTAGCACGGGCGATTGGATGCCATAAGCTCGCACGACCTACGGTACACAGGTGTCTGGGCATGTTGTTGTATACAACACTTATTACTTGTTGGCATGCAATGGCATTTTGAAAGTCCGCCGAAGTGTAGGCATTCTTGGAGCCAAAGTCTTTGGACTTTAGAGACGCGTGGCCTTGGGGGCCGCTGGTCACGACCATGATCGAAAACCCCAGAGATACCATGCCCACGGACGGCTCAAAGTAGATGAGGAACGCAAACCCAGCCACAATTGCAATCAACGGGTGCATGAGGTTCTACGACATGGACTCAATATAATATATATATATATTATCATACCCAAAACACGGCCTGCCACAGCGCATTCACGCGCGCCACGTCCGACTGGAACAAGTTGTTGAGGTCGCCTTCGGTGCGCTGGGAGAAGAAGAGCGTGGGCTGGGCCAGAATCGTCTTGAGCAGGGACGCTTGGAGTCGTTCCGTGGCCTTGGCAATCATCGTCGATTGAAAGTACCCCATGAGGAAGTCCACGATCGCAAACGGCACGCAGACCACGACGATGCCCACAACCCCCGCGTGGAGCGACCATTCAGGGGTAATATACGGCAAGGCCGTGTCACTACCCGTGTACGGATCCGTCGTCACGTTCTTGTACCGTACTTGGGACCTCAGGTACAACCCCTTGACTATCCAAAGGACATGAAACAACTACAATCTACAATGTCGATACATCTTACAAATTAAAGCTTCATGTGTGAATATTGTCGATATATTCGAAATTGCAGTGGGCCCAATCGAATGAAAAACCAAATCGGCAAAGGATCGATATAACGACCAATCAAAACTCAAACCACGAATCAAGTGGCCAATCAAATCCACTCTTCATTCAACATCGAATTCATGTGAGCCTGAAATTAGTGTGATACTTTTTACGTACAAAAGTGATATATTTGGCGAATCATTGGGTAAAAGAAGACAATTTACCCAAGGAAAAACATACACATGCTCGACATTCGACACTTCACAATACGCATAATAATATCACAACCACACATCAACATTTTGACACTCGTGTAGGACTTGAATTAGTGTCATGATGGGTAAGCTTTTTGGACAAGTTGGCTACATATGTCAACATAAAACAAGGCATACATATAGGCGAGGCAATATATAGTACCCGCATCGTTTATAGCGACATGGCCGGCCTGCTGCGGGAATGCTTCGTCCCCCAGCAAGCTTATAAAGTATGCGACAACGGGCACGAACGATGCATTAGCGAGGACAACCAAGACGGTGCAAAAGAGGGCGAGGCGCTGGTTGGACCAGTGTCGCAGGGTCGATGTCACCACGTCCAGCGCGCCGTACACAAACCGCGACGACTGCGCGTCAATATCCCGCAGATGAGACAGGAACGCCGACGCAGACATGTGTCTGGGGCGGTGGACGACGGCTTTCTCAAGGAACTGCATGAGTTCGGCGCGGGAGAGGTCGCCGTCCGTCCGGCCGCAGGTCACCGACAGGTCGTGCTCCATGAGGTCCACCGCAGCCTACGATGGGGTTTATATGGAAGACGAAGGGGTAATGTGTACATCGATCATGTACATACCTCGGTGATGGACGGAATGCGGCGGAGGGTAGCGCGAAGCGACGCCATGGAGAAGCGAAGGAGGTCGAACGACGGCTGCTCGTACAAAGTCTTGGAGAACGCCCGCGCCACGGGCTTGAACGCGATCCGCGCAGACACGAGCACGCAGTACCCCGATGCAAAGTAGATTTCCACCTGGTTGGAGCCGAATTTGGGGAACTTTTGATTGCCTGCTCCGGCCTTCTCGTCGTAATAACCCACTCGAGTGATGATCACCGCGGCCAAGTTGTCCGCTTTGATGTACCTAAGTCGATCAATCGAATATGGAGGATTCATGTGATGATCGCTCAAGTGTACACGTGCGTACCGCAAAGCTAGCATGCCACCCATGCACCCACAGCCAACGAAGTCCATGAGGGTGGCCGGCGAACGGAAAAGCGCGGTGCGTATACCCACAAGACGAACGAGCATGTCCAACGCGTACACGCCACTGCACCCAAGGGACACCAAGCGGCAGAGTGATGCGTATTTGACGTACGTAGTTACAGACAAGAACGCCACCGCGACGGCGTTGGTGAAGAAGTCAGCAAAGAGCACAACCATGACGACGTAGTGCCAGCCGCCGCTGTCCGCGAGCTTGAGGAGGCTGTATAGGCCAGGGGTGCTAAGGGATGGAGGCATCGGTGGCGCCATTCCCGACTTGGTTTGTGCACCCTTGACCATGTTGTGTCTTGCCCATGAGTACAGTATTCTCATCCTACGTTTGAGACGTTTTATAAACACCCGGATTCGGACGTTTGAAACGTGAAAACAACACCATAATGTAGTCCACACACAGCACCACTGTACACTTTCACTTTGGGAATCCTCGACGATGTATCCAGTCCTGCGATGGAATAAGGCTTCAAAAAGAGCGGTCACACAGCCGTGGTACAACCTCCGCGCCTACGTAGGCTCGAGTGTTCGAAACGTTCGCAACGATGCCTATCAATGAAAACGCTGACCAATCACAGCCGTGCTTTGGTCACGCTCCACCAATCAACGGCGAGGTAAACGTAGTATCCGTTCGATTTTGTATCCGTACCGTTAGTATTTCGTTCACGAAAAATGAACGACTAATGTTACTATATATTAATACTAGTAGGTAGTAGTAATGGTCATCATGGCTGTCGTCAACCGAGTCACAAACTTGGCTCGGGGCTTGTGGTGGAGACAGGACTCGAAGAGCAGCCGTGCCTTGTCCGTGGCGCCCACTTTCAAACACACCAACTACACACACCATGAGATACAGTAATCTCAACCCAACCATCGTCGCTGACCATTCAAAACAAATAGCAACGTACCCCCAAGAGATACAACGCACGAATGTCTTGACTTGGCATCATCGCTTTCAGAACGCCAGCAGCTTCTTGAAACGCTTGCAGCGCTACAAATACAGTACTAAGCACTCAAGACAAAATAGGGTTCTGGCTACCGTAGAACCACCTCGCCATGCTCAACTGGAGGTTCAAGTCCTCTTGCACTGTAAGGGAATACCTATTTTTGTACGATCGGACACCAGCGTGCACCTACGGTCGTACAGTTGTAAGAAGCCAAGGATCAGCGTACAACGTACGAAACGGTATCGCAGGGGGTCAGTCGGTGAAAGATGCCTTGCGGCTGCGACCATGTGCCACTTGAAGACAAGGAACACGTCGAAATCGTAGTTGGACAGGGCCAGAAACGCCACTTGCGACGGCAGTGTCGAAAACCCACGACTGTCTTCTAACGCCCCCTGTGACACAGTTGGGTTGAGTCGTAAATCAAACCGCACAATCATTGCACCAAAATGAGATCGCAATCGTTTGCGCCAAAGCCCGTGAGTTCTTCTGCAAAGCACTCGTGGCTCCACTACGTCCATATAATAAGTACGGTTTCTAGACCAAAAAATTTCAACCTGCCACGTCAAACAAGTAGACGAAGCTTCCTGGAGAGGAAACAGCGTCGCATACAGCACTTGAAACGTGTCGCTGAAGACGGGGGTCGTCGTCGACACTTGCACTTTGCACGTCGAGGCAAATGCAATGTCCAAGAACCGGCTGATCACGTCAAAGTCCACGGGAAGACAAAAGCAATCGGCATGGGGACTCAATTCTGGAATCTACAAGACACAAGATCACATATATCTTGGGGGGGTGACAGCGCTGGACGTACGTCGGTCAAAATGTCGCTGAAATGGACGGTCGCGTCACCCACAAGCATGCCAAACGGTGAATTTGCACTTGACCGACGACGCAGCGCCAGCACAAAGCGAAACGCGTCGACGGGGAACAGGAGCAGGCACTTTCGACGCGGATACGCCGCTTGAATGTGTTGGATGAGTGCCGTGAGCGCTTGATTCAAACACTTGGAGTCGTCATTGTCTTGGTAGTACTGGGTTGTGTCTGCCACGTCGTGTGACAGAGTGAAAGTGTCGGCGCTCTCGTCGTCGGTGCAGACTTCACACACGGCGCCATCCCCGTCAACCTACAACCGAACGAACGAATAAACAACTTCTATCCGAATAAGCGATAGCTCAACCACAAACGCATCGGTGGGCAACGAGTCGAAAAAGTAATTGCCCACGACAAACAACGGAGTGGTCGACAGGTCGAGGGTGGCGTTGGCCACTCGCAGTCGAATCGGGTCGTCTTGAATCTACAAGTGGCCACACACCACAAGTACACATTACCTTTGTTGATAACTAGGGCAATTTTATATTCTTCCATCGGATCGACTAGTATTTTTCATATAAACGACGTACGACAGCGTCGCATGACATGACGGCAAAGTCGACGGCGTTTGGAAACTGCCGCTGCAGCGATTGAAACGACGGGTGGGCCAACCGGCTGCTGACAACGTCGTCGCAGAGGTCGGTGAGCACGACGCACGGCCGTATCACGTGTTGCAAACCGGCGTCCTCGAGAAGGGCCATGACCGCTGGAATGAACGCCGCGGCAAACTTGCATGAGCCACTGCCACCTTCGAGGACGACGCAGTTGACCGTGTCGGTGGGAGACAAGAGGTGCTGGCGGTAGCAGTCGATGAAAAAGCGAACGACCACGCCTACAAGGAAACTGTTAGAAATGTATGGACGAGTTAGCGTCTTGTACGGGCGTAGGCGGCCGCGAGAAACATGGAGCTGGACACGCCGTACGGGACCGTGTTGGAGCTCCAAGCAGCCATGCCTTGGGCTTTGTAAAACGCTTGCTGCGTGGCCCACACACGAGATTTGGACAAGGTTGACAGCGTCGCAGGGACTATTGCTTTTGGGGGGCCACTACGAAAGAGCATGGCGTTCGTGGACGTAGGCTGGTGCAGCGTCGGCATTTGGTTGAAGAAGGCGGCGATGGACGGGTCAGTGGGAGACCACAGTTGTACTTGTTGTAGCTCGGTCATCAACGACAGAAAATGGCGAGCGGTCGTGAGGCGCGGAAGTTTCTTGGTGAGTACTGGCAAGTAGCGCAGAAACACTTGGGGATCGAATTGAGTCAAGCGAAGCACGACCAAAGCCAGTTGGAGAGGCACGGACGCCACGTCGTCGTTGAATTGCATCACTTCGGCCGCCACAGTTGGTCCCCACACGAGCAATGGCGACTGCAATGGCCGGACAATGAACTGCTGGACATCCAACGGAAGGTCCTCGGGTGTGTGAAGATGGAAGTGGCGTGCCAGTACGTTCAATGCTGTCTCGCTGGTGGTGGTTGTGTCCAACCAGAGACTGGGCACATGACTGTTCGCTTGAAGCGCTTCCCACACTTGTGTCCACGTTGAATCTGTCGGCTCCGTTTTGAGCACGACCACAAACGACGGCGGGAAATTAGCCAGGATAACCATGAGCTCCTCCACAGAGTGGATCATTGCGATGGATTGGCATGTTGCATGGGCCAACTCCTTGTCCAGGACGAAGAGCAGTCCGTCGCCTCCGATTGCTGCACTAAACCGTGCCACCGCTCGAAGCGCTGCCACAATCATGTTGTCGAATGGCCCAATCAAATAATTGTATGCTATCCACCAATCAAAACCACTTCTGTAGAATCAAGGGAACTCTGAAAATGAATATAAACCGTATCTTGCTTCTGTTAACAGTAAATAGCACTGACGTTTTAAATGCTTTCCAAACACTTGACCATTCCTGCCAAGAAGCACGAAGCACTCGCAAGCACAGCGATGAATACTTCTACGTGCTACGTACAGTAGTGTATTAATACCGTAGCTTCAACGCCGAATACACTCTGCAAAAACTCCGGAAGCATTTTTCTTATTGGCAATTTGAACTTGACGTTATGCCACATGTGGTTGCTGTTAGAACACAGCATTCAGAAATTCATACACTTATTGCCTAATTTAAGAGGTGTTATAACCTAAATTAGTAAACGCAGCGGTATAATGTAGCCAGAGGTGTAACAGCTGTCTGGAATAGTCGCAAGCCGAAATTATGGCCGTGAAGCAGCAATCGCAGCAGTCGGCGGCAAGTCCTTCAGCGTCTGGACAACAACGCGAAGCACGTCAGAAGAACATGGCACCTTCCAATGGTCCACAGCATCCAGCCGGCGGCGCGTCATCTCCGCAAGGCCAGGGTGGCCGTGTGGGCTGTCTGCAGCTGATCGACAATCGGAAGTGGCATTACGTAGTAATGGGTCTCCTCTTTATCGATTTCTTTGGGAATGCCGTGGGGGTTGGCTTCTTGTCCCAAGTCACGTACCATACGTGGGCTCTCAAGATGCGTCTTGCATCTGCCGGGTGCTGCGCCATCTACGCCATTGACATGTTGCTTCGCCTCGTGGCGGTGCGGTCGGCGCTGTGTCGTTCGCCGTCGTCGTTGATGGACGTTTTCGCGCTGGTGCTCGTCGGTGGGGCCGCGGCTGCTCGGTACGTTACCACATAGCTGTCGTCGTTCTGAAACGCGAGATAGGTTCGTCAAAGCGGACAGTCCTGCCAAGGTTGTGATCACCCAGAAAGGGTGGCTGGATGACGAAGCGCCCATCCCTCGCCATCCGAAATACGTGTCCAACCAAATCGAGATCTACATTGCGTCGGCCTACTGTCTCTTGATCGCGGTGCGCATCATCCTCAAGCCTCGCGCGCGCGTGTTCTCCAAGAAGTTGCACAACCACGCCAACTCGGACCACCTGCGCATCTCCATGGACTCGCTACGGAGCTCTCTCAAGCGCATTCCCAACATCTCCGAGGTCCAAACACGTCTTGTGTACCCTCCATCGACTGAATCCATCAGTAGGCGGCGATTGAAATGATGGAGACGGACCTGGTCATGATCTGCGGCCGCAACGACGGCGAGATGTCACGCAGCGAGCTCATGCAGTTCCTGGAGCGGGCGCTCACCTACCGCCCCAAGGAAATCAGCGCCAGCGTGTTCCTGTCCCACCTGCGAGACATTGACGCGCAGTCGTCGCTGTTCATCTACGGCGCGTCGGACGTGGTGACATCGACCCTGCGACACTGGTCCAACCAGCGCCTTGCTCTGTCTTGCACCGTCTTGGTCGTGCTCATCAACGCCTCGTTCGTGCCGCTCGTGGCGTACTTTATGAGCAAACTGGGCGACGAAGCGTTTCCGCAGCAAGTGATCAAGGTCGCTATCACCAACCGTACCCAGGGCTACACCATCCGCACGGACATCCGGTACCAGAACCTCACGACGGACGCATCCGGTGTGGACATTGAACTTCCATACATTATGCCGGACAAAGCACTCAAGCTGGGCGTGTGGGGCATCCTCCTCATCTGCGTGCCGTTTGCGATTGTGGACTTCCTCATGGGGTACTTTCAATCGACGATGATTGCCAAGGCCACGGAACGGCTCCAAGCGTCCCTGCTCAAGACGATTCTGGCCCAGCCCACGCTCTTCTTCTCCCAGCGCACCGAAGGCGACCTCAACAACTTGTTTCAGTCGGACGTGGCGCGCGTGAATGCGCTGTGGCAGGCCGTGTTTTGGGTATGATAATATATATATATACATTGGATTGAGACCATGTCGTAGAACCTCATGCACCCGATCGTGTCGATCATGTCTGGGTTCTCGTTCCTCATCTACTTTGAGCCGTCTGTGGGCATGGTCTGCCTCGGGTTTGCCGCCATGATCGTCTCGTCTGGACCGCAAGGCTACGCCAGTAAGAAGTCCAAAGACTTTGGCTCCAAGAACGCGTACGTGTCTGCCGAGTTCCAGAACGCGATTGCGTGTCAAAAGGTAGTACGACCACAGGGTTCGATGCATCTGATCTATGTGACGTGGCAGGTCGTGCGTGCGTATTCCATCCAAGACAAATTACTGGCGAAATTCGACAAAACCACGCAAACGTTGAAACAAAGCCAATTCCTCAAAGACTTTTGGGCTGGCGTCGTCCAAATATACGTGGACAGCGCCATGTTTTTCTTTGTGGCTGTCATGACCGCGGCGCTGGCGACCAAGGTATACCTCAATATATATATAACATTTGGGAGGGTCACTCAACACTATATTAGGTATACCGGGCGGACATCACGGCAGGGGACTTCTTCTCGGCTGTGACCCTCATGTCGCGCATCTCGACGCCCGTCACGGTCTTGGGGGGGTTCATGCGGGTGGCTATTGGCAATGCCAGCAGTCTCCAGCGTCTGGACGAGATTGTTCGAGAGGTATGACGAGTTGAATAGTATATTAAAATATATAAATATATATCGAAACATTAGGAACGAAATATCAACGATCCCAAGCAAGACCAAGCGAAAAAGTTGCCGCAGGTGCCACGCATGACCCAAGCATTGCGAATTGATCGCTTGAGCTTTCAATACGACAGTACAGTGGACCACTGGGACTTGGAAGACGTGAACGCCACGTTTCCCATTGTACGATTCAAAGCGAATATATTATATATATTGATATATATATAATGTAGGGCCATTACGTGTGCATTGTGGGCCCGAGTGGATGTGGGAAAAGCACGTTGCTGGGGTGTTTGATGCAGTTTTACGAGCCGTCGGATGGTGTCATTGCCGTGGACGACCACAATCTGCACGCGTATTCCAAGTCGAGCTACATGGGGCAGATCGCCGTGGTATTTCAGGACGGCGGGATCTTGAACGGCAGCATCCTAGACAACATTCGGTACACTTATAGATTGGACTACTACTACCTAATATTTATATATATATATATATATATCAGGTTTGGCAATGCTTTGGCGACGGACGACGAGTGCAAACATGCGGCCGAGCTGGCCGAGTGCGGCGCGTTCGTCCATGCCCTCAAGGACGGGTACGACACGATTGTGGGACAGCACGCGACGGCCAATTTGAGCGGCGGACAGACGCAGCGCATCTGTCTGGCGCGGGCGCTGGTCCGGAAGCCGTCCATCTTGCTGCTGGACGAAGCCACGTCGGCGCTGGACGCCGAGACCGAAGCCTCGATCGTCGACTGCCTCCACGCGTTGGCCAAGAAGTTGCACATGACGATCATTTCGGTACACTTTTTTTCTATGTAGAATACTGTATCTCATGTGTATATATTTGTGTAGGTGACCCATCGGTTGTCGACGACAAGGTCGGCCGATTCGATTCTCGTCATGCAAAGCGGCCGCATCATCGACCGCGGCACGTACCACGAACTGCTGGCTCGGCCCATGAGCTTCTTTGCCGAGTTGGTGCACAAGACCACGACAACGCAACGAAAGAACGATACGTCCTTCAACGCCATCCCGAGCTTTACCATCGCCAACCACGACGAGGACGACCAAGGCAGAAATACCGAGGAAGCGCTCCAGCTGTTCACGCACCGCCTTCGCACGCGCACGGTAAGACGCTTCAAGGTGTTATGTATAGAGGGAAAGTCATCGCAAAATTGTGGTCCAGGATAGCGCCAACGGCCATTCATTCCGCAAGAATGCACGCAAACCTTCGGCTGCGGACGCCTACATTATCTTGTAGCGACTTGTTTAATACATCTTTCATTTCGTGTCTTCTTGTACCGATATATATATCCCCACAAGATATGTTTGGTTGACATAACGGCCGCGACCGGGGTAGTAAAATACGTACTCCGGAGCGCCATCATGATGGCCTCGAGTTACTGCAGTGATAATGGGAATACTATTAACAACCCGCTCGGATAACTCCAGACAGCCACACGTACACGCTACTAGCACACTGTAGAGTCGTTCGTTGTGTGTGATGGTGTTCATCTTGGAGGCAACTCCATCAGCATAGTTTTGGGTTCAAGGCCCTGTATGCCCATTCTTTTTTCCGTACCTTCGAAATTCCAACCGCCTGAAGTGGCGACGCTGTTATAAACTTCCACGTCAAGGTCACATTTGCGTTTGTCCACCATGGCGACTGACTCGTTGTTCTCGTACAAGTTTTCAGACTATGTGCAAGGGGCACAGTCCCAGCACGACGTCGCCGCCAAGGTATATACATACTTTGACGCCACAACACTTTACCCGAATGTGCTGCAGATATGCAAGCAACTGTCCCTCGACCCCAACATGACTGTACAAGCTCTCGTGGCGCAGCATTTGGAAGGGTTGGCCGTGCCCCCAAAGCAGGCCACCATTCCGACGCAAACCATTTCTCACGCCCAGTACTTGCAACGAGGCCATGTTGTTCATTCCATCGTCCACGAAATTGTCTCTCGGCACCTTCTTCACGACGCCAACCCGGTCGTGGATCTCTTCTCCATCGACGCATTCGTCGCGAGGGTGTCATCGTTGAAGGACGCGTTTCCACCTTCATGGCTGCATGCGCTGGCCATCAAGGCCAACCCCCTTTCTGGCATTTTGCTGGCCGCCAAGCCTTTGGTGTGTTGTTTCGATCGATTTCCACTCACAATTGCGTGGTTCTACATGTCAATTCTATATTAGGGCGTAGGGCTCGAGACAGCGTCGATCGCGGAAGCCACGCACGCGTTGAACCTCGGGTTCGCCCCTCGCTGTGTGATCGTCGACTCGCCCTGCAAAACCACCGACGATTTGAAGGCGTTGCTGCAACTCGGGTGCTACCTCAACCTAGACAACGTGGACGAAATCCACAAAGTCCACTCCCTTTTGGCCGGCACAGTCCCGGACGCCCTTCTTGGGCTGCGGATCAATCCTGTCGTGGGGGGTGGGGCCATTGCTGCCTCCAGCACCGCCACCGCGACGAGCAAATTTGGAGTGCCGTGGACGGCCGCCACAGATGCCGACTTGATAGCCCTGTATCGGGATCACGCTTGGCTGCAGGGCGTCCATGTACATGTGGGCTCTCAAGGCAAGAAACACACGTCCATGATGCAACAATGTTTTTCATTATGAAAGCGATAGGTTGTGCCCTGTCGCTTCTGGTGGCCGGTGCGCAGCGAGCGGTGGCGTTCGCCAAGCAGATCAACCAAGCGCTGGGGCGGCATCAAATTCAAGTGGTCGATATTGGAGGGGGGGTGCCCACAGTTTACAACGGGATGGCCGAAGAGGCCGTCGAGTTTGCAGACTACGCTGCTTTGCTCCAGGTGTCTGTTCCGGGTATGCAATCGCTTCAAAAAGGATATACATTTCAATTCACGACTGTTTGTTATAGAACTGTTTTCGGGCGAGTTCCGCGTCATGACGGAATTTGGGCGCAGTGTGTTTGCCAAAGCCGGAATTACACTCTCGCGTGTGGAGACGGTGAAACGCATGAACGGTAACACATTCATATATCGTGGCTGACGACGGTATGTATGGAGTGCATGTTTATGTACTCTCACAGGTCAAAATATTGCCGTGGTGCACTGTGGCGCCAACCAGTTCCTCCGCCCAGTGTACTTGCCCACGACGTGGCCGCATGTGTTTTCTGTGTTTGATGCCCACGGGGTTCTCAAAACAGGTAATTTGGTGCCACAGGACATTGCAGGTCCGCTTTGCTTTTCCGGCGACGTCCTTTCCCGCGATGTGCATTTGCCTCAAATCGAGGCGGGAGACTACTTGGTCATGCACGACACTGGCGCGTACAACATGGCCATGTATTCCAAGTTCAACAGCATTCAAGCGCCTGCTGTCTATGCCTATCGCAACCACGGTAAGCTGATGGAATCGGCTTTGACAACGCTCATAACGTCTGCATGCGCTAGGAAACAATGGGATTCAGTTGAGTCTGGTCCGCACGAGGGAAACGGTGGCGGAAACGCTGGCGTTCTGGGGGCCCACGGAGCCGCTGTCGTGGTCGTGACAAGAAGATATTTGTGCCCCTTCAAGATAACTTTTAGGGCTCCTCTGGATGCCACAAATTATGGCATAAAATGACGAAAATCTCCATAAAATGGTGAAATGACAAAGCCGCGAAGTTGTTTCGTCTGGATACCGCAAAATCCAAAGGAAATATTACAAAATTATAGCTAGAAAGTTCAAGAATTATGGCATAAAAAAATGGACCAAAATGGTCAATTTCTCATGCAAAGACAGTCAATGTGACCACTTCAGCATCAATGTTCTGTCAAAACGGCGCTTTTCGAAAACCGCAGCAACCACACAGCACACAGATGGGCCTTTGGACCATCACATTGGACGAGATCGTGCAGCAGTCCACCATACGCATCACGGGACATTCGAAACGTCTCCTCGAAGGCATCCTCGTTTCCTTGCAGTATTTCGGCAACCCACAACGCCCCCGACAAGATGGAGACCCGCTTTGACGTCTTCAAGAGGTAGGCGGAGTAGTGGTAGACCAGGTATGACATCAACATCATGCGACGTCGCTTGAGGTGCCGCCGACGAAGCAGGATCATCATGGTCGTGACAATCGTTTTGGCGCGCAAGTTTGAATCCGGATGAATCCAGACGGTTTCACCATCTCTTGTTTTTGTATTGCGTTTGTATATTCGACAAATTTTGTAAAATCTCATTTCGAGTTTTGGCATATTTTTATGGCGTGGTATCCAGAGGAGCCCTTAACAATTGATGTTTTCATATTTTCCATGCGAGTATAAACTTTGGACATATATGGATTGATACGGTATTTTTCAAAACCAACAAAACTCGACGTTGCAGTCAAAGGATGTGGCGAGGGTCCCGCCGCGGGGTTGCGGCGCTGGCACATGCCAAGAAGGAAAGCATGCATGTGGTGCAACGACGCTCCATCTCTCTAGACGCGATGCGATCATCCTTGGCGACTTTTCCGCACACAGTCATTGGTACGACGCACAACGCTAGAGCCCTTGGCACTACACATCTGTTGTTCTGTAGACGATCAGCTGGACATCAAGGCGCTCACGAACGTCAGCACGATTGTGTCTGCTTTCAAACCGTCGCCGCTTCCATCAGGTTTGTATCTGCAGTAGAAATCGTGCTTCAAGCTTATTCGTTGCATTGCTCCAGACGACAACTTCCTCCGCTGGGTCGATGAACGTGTGCCTGTGAGCGACAAGACCTTGACCAAGGTAATGCCACCCTAGCAAAGCACGAGTTGTCATGTTGTCACATGTGTAGGAAGAATTTGACGCCACGGTGGCCGATGCCATCGCGACCATCTCGACATTGGAAGCGTCTGCCTGGCACGACACCGCCATCAGCGAAATCGACGTGGCAGGTTCAGACGACAACTCGATTCAAAAGCGAGTGGCGTATTTGCTGCTCAAGTACAAGTGCAAGGATGCCGCGCGATACTTTGCCTTGTTGGACAAGGACAACCAAGGTACCTTTCCTATGCCATGCATTCATGCGGATGCAATGACGTGCAATCTATGTTGTGATTATACCTGACGATCTTGGCACTTCTTCGTCATCACGAATAGGCGTCGTTTCGTCTGGAAAGTTACGGGACCTCCTTCTCGCGTATGCACAGGCGACGCCCGACGACTGGCTCGCTCGTACGAACCATGTTGATATATCTCGACGTATTTCATTCGTGATGATCGTTTGCACCAGACAACTTCAACGTGCTGGACACGAACGGCGACGGACTCGTGTCGGAAGCGGAGATGCACCAGCTTCTGCTCAACATCCTTGGCGTGTACAAGAGTGTGCTCAAAGATCTACTCGAGCACCACGTAAATCCCAACTCGTGTGGTGTACAATCCTTTTAAGTGCTTTGTAGACCAAACACTGGACAGCCAAGCACTCGAAGCAGCTGCCCAAGCTGCTCGTGGAGTTTGAGACAACCCTGAAAGTGTCCGAGAAGATTCGCTGCACGTGGCATTTTGCTGGCGTGCCACCCATCCCGGAAGAAGACAAGTTCAAGGATCCGCCGCCAGTGCCGCCGCGATTCACCATGTCCATCGACGAGCTGCGGACGTCGCTTGTACTGTGTTTATGCGAATCGGGTGATTTTGCTGATCGATTCGGTGGTAGGCCCAAGAATTTGAAGAGTTTCATTCCATGTTGCCACAGTACGCCCAGGCGGTCATGGATGGCCGGTACGTTCGTTCGCAGATTAACCTTGTCGTGCGTTCGTGATGTTGATATTCGTTGCGTGGTTGCAGGCGTGAGTTCTACGATGCCCGCAACTCGAAACGCACAAATTACTTGCGGGGCGTTAGCTTTGTCACATTTTGCGGCGTCGTCGACTACTTGATTACCATTTACGCGTAAATACTCGATTAATACCTACCTCCGTGTAATCGTCAACTTGTAATCCTTTCGCCCGCTTAACGTTGCTGCATGTCTGTCGCCATTGAGCTACACCACGTCCACACGCTTGGTTTTCGCCACTGGGGTCGTCGTAGTTGATATGGGCGCAGTGGTGGACGCCAGCACTGCTCGCAACGCCAATTCTAACGCTCCTGCTAGCGCGTCTAGCCGCAGGCTGGTCGTGGTTTCTAATGTCTCGTGCGCATACTGGTGCTGCGTCCTCGACGTGTCGAGTGCCGCCGACAAACTCGCCACGCGGGACTCCAACGCGTGGTAATCTCTCGTTCCCTGACATCAATGTCAACTTGAACACAATGCAGCAAGGTACGCGGGGGATGATGATGCAGAGTGCATGATAGTCACAGTGTATCGCAGTCACTTTCACTTTCACGGAGTGTTTCGTACATGTTGCGCTTCGGTGGCCGCGCGGTCCATGTGTCGCTGCAACATTTGCCGCAGCGCCGCCACGTCACCAACTTGATCGCGCAACGAGATCAAGTCGTGAATCACCGAATGCACCAACGTATCGTGGCGAATTCTGGTCGTTTCCACCGAGTCCCATCTCCGGTCGTGCATCTCCCCTGCCTCTATCAACCCCTTGATCAAAGTATTCACGTCATCATGTGCGAGCTGGACATTCGTCATTGACGGCATGACTACTTAGTTACCTTGCAGCTGCATCTCCATCCACTTGGATTGGTGAGCTATGCGCGCCTCCACTTCAGCCAAAGCAGCCATGTGTTTGTCGTTCAAGCTGACCACCCTCGTAGCCAGTTGATCTACCGCTGCCAACCGACTCGAATGTTGGCTCATCTCTGCGTCCGTGCGATGCAAGTGCGCTTTGGTTTGGTGCAAAGTGTCTTTCAACCGATCCACTTCGTCGCCCAGCGCTTGGCAATCTAATCACCAAGTTGTATGTCGTGGAAACTGAAATGACGATGTTGGTGGCTACCCTTTGATCGAAACTACCTCGAATGTGGTGGGTGAATCGAAACAAGAGGCGCTCCACCGCGGCTGTAAGTTCCTCCACGCGGTTGATGCAGTCGACTTGCACGGCTTGCATCTCGTGCTGCAAGTTGGCGCGCATCACGCTCAAGTCATCCGTGAGGAGCTCGGCCAACTTGCCTAGCCCTTTTCGCGTCGACGTCGCCTGGGCATTCAGGTACTCCATTTCTGTCTGCGTTTCCGTCTCCAGCTGGAGGTGCCGGCACGATTCTTCTTTGAGACTTCGAACGAGCGACGCCAGGGTTTGAAATTCCATCCGCTCGACCTTTACCAATATAACTTCACACAGTTCGTTTGTCCACCATCATTTACGTACAGGGCACGCATTCACAGTCGCGCGAGAAGACACTGTATGACGAAGATGCGGTTCCTTCGACGTCGACGCTCGCTTGCGCATAGTGTTTGTGGTGGTTATAGCTGTAGCACGTAGAACTTATGCCTCCTCAAGGTCGAGAAAATTAATACTCTGAAACGCACGAAACTGACGTACATACCAAACTCAGTTACGTTTTATATGGAAGTGTCCTTTTGAGAATAATCGCCGAGTGTGACTTGACCGATGGTGGCAACGAATGCAGGCTCGAGGTGTCCGCTTTCCACGCCCCCGGACGAGGGGTCGAGAAGAACGATCCCATGTCGAGCATGAGTCGGTTTGCCAGCGCGCTGCTCCATCCTAACCGGAAGGGGGCGACGGGTTCAAGATGTGGTACCTGAACTACGACAACATGGGCAAGGCAGCGTTGGAGCTACTCGTTGTGATCGTACCCCCCCCCGCGGTACCAAGATGCAGATCATCAAAAAGCTTTGGGGAGCCCCGTGCTCAACAAACTGCAAATATTGGACGACAAGGTCGCCCCGTCGTGTCAAAGGAACCACCGACAATGGACGTAGTACCTTCGGAACCGTAGAATCGCAGCCGCCGGAGGAGCCTGTTCTTGAGCACCTGCGATCCAAGTTGGCCTTGGCGCCTCCACTGCAGAACAATGAAGAGGGCATACTGCACACACACCTTGGCATCCTCGAAACGAAGCAAGAACAAACCCTGACTCAAAACAAAGCCATCATAGCCACGTTGGGAAAGTTGCTGCAACTGCTGCGATCGACGTGACTACGTATTGCTAGCAAGTTAAACTAAATTCGCCAACGTAGTGACTGACTACGTAAGCCCAAGGCGCGCCAACACTTCGTCCGCAATCGCAAGCGACGACGTTAAGCCGGGGGATTCGATGCCGCAGCAATGCACCAGACCTGGCATGCCATGGTGGGAGGCGTCCTAGCGTCAAGATGTGCATGTTAGAGAAAGTGTGGGCTGGACGAAGCTTACAGCCAGCATAAAATCCAAGTCTGCGTCGTGGGGGCCGCCTAGTTTTGGGCGGATACCGCAGTAGTCGGGGACGAGGTCGTGGTGGGCCATCGCTGGCCAGTACGCGGCAATGCGAGAGGCAAATTCTTGCGCTTTCGAAGCATTGACCTAAGCACACAGAATCACAATCAGTCCAGAGCAATGGATTGTAACAGATCATCGTACAGTGTACTGCATTTCACCAGTCCAGTCCACGTCTGGTCCAAAGCGTACGTGGCCTGTCATGTCGAGGGTTGCATGGACTCCCAGTCCACCACTTTCTGGCACTGGGTAGATCAGATGGCTACCCCAGACAACCCATGACAATGATCCCGATGTTGTATTCGGTCTCGTGGTTGCAATGACGTGATTTCGTACCGAAAGGGCTTGACAGTGTTGGACAAGCGAAAGTAGTTGCCTTTGGCAAACATCGAAGGCGTAGGTACTGCAAACTGGATAGGGTCTACGAACGACAAGTTTGGTCACGGAACTTCAAACGAGGGATCGTGTTGCGTACAGGGGAACGAATTGGCAACGAATGGGGCGCCCAGCCCGGCGCAGTTGACCACAAAGTCACACGGCAGCTCGTGCAACGTAGCGCCGTCGTCGTCCATTTGATAGCGGAGAAGGAACTCGTTGGATGAAGCGTTCCAGTCGCCGCTGTCCACGGAGCAGTGGAACGCAAAGCTGGCGCCGTGCGCTTCGGCATCTCCTGCCATTGGATTGCATCACGTTTTGTAGTCAGGATTGAAGCAGCATGATACCTTGCAAAGCGAGCATGAATGCATGCGAGTCGACGATACCAGTGGACGGCGACAGCAGGCCCTACGTTGTTGATGACGATAGCTTGAAAACAAAGGGCATTGTTGTACCCCTTCACTGTGAACGTCAGGTTCCAACCTCGCCACTTGCGCTTTGGACATAATTTCAATGTCGTGCACGCCGTTGGCCTGCGCTTTTGCCTGAATTTGACGAAGAGTGTCCACTTGGTTTGATGAGGTGGCCACGACGAGCTTGCCGCATCGTTGGTGCGGGACGTGGAAGTCGCGGCAAAAGTCGTATAACAGATGCTTTCCTCGGACACATAGCGTAGCTTTGAGGCTGTTCTTTGGGTAGTAAATGCCGGCGTGAATCACCTCGCTGTTCCGGCTTGAGCATTCCAGTCCAATGGCTACAGTACGTTGATCTAATGCACAGTCGAGACATGGGGATAGCTACCTGCGTTTCGCTCGAGAACCACAACTTGTAGGCCGCGACGAGCTGCGTGTCTAGCAACTGCGAGACCGACGACGCCGCCGCCAACTACGGCCAACACCTTCCCTGACATGTCTGTACGTTCTATGATCCATTTCGTGAAGTTGGCGCGACACGGTATCCGGATTTTTCGTCGTCTCTGTAGTACTGTAGGAGTGTTGGTCCTTGGGATTTCAATGTGAAAGGCCAACAATTTGACGACCATGGCAGATGGAGGTCCCAACGAGTTGGCCGTGACGGCCGTGACCATCTACAACAACAAACGTGCGTTCGTGGAGAGAGAAAGCTTTGATTTCGGTGATGCCGAGAAGCAGTTCCGCATCGCTGTGCCTGCAAATCGACGCAGCGCCATTGTAGAGTCCATGACCGTTCGCTGCGACGGCGTTGCTGCGTCCGTGAGGTATGGCGGTGATCTCTTGGACAAATCTCCCGAAGTGTCAGTTCGTAAACGCGAGTTTATCGTGGGAGCGAGTGTCACACTGGGAGATTTCTTGGGTGGAAGCGGCGTCGGGGAGAGCGTATACGTACGAAGTTTGGCCGGCGTCGAGACGGTCGGCAAGATCTTGCTTGTGGAGAAGAAGCTCGTGGTAATTGGAACGACAACGGCAGGTCATGTGATCACGGATCACGAGTGGAGCACGCTACGACTGCTTACCCCCCACCACGACATCGTCGCTGTGGCCTTGTCACAAGTCGATGTCATCAAATTCGAAGATCCGGTGACTCAGGCGGCGCTAGTGTCTGCGTTGTCGTCGACTGCAGTGGCGTACATCCCGACCCCGTCTGTGCCGACAAGGGACGCCCACCTTGCTGACATCTTCGTGTCCACGACCCCCATCGCCACCGTATCGTCGCCGCCCTCTGGTCGTCCAACTTTGTCCGTGGCCTATGTAGACGTAGCCGACGCATACCAATTCCAATTTGTCATCGCGTTCAACTCGGATCGAGAGATGAAAACGCATGCGATCGCGTCCATCGCGACGGTGGAACTGCTTGCCCGCGTCCGCAACATTTCAAGCGATCCGTGGCACAACATCCGCTTGTCCCTTGTCGCAGACGACCTTCAAGTGGTCGCCATCAAGGACGATGTCAAGCCCCCCAAAGCGACGCCGTCAGCGTCTGCCCTTCCGGATACCGAGATCTTCATCAAGACGTTGACGGGCAAGACCATCACGTTGACCGTGAGGATGGGCGTGACCATATTCAAAGTGAAAACCCTCGTGCAAGACAAGGAGGGTATACCGCCAGACCAGCAGCGCTTGATTTTTGCTGGAAAACAGCTCGAAGATGACCGGACGTTGGCCGACTACAACATCCAATCCCACTCGACCCTGCATCTGGTGCTGCGGTTGCGCGGGTCGTCTGGAAGTGGCGATGTTGGAGGTGCGAAGCAACCACGTGACGGCTCGTACGAGCAACTAACAGAGTCGCAGCTCAAGTCATCAGTCGCGACCGAACACGTCGTGTTTGCCGTCCCGGGCACCGTGTCGCTGCGGGCTGGCGAGTCCGCCGTCGTGTCCGTTGCCAAGGCCGAGTGTCCGTGCGAGTACCAGTACGTGTTCGATCCCAAGGAGAGCGCTGTGAACGCTCTCGTGGGGGTCCGCCTCACCAACACGTCGTCACAGGTGTTTCCCCCGGGCATCGGCAACCTCGTCGAGAACGGCCGGCTCCAGGCCCAAGTGCCGCTCACCCCCATCGCCCCCGACGAGGACCTGGTACTACCCCTGGGGACCGACGCGTCCTTGTCGGTCTCCGCCACATGTCCGAAAGATCTGCAAGTCGCCACGATCGTGGCCACTCACCTCGAGCGACGACGACCAGCAGATGATGCAGCACCGAGTCTGAACTTGATTGTGGACCGAGAGGTGGCCCGGCACACTGTGTACACTGTCGCAAACGCCAGCCACGTCCCCAAGCGACTGGTTCTGTACCACTATGCCAGCGCCATCCACGGCGGGTACGTGATTCAAACGATGCATCATGTGGTCAAGAGTGTGGTGGGGTTTGCCGCGTACGAACTGCCGCTCGATCCAGGCCAAGAGCGTCAGTTCACCGTCGTGGAGACGGCCACGTACAGCCAAACGCTGCCCACCGAAGTTGAAGGAGGCGGCAGCTACCACAAAAAGAACAAGTTGCTTGTGCAGTTCTTGGAGAAACACGGGGCATCGCATGTCAGCTCGGCCGATCGCGCCGCCCTCGCCGCCGCCAACGTGACGCGGAAGACCACGCGGGTGTTGAAAACGCTGGCCAGTCGTCTGGAACAAAGCACCAGGAGCGTTGCTAGTACTAGTAGTACTAGTCACGTCGCTCCCGAGTCGGACGTTGCCAAGTGGACGCGCGTTCTATCCAATCACGACGACATTCTGCACGGGTTGCAGCGCCTGGTGTCGATTCATGACGACCTCGACAAGCGGCGGCATACCGTTGACCAGGAGCAGCTTGCGATGGACACGATTGTCCGAAACCAAGCCAGATTGCGCGAGAACATCGTCGCACTGGAAAAAGTCACGACCAAGCACGACCTCCTCACTCGGTACTTGAACGATTTCAACTCGGACGAAGACGCGCTGGCCGCGTCCCGACTGGCAACCAACCGCGCCGCCGACGACCAGCGCTCGCTGCAACGCGAAGGCGCCGCGTTAGTGCGCGACCTACTCGGTCGAGTCAAAGCGAGTCTGGCGCTGTGAGACCAGCGGAAACGACGACGTCGGCAGCATCGATAAACGCTCAGTCGATCGTTCAACTACTGCGACACTGTATCCGACGAATCACAGTGTCGTCCCAGAGGTTGCTCATATGGATCAAATAACCATGACCATATATAATCAAGAACGTCGTCGCATGAATGAAATTATTTTACGTCAGAGTTGGCTGTGAATATCCATCCGACTTGTCCAGCCGTTACACTGCACCGTTTCGGACTGTCGTACCGGTTACATTTCTGGTTTCGTCCAGTTGGCGTTGCCTTTATTGCACACGTCGAACATGTCAATTTCTAAATCAGCGTCCATGGTGCAGCAGCCCGTGGATCTGGACGATGGGGCCATCCCCTCAATCGCGCCAATACGACAGTCGCAAACGCTTACACGACAGAAGTCTGTCGCAGGACAACTGATGCATGTCCCGACCACGGCTCTTCGTGGCCCGTCGAGTTTCATGTCGGTGAATGCGCCCACCAAGTGGTGGAGAGAGTGGCTTTTCGTGCAATGTCTTGTTGGTCGAAGTCGAAACATGCCAAACGACGATGCACGTGTCGCCGAAAGGTAAGTTAGTCGATTTTCAATCTCAAATTGTTCCAACGTGTCAGTACATAGGCAACAGAGTGGCGGTCCCACTTCTGGCATGCCAGACAACCCAAACACCTTGGGCTGACGCGCACCAAACACGTGCACATCAAGCAAGTCGAAGGCAACCCCGTGCTGGAGAAGCTCTTGGACTTGAAAGTGAGCGTGGCGCAGATGTCGGCCAAAGTCGAGCTGCAGCGAGCGTCGCGTGAGTCTCTGCCGTCGCAAGATCAGCATCGTGACGACGACGCGTCACCCGGATCAAGACCTTGTGCAACCTCCGGCACGAAAGGAGGTGTTTTGTCGCGTTTGGCCCCGCGAGGCAGTGCATTTAGCTTTTCAGCGTGCTTTTCCAATGTACACGTACCCCACACAGCTCATCATACTTGCCAGTTCATCGAGCGTCGACGAATTCGTCGAACTTGACAGTCAAACGCACACTCGAACTCGAGCAACAAGTCGCCGCTTTGATGGACATGCAAGCGAAGACTAACGCCCAGAACGGTATGATAGCTAGTCTATAGATACGGTATCATAGCTACTAGTCTATAGATAGGCCAATGCTGCCGCCATGTACATGTCGTTTTGTCGGAAATGAGCTGTACCGGTAGAGCTAGGACCAATACTGATAGCTCCGTTTTCAACAACTATACTGTACTATTCCTGGGAACGTGACATTATAACCAAACCTACAACGCGACTACTCTGTACACCAACTCGTAACTACACATCGAGAGGTCGTGTGTGGACATTAGATCCACGAAGACTCGCCAGACACGCCGCGTCGCTTCTTGGCTGGCTTTGCGTCTGGATTAATAAACACGATCTTGCCGTTCGTGGTCGTTTGGGCTTTCCACAGGGACGGCCGCTCTATGCTACTGCGATCTGCATCTCTCGATCGTTTGTTGCCCAGAAGGTGCTTCAGCATGTCTTTCCAGTTGCGCTTGAGTGGCCCTGCCACGGCAGTGTCTCCCTGCTCGTCCACCATGGAGCATGCATGTCGACTCGACATGGGAGTCGCGTGGAATGTCCAGTCGCCCGATCCGCAATCGTCGGAACTGCTCATGGAACTCGACCGCCGACGATTGATAAACGACCGGGGGGCGCGGAGTGTTTCCACTTGGCGTTCGAGAAAGTCAATGCGGCGCTGGTACCGCGTCTGCATGTCGAGCTTGTCCTGCGCGAGTTGGGCGAGTTGGGCACGTAAGAGTTCGAGTTGGTGGTGGGGGTCTGTTGCGGCGGTATTCATTGATGAAGACGATGTTATTGTGGAGGTGGCGGGGCCAGACATCTTGATTTGTTCGTCGGAGGAAGGATTGGTGAATGGAGGCAAAGAGACAGCTACAGTACCATGAAACTGGATGAGATGCGTGTGCTCACGGTCCACATCAACTGACCATACTGCATCACTACTACGCCCGCCTGCGAGGCACCTGTAGAGCCCCCAGCAGGAACCTCGCCACCTGTGGACATTCATGCCAGCTAAACAGTGCGGCGCTGTTTTGCACGAAGGCCAAGGTGTATCAAGGGCCATGACATGACGATCTTGGACCAGCGCGTCGCCATGTGTGTGACAAGCCCGTTCGTTACATGCGTTACACGAGGTCATCAACAATTTAATAAACGGAAGTCGACTGACTTGATATTAGTATGCATTCGGTGCGGAAAGAATTAAATTCCACTTCAATCTGGCCACAGGTGGCGGATCAATGTAAAACCTGGAGAACTTGACTGTGAATACAAATATTCATATTAGCCACATGACAGGTGATTTTAGTGAAAATATTGGTTCGAATTTCGAAGTAATGTTATGACTGGGCTTTCGTGAAACCATTATTGGATCGAATTTGGAGTTTTCACAAATATTCGTCATAAATTAAAATGATTACGACAAATATTCTGCCCAATCCAAACTTACAGTTTAACTATGCAGAATTCCAACTGCACGATCATCTGAACAGTCGCCATGGCCGCCGCTGTGCACGCAAGACTTCAAAGCCAGGCGAAGAGCATCCTTCAATATTGGTTCGGCTCTACGTACCCCCAATCCATTGAGATGCGGCAGATGTGGTTCAAGAAGGATGCAGCGATAGACGACGCCATTCGCGACCAGTATGGCGCGTTGGTCTCGGATGTCCTTGCCGCGGATTCTGACGTTCTCTTCCGTCTATTGCGTGAGAACGAGGCGCAAGTCAAGCTCGCGGCAGTCCTCTGTCTCGACCAATTCACGCGAAACATCTATCGCGACCAGGCCACCGCCTTTCATGGAGACCGCCTGGCGCAAGCGTTCGTGGAGGAGACGGTGGGGTCCCCGGTCGCCATGCGCGAGATCAAGCAGCTTCATGCGCTCGAGCAAGGGTTCTTCTTCATGCCTCTCATGCACAGCGAAGACAAGCGCGTCCATGTGGTGGCAGAGCGCGTGTTCAACGACCTGTCGGCGGATTTCGCGGCGAATCCTGCGCTCAACGGCACGACTGCGTATTTTGCCAAGTTTGAGCACGACCACAAGGCCATCATCGATCGGTTTGGGCGATATCCCCACCGCAATGCCATTCTCGGTCGCGAGAGCACACCCGAAGAAATTGAGTTCTTGCGTCAACCCAATTCGAGCTTTTAGTAGTTGTTCAACGGAATATCATACTATTAATAGTATTAATAGCAGTTGTAAATATTAATAATCATTGTCCAATAATAACATGATCAATTCTGTTTCAGTAGGAATGAGGAGCCCACGGACGACGCGATGGTCACTGCAGTAGAGTCGTCCACAGACAGAATTGGATGGTAGCAACTTTTTTGGCCGCGATTCCAACTACTAGTAGTAGCATACTAGTAGTAACATACTATTAATAGTAGGCAGTAACTACGGGTTGTACCAGTATAAAATTGCCGAACATTTGAACATCAGATCTCCTTGGTGCTCTTGTGTACTACATATCCAACTTTAGATCCAGGATGCCTCTGCCGTCCACACGGCGTCCTCGTCGCCAAATCATTAGACAAGGCATGATGACTACGTAGTACAAAACTCATATTCAACCATCATTCTTCCGCTTCGAGCTTCTCTGTCGAGTGGTCGTCGATGCCTTGTTGTTCTAGTGCTAACCTTTCGATTGAATCGCATATCGTACAAGGAATAGTATAAACATACCTCGCTCGTGGGCACGGATGGCACTGGCGGCCACAAATTCTTCTTGGCTCGTGTCGGCTTGTTCCTGGAGCGTGTCCATCTCTTGGTTGAGCAGCGACGACAGCGGGAGGGACAAGAGGTAGTCAAAATCGCGTCTACACAAGCAACAATCAAATCATGATGGGAAACCATAGGAAAAAAACAAAACCCCGACGTACTCGTTGTCGACGAGGTCAAACCCGCGCTGCTTCATGTCCTTGACCACGTCCTTTCGATCCCGCCGTCCGAGCTTCAGCTTCCCGTCAGCGATCGCATTCACAAACAGCACTTGGTTCATCAGTTTGTTGTTGAGGGTTTCCATGACACAGAGGCAGTGGCTCTTGACGCAGTGGTTGCACGTGGGGCACTTGGGTTCGTCGTTGCACGAGCACCCGTCCGACTCGGCGGGGGGGCAGTCGCAGTGCCGGGCGATGCAGTTTTGGCACAGATCGCACTTCTTTCGGTGGCACACACACGTCTTGCGCTTCTTGGCCACGCTCGTGGGCAGCGCGGGGACGGGCGGTGGCAGCAGCGATTCTAGCTTGTCGTCGCCAGACACTGTCGATTCGTCGTCGTTGTCTTCGCCGCCGCCATCGGACAAGTCTGCGTTCTTCCCGTTGCATTTGCAATGACGCGAGAGGCAGTTGCGACATGTTTCGCACTTCTTGCGATGGCAAGTGCAGCCCCGGATCGAAGATGGAGCGAGGCGCTTGGTCGTGGCGCGCTTACGAGGCTTGGCGGCAGCCTCGACTTTAGTCACCGCAGCCAAAGGTTCTTCCTCTTTCGCGGGCTCGTCGTCACTTGATACCGCCTTGGCCCGCTTCGACCGACTGCCTTTTTTGCACGTGCAGTGTCGTTCCACGCAACTCAGACACGTGGTGCATTTCTTCTTGTGGCACTTGCATGATTTGTGAAGGACCGGAGATTGGAGTGCACGGAGGCGACCCACGGGGTCGGGGATGTCGGGGTTCGTCTTAAATGGCTGGGGGCCTTTCAGTGGCAACTCGGGGGCGAGCAACGCGTGCGCGAACGAGCCCGAACCCACCTGCCTCGAGGCGGTGGCGTCGGTGGAGATCAGGAGGTTAGTCTCCGTCAGGTATTTGCGCCAGTTGACCGCTGACGTCTCCGCGGCCACGTCCTTCACCGCGCCCCCCTCGTCGTCGGGGGCATCCTTCCGCTTCAAGCTCATCCTTCGACACAGTTCAAAAATGGGATTTGGACCGAAGTATTGTTTTGACCAATCACAGGCCTCGAATGGACCGACCTTTTGATTGGCTCCTCCTCCAGCCTTTCTTTTTCTCTGCCGCACTGTGGCGGCGCGCGGCCAACTGCAAGTGAGAAAGAACTCATGCTAACGTTAATGCGAAGGATACGTGTGCACTCCACGACTATTGTCCTCGCAAGTTGAAAGGACAAACAGTATAGTACATGGGATGTGCTTATGAAGGTCGAGATCGCCGTCGACTCGGTGCTTCATCCGGCATCGCCTTGTCGAGCAAGCGTTTTCGACTCGCGACGCCGCCGTTTCGACCTCGGCTTGCATTTTGCGGTGGTGGCAGCGGATCATTCGACAGGAATATCCTTGGCGACGGCGGTCGCAAGAATCTCGACACGGGCAGCGACAACAGGTAGTCAAAGTTGCCCCTACACTCGAAATCGTCATGTCAAATTTTGCATCCACATGGGCATTGCATACTCGTGTGTGTCAAACTTCTGGGCGTGCAGGTCGTCGTGGAGGTCCTGCGCAGTGCGACCGACGAGTTGCAGCGTGCTTTCTTGGACCGCTTGGACAAATCGCAGTTCGTTCTTCCTTCGAGCGAGGAGCGTCAGGGGCGGCGGCGCTGGAGATTGCGACGTCGGTCCGCATGTGCAGTGGGTGGCAAAGCAGTGCTGGCAGACGGGGCACTTGGGCACGCCGTCGCCACACCCGCACTTTGTCGCACACACGCAATGGGTTTTGATGCAGTACGTGCAGCTGGCGCATCGCTGGTACGCGGGTGGACATGCGCTGCATTTCTTGGACGAAGAAGACCCGCTGGGTGGTCTAGAGGTCGCCACTTGGTTGGATGGTTTCGCGGCCTTTCGTTGCGTTCTAGTCGGCAAAGGAATGGCCTGCGGCTCCGTCGTTGCAAACCAATCCACTTCGTCGTCGTCGCTGTCACTTAGTTCCACTAGTTTCATGGGGGGCTTAATGGAGGTCTTGACAGGAGTCTTGGCAACGCGGGGGCTTCGAGTAGGAGTTGGCTTGGCAATCTCCTTGGACAGTTTGCTTGGTTTGGCGGTGTTTGGTTTGGGTGGAAGGGCGACTGGCGGCGACGTCTCCCACAGATCAAAGTCGTCGTCATGTATTGACGGCTGCTTTGTCTGGCTCGTGGTGGGATGCGCTTTTGCGGGTGGGGGGATGGACGTTTTCTTGGGTTTCGGGGGCAACGCCACAGGTGGAGACGTCAGCCACGCGTCGAAGTCGTGGGGGGGTGCCTTGGACAGAGGAGGGGAAAACGTTCTATCTCGCGGTCGTTGGTTCTTGGGGGTGGTGGTCGCTTTGGACGCCTTGGCAGGTTTCTTGGCTGCACTGGGGGGCAAGTCTCGTGTTGGTTTTGTGTTACCTTTGGCCAACACAGCAGCGTCCTCATCCCACAGCGCTTCGTCGCTGTCGTCGCTGTCGTCCAGTTTGCAAGTGCAGGGCGCTGATGCCTTGCACTTTGAACAAGGTCGTTTGGGAATGCTAGGGGTGGCGGCGGTGGTGGTGGTGGTGGGGGTGGGGGGTGGTGTAAGAAACGAATGCTTTGGCACCCCCCGACGGCGATCGGCGCTGGGACGTGGCGCCGCTCCTGATGACAACTGACTACTCGACGATGATGCTGACGAGCTTGTGGCCGACGGAGTGTTCGTGGTCAGAGAATGGAGGAACTCGGTCGCGGACTTCAACGACATGCGGGGGGGGTCAAAGGGGGGTCGCTTCTCGGCGTTGGGGGCGGAAGCGGCAACATGGTTCATGGACACTTGTGCCAGTTGGGGGGTTGCTTCCTACAACGGTGGCAACAAAGATTGAGTGGAATTTGCGTCAAGTTGAGTTGTGAGGCACCTGTTTGAGCTTCAAGTGGGAGGCGACGGCGTCGAGGATGGGCTGGATGTTGTCGGCTGTGTGGCCTGTAAACCACCCACAGGGCAATTCGTCGTCGTGTGGTTGCGACATGGAACTTTCGTCGCCAGTCATGGCTCGAATGTGGGGCATCGCGAGGAAAAGTCCTAAGTTTTCCCATGGGGACATGGAGCGTTGCTTCTTGAGCCGTCGTGAGTACATGTGCATGGCGGGCCAGATCCAGTACTTGAGCACTTGGCGCAACGTTCCCGTGGCAGGTTGCGGCGATTTGAACTCTGCCATCGTCGACACAATCGGCCAGTCTGTGGTATAACCTACCCCGCCCCGTTATCACTCATGTCCATCAAAACAGAATGTACTATACTTGTGTTCGACACCAGCATGCTGTGGAACTGCAGCAGTTGAAATTGACTCTGCAACGTGAACCCGTGGAAAAAGTAGCCTGAATACACGACACATGTGGAGGCCGCCGCCGCCTGCTCGGGCACGTGCGACGCCCACAGCCACCCCGGCGGAATGAAGAGCGTGTCGTGAGGCGCGGCCATGTCCACGCGGTGGCAGCCGTGCATGCCATTCCCCATAAACAGCAGCGTGAATCGCGCTACGTGGTGCTTTTCGTTGGCGGCAAAGTGCGACAGGTTGACGGGCGACGGCGGGATCAGGTACACGGTTAGGGGGAGGCCGTCGCCGAGGGTGAGCCACGCCGACGTGCCCCACGGATTCATGCGGAAGTCCCGAAAGGACGCCGGACCTCGGACAGTCACAAACGTGTTGGGGTTGAGAGGTCCGGTAGGGTTGAGTTGGTGAAACCAGTCCAGGTCCCGCACCACTACAATCAACACAACATACGCTCAACGTGTACAGTACGTGGATCGCGGGTAGGAGTAAATGTACTTGGAGGGGCCTTGAACTGCCGCTCCAACGGCGTGTCTGCAATGGGAAACTCCACAAGGGACCGCCGGAACCGATCGCCTCGGCAGTGCAGCTCCAAGTCGTCCCCATTGCATGGTTGCAATGTGGTTGCGTTGGCTACGGCAACTTTGACGGCACTGTCGCCGCTGGCTACATATTGCGATATATAAGCCGCCGAGAATGGATTGTTTTTGATGAACATACCTACAAGGGACGGCACGTCTTTGGGGTTGATGCGGCCGTCGGGAATGAGCATGCCTGGAAGTTTACCATGTACGAAGATGGGGTCCCGGAACCCATTGCCTTGGACCATCGCCGACGTGATGACCTACCCGCTCGACATGAGCGCATGTCCATGTGAGGAAGCCGCTTACCTCTGGGGCGGCACATCGAATCGCCACGGTCGGAAATATTGCATTGCGCAAAAACAGGCGAAAGTCGTCTTGGGAGGTACCTAGTTTGACCACGGTAGCATACCACGCTGCGGTGTCGGCAGTCGACATCCCTGGCAATATATGCACCTTGGACGGAGGATCGATGTCTAGAGCACAGGTTGCATCGTGCATATGAATCAAAGCAATTTGGTGGACGGACGGACGGACGTACAGGTGGTTTCGTGGCCTTTCCTGACGCAGAGCGTACATGCATATTGGCATGTCCGGAGTGCCTCTGCTTCGAAGATGCCAGCACAACTGGCATGTAGGTACTGGTTGCAGAAAGAACACAAGATGTCAAAGCCCAAGTCTTCGCGTGGTTGCTCGCAGACTCGGCAACCATGCTGTGATCGCGTTGCCGTTGCCATGTCACCCAGCAATCTTGGTTAACTGGTCGAAACGTACCATGCGATTGGTTTAAATGACATCCAAATGTCCCATGATTGGTCGACTCATTCGTTTCGTGCGATTGGATTGGCTACAAAATTCCAGGAATCTCATGCTGCTGCACTCTCTTTTCAGTTACTCGGATGACAAGGATGGTACCACACAAGCATGTGAGGCGTAGCAAGTGATGGTGCATGTCGTCAAGACTCTGGCTACCGGTAGGCACTGGAATGCCGCAGGCAGGCTGTTCGGCAGGAACGACCCTAATTACTACTCCTTGGATATACCTAATTAGGATCAGTCTTGGTCATATAGTATATACTGTCCCAGCAACGAATAAGTTTACCAATAGACTGGATGTACCTAATTAGGATCATACTTGGTCAATGTATCCTGGCAACGAATTTAGATCGTTTCTGCATCTTCGCCCGAGAACACGAGGAAAACAGTTGTGAAACGCCCTCGCAACCATCGCCATGAACGATTCGTTACTCGATGAGCTGGAGAAGGCGGACGTCCATCGACACGACATGTATGACACTGATGCGGCGTACCAACCGTTGCTTGAAGAGCACAACGAAGCGACCACTGTGAACCCGATCAAGAACCAGCGATCGCGATCTGCCGAAGACGCTGAAGCGTTGTGGGCAGAGCTACACAGCCACCCTCCCCAAGAGCCTGCTCGTGAGTCTCCGTCTAGTGGGTTCAAGTTTCGGTCGCAACTGGCACAGCTAACGAGCAACATCCGCCCACCCACGACCGCACGTCAGTTCCGTGGCACGGGGCCACGAGGTAGTCCCAACAATCCCAACACTCGTGGAGGCTTCCCTCCATCTCCTTTGTCGACGACGTCCCACACGAACATCGACGTCCGTCGGCACCTGAAGCTGCCATCGCTCGCCGACATCAAGCACAACTGGCTCTTGACGTCGCGGGGCCGCCACGTTCCCGACGAGCATGGCTATGTGGAGAACGTGGACGCGTTCTTGATCGCGCTGTACAACTTTTACTACCACAACGGCATGTCGTGCTACGTAGGGAAGGAAGGCGTCCAGCTGCTGAACCTGCTCTTCACCGTGTGCCTGTCGTCGTTCGTGATGGGGTGCATCCAATGGAGCGAGCTCGCGTCGTGTCCGTCGAGTCCGAAGGGATGCAAGCGGCCGCTGTCGGACTTTGTGTCGTGGCGCTTCGAGGGCCACTTGACGTCCACGGTGGTGCTGTTTTACTTTGTGCTTTTCTTTGCATTTTGGGTCACACGGGTGCTGGCGTTCGTGTCGAATGCCCGGGACGCGTACGACATGCATGCGTTTGTGGTGGAGAAGCTGCACATCGACGCGCGCCAGATCCAGACCATGACGTGGAACGACGTGGTGGACCGTGTCATGGCGCTGCTGCCGCCCTCGCCAGCAGCCAACCATCCATCATCGAAACCCGCGCCGTTTCAATCGTCATATCAGCTTCAACTCGACCCAGCGCAGCTCGACACGCCGCTGGCCATCGCGCGCCGCATCATGCGCAAGGACAACTTTATGATTGCGTTTATGAACGCCCCCGTGTTCCAGAACACGGTGCCGTCGTGGCTGCCGCTGTCATCGCATGCAATCTTCAGCCGCAACATGGAGTTCAACCTACAGCTTTGCATCTTAGACCCGATGTTCGATGACACTACCTCGTCATCTGTCCTGTCGGCGGAAGACCTCAAGAAACGGCTGGTCACCGTGGGCATGGTCAACCTCTTCCTCACGCCGTTCCTGCTCCTCTTTCGGTCCATCCAGTTCTTTCTCCTCGGCGCCCAAGAGTGGTCGGTTAACCGCACGACGTACTTGAGCTCCCGTCGGTGGAGCCCCCTCGCCCTCTGGACCTTTCGCGAGTACAACGAGCTGCCGCATGTGTTTGACGCACGCATCCAAGCCGCGGCGCCGCTGGCCGAGGCGTACCTGGGCTTGTTTCCGTCGGGGCTGGTGTCCATCGTTGCGAGCGGCGTCGCGTTCTTGGCGGGGTCCATCATGGCGGTGCTCATCTTCGTGAGTCTCGTGGAAGAGTCGATCATCCTCGAGGTCGAAGTCGAAGGGCGCCAGCTGATCTGGTACTTTACGATTGCCAGCGGCGTGTTTGCCCTTGCCCGGAGCTTCCAGTCGACGTCGCGCTTTGTCGTGACCGAGTCGTGCGAAGACGCGATGACCTGCCTTGCCGCCGAAACCCACCACTTTCCGTCGGCGTGGAAGGGGTTCGTACATATATATATATATATATTTTAAAGTCAGTGTTATGATAGTGTCCATATACCCCGACGACTTTTGTGCTGAATCGCCAAATTCTGTTATTGTCCTTTTACCCAAAATGTGGACGTTTGTGCTGATCCGTGAAATCCATCGATCGAGTTTTTTGTACTGAAGTTTGTATGTAAAAAAATGCTTGTGGTGATTGGAATCACACTAATTGAAATCTTACACTAATTAGATGTTGATGATGGTTGCCTGCAATCTGATTGGCTAAATCCTTTTGACGATGATTCTTGTGTCCATTTCTTTGGTTGTGTCGATTCATTCTCCAGTTTTAGAATAAACACAACAATATTGTGCTTTCGAATGAAATTTCCTGTTGTGGTTTCTCGTTGGAATTTAAATCGATTTGATTGGCTACCTCAGATGAGCTCAAAATTATTAGCCAATCCAATCCCATTTCTCAATGAAATTCAACCAATCAGATCGATTGTGGATCGGTTTGGTCGGCGCGATTGATTCGATTGCACCCCCTCCCCAAATTTGTATATCAAATCGACAATATACCCATCATGATCATCTCGATTCTTACTGACATGTTAGACAAAGCCACACGTTTGCCACGCGCGATGCGTTGCTGGCGCTGTTTCCGTACAAGACGGTGCTGTTCCTGGAAGAATGCGTGTGTGTGATGCTCACGCCGTTCGTGTTGAGCGTGTCGTTGCCGAGCAACGCGGACGAAATCGTCGACTTTATCCAAGCGCACTCGGTGACAGTGCCGGGTGTGGGCACAGTGTGTCGATTTGCCGAGTTTGACTTTAAAGCGTACGGCGGCCAAGCCAAGATGGAGAGCTCGTTCCTGAACTTTAAGCGCCATCATCCGTCGTGGCATGGCCCGATTGAAGGCGAAGACTTGGTGCACAACGTGAGTCGATTTCGCGATAACGAGCTGGAAAGGTCGCTCCGGATGGGGGATTCGTTGATCGGGCCCGAGATGTATATGACGAGAACGATGCTGGGCGACAGCATGTTTCACAGCACCACGGGAGGAGGATTGATGTCGCAGTCACATCAACTGCTGCAATCGCAAGCGATTCACATGGCGTTGGGAGGTGGTGGCCCACATTCGAGCGAGTACTATTGGCTGCAAAAGGTATAACTATTTCTCCTCGTACTTGATATAAGACAGGTTGTGATTGATGAACTGCTTTGGATAGTACCACGACCGCCCGATGAACCATCCTTGTGGGCATGATGACATCAACGAAGACTTGGAAGAATCGCTTTCGGAATAGTATAAACACTATATATTACATCACAATCGAGTAGTTGGAAGGGTAGTCAGTAGTAATAACAGTTAACTAGTTAGTGCGTAAATTTATCACTTCATATTATAGTTGCGTGAAGAAAAACAACATCGCAGCAGAAGCATTCAATAGGGTCAAGGGGCTTACAGCAGGTTCATTCTTGTGCATATGTTGCCGACACTTGGCGTACATTAACAGTAAAGAAGTGTTGGGTCACCACTGCTACTACCGTCCGTATGGGCAAGGAGGTTAACTTTATTTGTCGGATTTTGCTCATTCTTGTTTTAATCTCTTCGTCTCGACACGTAAACCTACATGCCGGCTCCACAGCCCCAACGTCACAGTCCTGCTCAACCTACCAAGATGCAGGCGCAAACCTCATCTTAAAATAAAAGTAGTATGGGTGAAAACGATTAGAATGCGCTCTGCACATACTTTTTTGCGCACGTGAATCCTATTTGAATTTACTGTTATTAACAGCGAAAAGTATTATTATTAATACTGTACTATTAGTATGTTCACATCTGTATAGTACAGATTCACATTTGTCGAGAATAATTCCCTCATTAACTGTTAATGAGGGAATTGTACGAATTGTCGACAAAGAAATGCCATGCTGCTAGCAATCACTTCCTAGAATGTTTAACCATCTGTATCGATCAAGATACATCATACCAAATCTATGAATATAAATAAATTTATTTTATATAAATAATTGAAATTAAATTTTATAATTATTTATAAATAATGAAAAAATATCAAGAATTTCAGTGTATTTTTTATTTTTATAGTATCCTTATTTTTATGGATATATTTTTTACGTCATAGTTAATCTAGTACGGCTAAATCATAGTATCATTATACTGAATTATACAAGTGCTGTGAAGTCATATCTCGATCATGAACCCATTCGGTTTGGTATTTTGACCGTTTCATTTCTCCGTGTCAAGTGAAGCCTATGGATTTCACTAAGCGTACGTTCAACTGATATTGCTACGTCCTTGGAGTAGTGTATCCTCAGATTTCGAATTTTTTTAAACCCAACTTCTGTGCATTCTATTTCGCTTGAATTTAATACTGTATACGTACTCGTGGGTAACGTTAAACTTGTCCCAATAGAAACACTCTAGTTACTTCGAAGTAACATAGAATGAGCTACGTTAATCTTCAAAGCTAATAAAACCCCTTACTCGGAGAACGGATGTCTCTTCTTTTCGAATATACTTTCAGATCTTGAAAATTCCCACTGGAGCAAATGTTATATGGAACAATTGAAACATTCGTTTTGCCCAAACGGATGGTATGTATGTGTTATATACATACTAGTAGTTACTAGTAAACAAAAGGAAAATGAATTGCGTGGACAGCTAGCACATGCCGTGTATTTTCTATAAGTCAAGTTGTTAAATTCACACTACTACCGTGGTTGGTGGGTCGTCGATTTTCAGCGGATTCACCGAGTCAAGACGGACGACACTGCCGTGGGCATGTTGTAAACGTCAAAGTCCTTGAGCGAGTTGATTGTGCCGTTGAGAATGATAAACGAGCCCACGATTTGAGTCGTTCGGATGGTCAGACCCTTGGGAAAGACAAATGCCAATGCGGTGGCCAAGACGCGTCGTGCCTGGGGTGACTGGATGTTGGTGGGAACGCGGGAATTCGCATGCTCGACGAGGTCGTTCAAATGCCGTGCATAAGACTTCTGCGGGTTCATCAATTTGAGCGTCGACAAGTTGTGCGGGACATGCGAAAAATACCCAGCGACCACCCCAGCAAACATGCTGCCCAACGCGTTCTTCAAGATGGGCTGCGAATCGTCCAAAGGAATGCGCTCTTCGCAGTAATCCGATAATTGGTTGAGACCCACGCCGAATATAATTTCGCGCACGGCACGCGGCGCCAATCCTCGGATCCATCGAGTTGCCAGCGATTCTGGGTTCATGTGACCGGCATTGCACGCTTCCAGCATACTGCTCACCGGTGTCATGATGATACCAGGAGCAATGGCTTTGGCGATGCGGACGTAACCTGGGTTTTCGTACGAGTCGTCGTCGATGTTCTTTTCGAGGTAATGGCGGAGGCCCTTGAACCCGTTGATGTAGGCGACACGGGTGGGGATTTGCACTCCCATGTTGGGGAAAAGCGTTGCCGGAGCTTGCCCAGTCAGCCTGGCATTCAAGTACGAATTGAGGGCACTGCGGTAAAAGCTTTCGACTGCAGCAGCCACGGATGTTGCAAAAATAGGCGTGGGCTTCGCATGTTGTTCCAGCAATGGAGTGTTGAGGAGGTTCATGTGGCGGCGGACTTCACGGTTCAACGAGTACATGACATCGGTGGCAATTTCAGGATCCTTGAGGAGCGTTGACAGCGATTGAGAGTCCAACGAATACGCCACAACGGGGGTCAAGCACTTGGCGGTTGCAGACGCCCCATCCTGTCGCAACGCGTGGTTGCTACCCAAAGCCATACCGGGTGTGGTTTCTCCCCATGAGTGAATTTGCCCGTTGATGTCTTTGGTTTCACCAACCGTGCCGCGTGAAATAACCAGCATTTTCGCTTGCGGGAGTCCTTGCTGGAACAACACGCTGCCTTTTGGATGCGTCTCCGGGACCGCTTGCGCACACAGCTTCTGCAACGCGCGCTCGTTGCAGAACGCGAACATGCGCACGGTGCTGAACTTTTCAACGCAGTCCTTCTGTTGCTCCCGAGACAGTCCCATGATGCTGTCGTTTGCGCGCGGAGATCGGCGAGCTGTCCTGTGGGGTGCGCGGAATTTTCCAAAGTGAGGCTGGATCCGCGGGTTTCCAAAACATCCAATAAATATTCACCAATCACAGCGCTCGCTGTAAAGTCACGGTTCAACTTTGAGTTCAATTATTCAGCCAATCACAATTAAGCAGCGCATTTTCATGTGCACATTCTCCTGGCTGCCCTTGCTCGCGACTTTCTCAAGACATGTGTACGGCATGCCAGTTGGACGATGTCGCTCTCGTATGGTTGCGCAATCTGCTTGGCAAAGCCTCCAAGTGAGCATGTTGTGTTGGTGGATGGGATGGTGTGTTGACAAGTCCTAGGGACCGCTGTAATCGAAGCATGTATGTGGATACCGTAATCATAACACGTGGCATTTTCAAGTGCAAGACCTGTCTCGACAGCTGATGGTTTCAAGGTATCATTCACGCATTGGTAGCCAGGACATCATGCATACCATTGTCGTCACCGCGATGACACGATCATTGATTCCTTTGAAACAAGTACTTTTCTATGACTCCGTTCATGAACTGAACCTATTTATCTTGACTGTGAGTTTGGCTGCGTGCGTTAATTAGGAACTGCTCAGTTAACCTATATATATTGAGGATGAAGGAATATTTATCCTACGAGTATTTGTTTAATATTTCATTGACAACAGGAAGGCAATTTTGTTTGGCATTGACAATGAAATATTTTAATTGCTGTCGAAACGACGACGACGACGTGACAACATCATGGCGTTTTCTCTTCGTGACGAGATTGAATGGACACGTGGGGGCGGTGAAGGTGCCAGATGGGGCCAATCGGCGGTTTTCATTGGCCCCATGGAGGCCAAGCATCGTGTGATGGTGGCGAGGTGGCAATGGAGATGCATACTCGATGAACCACTGACGACGGTCAAGCGGGCTCGCGCAGGATGATCCTGTGACAGTCGGTGGCGTTTGGGGGTTTTACAGTACTGTAACCTTAATGATAATGTACTAGTATCGTGGATTCTCGACACGGAGGAGGGGAGCTCGATGGGGGTGAGATACGCAAAGACTGAATCTCGGTGCATTGTGAGTGGTCTAAATTCGATTCCAGGATTGCCGCTCGCGAGGTTGCAGGGGGGCTGTACGTGTACGTCGTACATCATGAGGGGAAGGTACTGTACAAACATGGAACGCATCTACTGTACTTTCAACACGATTCTCTACAGTGTACGGCGTAGTACGAAGTATGCCTTGCCAAACACTGTACAGTATGTACCAGGTATGTAGTCGCGAGCGTATCCCTCGTGTTAGTGAACGTACAGTACAGTAGTGTACCATATTGAACAGTGGATATTGTGCGGAGGTATTACCGGTAGTACCAGAGAAATACATTCTCGACAAGAGCTATTGACATTTAATTACTTCGTAGTACGAAGTACATACTACTATTACTGTGTAGTAGTAGAATTACTACGTAGTATTTACCTAACAGTAAGTTTTGTGATGTCCTCACAAAAAATGTACTACCGTATAGTGTATACTGTATGTATTGCGACAGGTGATATTTCACAACTCGTTCTCAAAAGTTTGTTAATCCATTGCGTCATACAAATTTGAAGTATATTCAACGTATTCACAAGTAAATACTCGGAGTATCAGTTATTACAAGAAAATTATCACTTATTACAGGAGCCGCAACCGATTAATCCGTCGCAATACATATACACTATACGGTACTACTACTACGTAGTATTATAGTAGTATATATTAATACAGATTCACATCTATATTATTCAGCGGTTATTGTTGTACTCGTATTCACTATCAATAAATGACTAATATCGACTGGCTGAGAGAATTTTTATAATGTGTCAAGTAACGCTACGAATAAATAATTTCGTCTCCATGCATGTCGCAATTAACAGCACACCGAGTACTTCGAAGTAGGTATAAATATCATTCCTTTTACTGAAATATATACTGGTATATATTTCTACTATTTCCCCTGCCTCTGGTTTCATGTGGGGCTCACATGGATCGATCGATCGCATGAGCCTTCACAGCCTGGACAAGTGACGCATCTACACTTCCTCTACGCTACTTGCGTCCCAAATGCGCATCATGGCACTTGTCCAGCCCTGGTTTTCTCTCATGACCAAGAGCGCATTGACTGTGAGAATGCTGGTCTGTTCTCCTCTCTTGAAAAGTCACATACAAATCCCAAGTCACGCTAGTCCGTTATCCGGATATACCGGATCATTCTGCAGCAGCCCATTCACCAACTTCCTCACTGCAAGCATGTCGTCCGACGGTTATGACCCTGCCAAGTCGCGCATTGCCGACGATACGTTGGCCGACTTCCTTCGTGCACCTTTGACGGGTGTTTTGACGGAGGTACCTGGCATTGGTCCTGCCGCCGCGAAGAACCTGGCGAAAGGCGACGACCCTGCCGACCAAATCACCAACACGTTCCAGCTCATGGGCAAGTTCATGCTGCTCAAGCGCAACGAAGACGACACGGACGAGCCCATCGACTGCCGCACCCACTGCGATGCGTTCTGGCATTGGCTCAAGTCCAAGGGAATTTCGTCGTACCGCAGCGGGATCGTCATGGCCATTGCTGAAAAGATGAACACGATGATCCCCGGCGTGTACGACGCGTGCGACTTCAACTAGATATGAATACACATCCAGCTTTCGTTAGACTTTATGCCGACTTGGACATGGCTTCGATCTTCATCGCCTGTTCTTTGCTCATAAGCGGGTCCACTTGCATCAACGCCTGCCACAGCGACAGCTTCTTCGGCCGATTAAGGCCTACAAACTAGACATTCGTAAGGAACACACACGTTCTCAATAGTATACCTTCTCCGCAGCGTCCATGGACGTATATCGATACGCCATGGCTTCTCGCATCACTCGCTCCGATTCAAGTCGTTTTCGTCGGATTTGAGTTTGAATATGTTGCAGTTGTTGTCTGTACATGGAGGTCGACAGGGTCGTGTTCACACTAGCCATGGTGGCATCCATGAAGGTCCCCATCATGCCGTGGCTGTCCACCGGAGCATTAGGATCTGGTGGCGGTTGCGTTGAGTCTGTCGTTGGTTCGACGGGCGGCTGGGCTTTTGGGCTGGTGTGGCATGAGAAAGGAGGGGGGGACTGGAAGTGTGCTGTGGTGTCGTTGCAAGCACCGCCTTGACGATGCGGATTCAAGTCGGCTTGGATGAGTACGTGGTTGCCAGTGAATTGCGTGCTCGCGTCTTTCATTTCGACTTTTGTCCGCGGACCGTGCTCGTATTCCCGGACGATCTCCACTCTGCGCCGCACGCTTGGCTGTGGTGTTGTCCTGTAATGGTCATTTTCAGGGGGTGGTCCAGGCGTAGGGTCCCTGGAGTCGCAGGCTTCACGCTGTTGCTCACGCTCGGCTTGCCTCGTATGGTTGTTGGCCACGGAACCATCGAGAGCGTGAGATTTCGAGGCCATGTGATTCGGTGCGGATTTGAAAGCAGTGGACTCGTCCGCGTTTGGACTGACCATCTTGGTGGCTTCTGCAGATGATAGAGTTGGGGCGGTTGTGGCTTCAACTGGTGCGATAGACGCAACGTCTTCGTCGTCACCAAACTCACTGGATGCGTCATGGTCAGTTGGTTCAGTGCTCTGGTCATTCAAAGTTGGCATCTCTGCACGGGGGTGGTCGTCTGCAAAGGACTCATCCAAGTACTCGTCTTCTGCGGCAGCAGGGGGATTGTACGTGGCGGTGGTGGTCAATGGCGACGGTGATGCCATTGACGAAGGGGGGGGCAACGTTATTTTGTGGGGGGATTGAGATTGGACAAACGATTCGTCCAAGTACTCGTCGTTGTCTGAATGGGAAGCTCTTGTTTGTACCAGAGGTGATGGGGCGGCAACAACTACTGGGCTTGCTGCAACCTTGGTATCGTTGTCGTCGTCGGAGAAATCCATCGAGTAATTGAACGACTGAACTGGTTGAGGGGTAGTCGCAGGAGTGCTAACAAGGGGGGGGCTGAATGTTGCAGAACGGGTGGGGATTGTAGCGAGGCTTTGTTTGAGCTTGGGGGTGGCGACCTCTCCGATAGACTCAACTTCGTCTTCAATGTCGCTGTAGTCTTCATCTTGGACTGTCACACCAAGAGGAGCCGTCTTGTACACGGGTGCAACATGATTGTCAGATGAGACAATAGGCATGGCCTTGGCTACAGTTTGCATTACGACTGGTGGTTTAGGCTCGCTGTCGTCGGAGTCGTTTGAATGCTGATGCGAAGTAGATCCACTTGGTGTAGCCGTCACCGGATTAGCGACTGCGGCTGGCTTTATGGAATCAGCGACCATAGGTTTCGCCTTTGCGCGTATGTTGTCAGCGCTTTCGTCGAATTCGCTGAGACCACTTATGTCTCCCAGAGACTCGTCGTTGGGCGCGCGCCTGGATGCCACGTCCGACAAGTCGTCCATCGAGTCTTCGACGGGTTTCTTGGTCACTGATTTGCGTTTCGGGTCTTGGTCGCTGTCGCTGTCGTCACTTAACTGCACCCGCGCGCGGGATCTACGATTATCAACCAGAGCATATTGAAATCCACCAGCACTCGCTTCAAAAGGGCCTACTTTGCTGCGGGGGTGGTTTGTTTTGTCGAGTATTTGGAGAGGAAGTTCTTGGCTTTGTCCAACGCATTGGACTTGGATGCGATGGCGGGTTGCTTGGCTGGCTTCTTGCCTCCTTTTAAGGATTTGTGGGGCGACGGCGACGACATGGCGTCACTGTTGTCGTCATCGTCCTTGCTATCGTCGTTGTCACTCTCGTTGCGAGATTTGAAGGCCTTCTTATTGCCGGGGATTTCGATCTCAAAATTGTACGGGTCGTCCTCTGCCATCACGATACCACGTGGATGTGAGGCACAAATCTCAGACGGGAAAACTTCGAACGGCAGTTACGATGTCGAGGTTGTAACTGCGTGTAGTGTAGTGTAACCGACACGCGGACACTGTATCTGGTGACCTTGGACATTATTATTGGCCGAGCTTAAGTACTTCGAAGTATTTGTCTGACTGCTGACAGTGAGTTCCATGCGTGCAATGCGGAGTTAGTTTCCATAATGACGAGAGCTGGTAGACTAAACTATCGTAGGCAAGCCTGCTACTGGAACATGAGCAATAATAGCACGACTTTTGTATTGATGTTATTTGAGCTTTGGGGATCCTATATCGTGGTTATACCAGTGTAGGTGTATACAATATACTACAGTATTTGTATTGAAAGAATCTCAGGGTAATTTTGTCCTCAAACTTGTAATCAGAGTTTAATTAAAACTTAGACATCCTTGATTCGCGGGGATATTGAGTGCATGCATGCTCGGATGTACAAGCCATCGAAAGCAACTAACGTGGAATGTAGCGTATCCATATTGGACAGTAACTTACACTTGTGGTCTAGCACAAATGAAAACCTCAGCTGGTACCCGAAATCTTTTCCTCATACTGGAGTCAGAGGTATATGTTGTTTAGTTCGTCTCGTCGTTGGTTTTCACGTGCAAAACAGATACATACATACATATACAGGGGGTGTTGTTCATCAGATCATCGTAGTCTTGAAAGGTTGTTTCCACACAAATGTTCAGGACGATAGTTTTCGAACATCATTTGAACGTCAAGGGCACATGCAATACTACGTAAATACTTCTAACATACACGCGTAACCTCAGTCACCGAAGTTGTCATCCATAGTCAGACATACGCTTGTTTTGAAACATCACAGGTTCGTCCATTCTACTTCACGGTCGCTCGTTTGATAATGGCAGGTTGCTTCGACACTATCAACAATCGCAACGGTCCAAAATGACTGGTGGCGAGTTTTCACGCGGTTTGATTGGCTACATTGAATCTGAAAAGTGGTTGGTGGAAAGATTGTTTATATTCAACCAATGAAATTGCTTCATACTCTCACACCAACAGCTTTTGAACCACGACGACAACTCACGTCCGAGGTATGGCTTGGGTGGCACATCGCTTGGCTAGGTGCTAAGAATGAGCCTGTCTAGATGGCAAGCGTTGACAAGTTGACCACAGACCTGGAGTCTCTACAGGAAAAGTTGCAAGAATTCCAAGACGCCATCAAGGTCACCAACATCGCCACACGCATGCATCACTCAACTCACGACTTGACCATGTAGACGGATTTGGCTACCGAAAATGGTATGGGTTTGCTCCAAGTGAAGAATCACGCCATGATGCAATACTCCCAGCTGTCCTTGTACTACGCACTGCTCAAGGTAAGGTTGGTTTTCTCGTGCCGTTTGAGTGAATCCTTACGAAAGTGGTCACTAGTTGGAGTCCCCAGATTCAGTGAAAGGCCACGCCGTGTTTAAAGAGCTGGTCCGATACCGCACGATCCTGGAGCGCATTCGGTACCTCACTCGTCGCCTGCATGAACGATTAAAAGAAACATGGACTGACCACCACGTTTGTCCGTAGACCATTCGATCGCAAGTTGAAGTACCAAGTGGACAAATTGTGCAAAATGGCCGTGTCGGATGCCAAGGACGTGGACGCAGCGTTGAGTTATGCGCCGAATCCGGACGCCATGCAGGCTGCCAACGACGACGACGACGAGGCCGACGACGACGACAACGACGAGACCGACGGAAATGCCAAGAAGGGCATCTACAAAGCGCCGCGGCTGGCGTCGGTGCCGTACGAGGAGGAAGAGAAGGAGGCCGACAAACAAGCCAAGCGGGACGAGCGCAACCGCAAACGTATGGCCAAGAGCACGATCCTCAGCGAAATCCGCGACGAGTACAGCGAACGCCCCGAGGAAGTGTACACGAGCGGCAAGACCATCGACAAGGAAACGATGCGCGAAGAACGAGAAAAGACCGACTACGAAGAAAGCCGGTTTGTTCGTGTGGTTACGTCCCGCAAGGACAAGGTGCGCAAGCGCCAGCGCGAGCGCGACGCAATGGCGGCAGATTCGATCGGGAAGATGGACAACTTTGCAGGCATCTCGGACGCGTTGGGCGAGTTTGGAGGCAAACGATTTGTGGCCGCGGCCCCGCAACAGAAGCTCGGCGGAAAGATTGGCGGCATCTTTGCCCATGTCGACGTGGCGGTACGGGTTGTTGTGTTGGAAGGGTAGGAGGGTGGGGGGTTGATATGATATCTATGTGTATGTTAGACCCCCAAAAAGAAGCAAAAGACAGCAGGAGGAGGAGCCGATCCGACGAAGGCGGCGTCTGCCGGACACTCGACAGCAGCTGCACCACCATCATCAGCGACGTCTGTACGTGGAGGAGAAAAACAAAAAGTGCGATTCAATTGGTAGAGATCTACGAACTATTCCACTCAAGAAGGAATGGATAACAAGTTATGTATGGCACACCTGTTGGTGACTTTGATATTGTTAAGGTGTTTATTCTAAACTGGAGCGAGCGACATGGAGAATGAATCGACATCAGGATTTAGCCAATTAGGTTGCAGGAAACCATCATCAATGTCGAATTAGTGTATGGTTTCAATTAGTGTGATACCCATCACCACAGGACACCTTTTTACATACAAATTCAGTACAAAGAATGGATCAATAGATTTGGCGATTCAGCACAAAAGTCCAAATTTTGGGTAAAAGGACAAACTTATGTAGTCGTATGTACCTCATGTAGTTCGGTAGAGAAACACTATACTATTACTAGCCCATGGCGAATCTTGTCGAGCGATGGAAACAACCGTATAGTTATACGACTTGTGGCGTTGTGGGAACTAGTTTGAGAGCTGAGTTAGCACTAGTAATGAAACGATGGCAAATGCCAGTCGAGTAGACTTCTAATAAGGACACTAATATTACGACATGAAGGCCATTTGAAGTTATCATGGTTGAGTTTGTTACTGTTGGTGCTTCTTGTCATGGCCAACCTTGACATGTTTGTCCCAATCTCCACGGACAAACCAGGCTGCAATCGACGCAATGGGAAATACCAGCACGTCCAGCGCAGGGTTCTTGCGGGGGGACATCCCCGCCCCAAGTACGCCCAGCAAGTTGATCCCAAAATCCCCGCAGTAAATGTTGTACACGCCCAGCTTCAAGTCGCTCAAGATCGACTTCGCCACCACTTCGGGCTTGTACAACGTGTCCGACGCCTCGATGGCTTTGCACTCGGCGGGCTTGGTGCGCTGTTCCTCTGCATATCCAGGGGTATCCATGCCCCCAGGAAATGCAATGTGAATCGAAATGCCAGACGAACTCAGTTCGTTGCGCAAGCTGTCGGCGAGCCCACGGACCGCGTACTTGCTGGGCGAGTAGGCAGAGTACCCGACATAACTGGTCATGGCGCACCCAGTGGTCACAAAGCAGATGCGGCCTTGTTGGCGCTGGCGCATGGTCGGCAGCACGGCGTTCACGGTGTTCAACGTGCCAAAGAAGTTGAGGTCCATCGCTCTGCGGTGATCTTCCACTGTGTGCTTGTGGCTGTAGCCCATCGTGGCTTTGCCGGCGCAAGGAATGAGAATATCCACGGGACCCACCGTGGCCACGGCTTGAGCGACGGCCTTTGCAATGGCGTCGGCATTCGTCACGTCGGCGGTTTGGAAAAAGATGCGACCGTGCGAAGGAGAGTTTGACATGCTCGCTTCGTCGACAACCTTTTGCAAGACTTCGGCCCGACGGGCCACGATCGTAACGTCAGCACCCGCAGCGACCAGTTGAAGCGCAATTACACGACCAAGGCCTTCGCTGCCACCTGTCACGAGGACATGCTTCCCGCGGTAGTTGAGTTGGCGGCCGGGAAGCAGCGCAGTGACGATGGCCAGGAGTATCGTAGCTCCAAGAGGCACCGCCAAGACGAGGAAAGGCGTTAGGAAAGTTGTGCCTGACATCGCAAATCCAGTTGTGGCCAAAATCCACTTTTGAATACTTTGAAGTAATTTTTTAGTACAACTAACTACCTTCCTATTTTAATACTTACTAGTAGGTAGTTAGTTGTTCAAAATCCCCCACATAAAAGTGGGATTTTGAACAAATCTTTTTCCAAATTTCTCGTATATTGTAGTAGTACTAAACGGCTACTAGATGAGTACTATTAATAGTACTTGGTCCAAAATTCGCGACAAAACGACAGGTTGAACACTGAACAGTTTTCAAAATCGTTGGACATGTCGGACACGACCTACTTCGTGCTCTTCCTCATCTTGGCGGTGCCCCTGGGAGCTACGATACTCCTGGCCATCGTCACTGCGCTGCTTCCCGGCTGCCAACTCAACTACCGCGGGAAGCATGTCCTCGTGACAGGTGGCAGCGAAGGCCTTGGTCGCGCGATTGCCCTCCAACTTGTCGCCGCCGGTGCTGACGTCACCATTGTGGGCCGCCGGGCCGATGCGCTACAAAGAGTCGTCGACGAAGCGAACACGTCGAATTCTCCAACTCGTGGTCGCATCTTCACCCAAACTGCCGACGTCACCAGTCCTCAAGCCATTAAATGCGCAGTAGGTCAAGCGCAAGCCAGTGTTGGTCCTATTGACATTTTGTTCCCCAACGCTGGAAAAAGCATTGTGGGGTACATGGTCGAACATCCCATTCAGTCGTTTCGCGACTCCATGGAGCTCAACTATTTTGGCACGTTGAACACAGTGAATGCCGTGCTGCCAACCATGGTCCAGCGCCAAGAAGGTTGCATTTGCTTCATCACGTCAGCGGCGGCATTGGCCAGTTATGTTGGCTTCTCTGCCTACTCCCCAACCAAGTATGCCGTCCGTGGCCTGGCCGACTGCTTGCGTAACGAGTTGAGCTCGTCGGGAATTTCCATTCACGTAGCATACCCTGGCAGCATGGACACCCCTGGGTTTGAATTGGAGCAGTTGACCAAGCCGACCGAATGCAAAGCGATCGAAGCATCCGAAACGTTGTACAAACCCGAAGCGGTGGCGTCGTCGATTCTCAAAGATCTCAAGCATGGCGTGCATAACATGTACTGTGGTGACATTGGCATTTCCTTGCTAGGGGTACTCAGTGCCTCCATGTCCCCTCGTTGCAACCCTGCGCTGGACGTGCTGTTGTTCCCTGTCGGGGTTGTTGTCGCTTGGTTTGTCCGAGGGGGTTGGGACAAACACGTGAAGAAAGGGCAAAATGACGTGTAAAATAGCTTCTGTAATAATGTCTCAAGCTTTATCCGGATGTTGAACTATCCGTATAAGTGATGGCCAGTGGTAACCCCTTCCCTCGATTCAAATCCCGGAAAAGCCAATAAAAACAGCGCACGGTTTCAAATTATAGGCGCCATTTGAAAATTAAAATCCAAGTACAGTCGCCGAGCTCATGGAGGTAGGTACCAAGATGCGCCGCGCCTGTCCACGACCCTGACGTGCATGTAGGCCACGAAGAAGTCAAAGCCACGCCCGACTGCCGACGAGCTGTCCTCGAACGACGCCAGCGGTGGTGGGCTGACGGTCGAGCAGATTTACCAGAAGAAAACGCAATTGGAGCACATCTTGCTCCGGCCCGACACTTATGGTACGTACCGGCCAAGTCACGTAAGGTTGTTGAGCTGGTGTGTTGTCTAGTCGGATCGATCGAACCTGCCGAGCAAACCCTGTGGGTGTATGACGACGAGAACAGCAAGATGGTGCAGAAGAAGGTCACAATTTGCCCAGGCCTGTACAAGATCTTCGACGAAATTATTGTCAACGCGTGCGATAACAAGCAGCGCGACAGTACCATGGACACGTTGAAAGTCACGATCGACTCTGAAAAGGGCGAAATCAGCGTGTGGAACAACGGCAACGGCATCCCAGTCGTGATGCACAAGGAGCACAACGTGTATGTGCCGGAACTGATCTTTGGCCATTTGCTCACGGGCAGCAACTTTGACGACAAGAAGAAAAAGACCACGGGCGGGCGCAACGGCTATGGAGCAAAGCTGGCCAACATCTTTTCCAAAGAATTCGTGGTCGAAACGGCAAGCCGCGAACAAGGCAAGCGATACCGCCAAGTGTTTTCCGACAACATGAGCGTGAAAGGCGCGCCGAAGATCACGTCGTGGTCCAAGAAAGACTTTACGTGCATCACGTTCACCCCCGACTTTAAGCGCTTCCAAATGACCGGCTTGGACGACGACATTGTCGCGCTGTTCAAAAAGCGCGTGTACGACATCGCGGGCGTCACCGACAAGAGCTTGAACGTGTACTTGAACGAAGAAAAGATCGCGGTCAAGTCGTTTTCCCAGTACGTGGCGTTGTATGGCACGGCCGACGTGATTTTCGACAAACCCGACGAACGGTGGCAAGTGGGCCTCGGTTTGAGCGACGACGGGTTCCAGCAAGTGAGTTTTGTCAATGGCATTTGCACGACCAAGGGTGGCCAGCACGTGAACTACCTGGCGGACCAAATCACTACCAAGTTGATTGCCGTGGTGAAGAAGCGCAACAAAGGCGAGGCGGTGAAACCCGCCTACATCAAGAACCACCTTTGCCTGTACGTGAGCGCGCTGATTGACAACCCAGCATTTGACTCCCAGGTACAGCGTCATTCGAAGGCGTCCCATACAGGTGCTGAATGTCACGTAGACGAAAGAGACACTGACCACACGCCCACCGTCGTTTGGGTCGACGTATACACTTAGCGAAAAGTTCATGAAAGCCGGTACGATTTCCATGTGATCGTTCTGATTGGCTGCGACGACATGTATTCACCACTGGCCGCCCGTGTAGTGGAAAAGAGTGGCCTCGTCGAGAACATCCTGTCGTTTGCCAAGCTCAAGCAAACGGCGGAACTAAAAAAGACGTCTGGAACCAAGAGCGTCAAGCTGACGGGCATTTCAAAGTTGGACGATGCGAACTTTGCCGGGAGTGCGAAGGGGAAGGACTGCACGCTGATCTTGACCGAAGGCGATTCCGCCAAGGCGTTGGCGATGAGTGGCTTGGCCGTCGTGGGGCGCGACTACTACGGCGTGTTTCCACTCAAGGGCAAACTGCTCAACGTCCGAGAAGCGTCCCACAGCGTGATTGTCAAGAACGAAGAAATCCAAAACATCGTCAAGATCCTCGGGTTGAAGTATGGCACCACGTACGACTCGACCAAGTCGCTGCGCTACGGGCACTTGATGATCATGGCCGATCAAGACCACGATGGAAGTCACATCAAGGGGCTCGTGATCAATTTCATCCATCACTTCTGGCCGTCGCTCATGGGGTTGGACAACTTTGTGCAGGAGTTTATCACGCCCATTGTCAAAGCGACCAAGGTACAATTCGAAAAGATGGACAAGACAGAAACTTTTGTTGTAGGGCAACCGCAGCGAAGTGTTTTACACGATTCCGGAATACGAAGCCTGGCGCGGCCAAATGAACAACGCCAAGGGGTGGTACATCAAGTACTACAAGGGGCTCGGGACCAGTAAGCCCGAAGAAGCGAGGGAGTACTTTAGCGACTTGAACACGCATCAAATCGGGTTTACGTACAACGGAGAGCCCGATGGCGATGCAATCGACATGGCGTTCTCAAAGAAGCGCGTGGAAGACCGCAAGGAGTGGCTGCGCGCATTCGTGCCTGGAACCTTTGTCGACTATGCCGTTCAAGACATGCCGTACACCGAGTAAGAAGATAACTACTTGCATTCGTCACGTGATGCTTTGTTGTTAGGTTTGTCAACAAGGAATTGATTCTGTTTTCCATGGCGGACAACATCCGATCCATCCCGTCCATGGTAGACGGATTCAAGCCCTCGCAGCGAAAAGTCTTGTTTTCGTGCTTTAAACGCAACCTCAAAGTGCGTTGTCACATATATGACAAAAAGTTGTTAATTTTACGCGTAGAAAGAGATCAAAGTCGCGCAACTGTCGGGGTACATTTCAGAGCATTCAGCGTACCATCACGGCGAAGTGAATCTCCACGGCACCATCATCGGCATGGCCCAAAACTTCGTTGGAAGCAACAACATCAACTTGCTGGCACCCAACGGCCAGTTTGGGACGCGACTCATGGGGGGCAAGGATGCCGCCAGTGCTCGTTATGTGTTTACAAACTTGGAGTATATCACCCGCCTTGTCTTCAATCCGTTGGACGATGCCATCTTGAACTACCTGGAAGACGAAGGCCAGTCCATTGAACCCCAGTGGTACATGCCGATCATCCCCATGTCCCTTGTCAACGGCAGCGACGGCATCGGAACTGGGTGGTCGTGCGGTATTCCCAACTACAACCCGCTGGATGTGATTGAGAACTTGCGCCGACGAATTCAAGCCGAGCCGATGAACAGCATGGTTCCTTTTTACCGCGGGTTTAAGGGAGACATCGTCCAGAAGGGAGGCACCGACAACTTTTTGGTGCAAGGCAAGTTCGAAGTGATCGACGACAGCACGATCGTGATCTCCGAGCTTCCCGTGAAGACGTGGACGCAATCGTACAAGCAGTACTTGGAAACGCTGCTGGAAGCGAACACCATCAAGGACTTCAAGGAGAACCACACGGACACGACCGTGCTGTTCACGGTGATCTTGTCTCCGGAATCCCTCGCGGCGATTCAAAACGCCCCAGGTGGAATCCCCAAAAAGTTTAAGTTGGAGTCGTCGCTTGCCATCTCAAACATGCACTTGTTCGATTCGAACGGCCAAATCAAGCACTACAGCTCGCCGTTGGACATCATTGAAGAGTTTTACGGACTGCGACTGGAGCACTACGGGTTTCGCAAGGCCGCGATCTTGAAACGATTGGAGCACGACATCCTGGTCCTGTCCAACAAGATGCGATTCATTTTGGCTGTGATCGAAGGCGAGCTGATCGTGAACAATCGCAAGAAGAAGGAGCTGCTCGAAGAACTCCGCAAACAAAAGTACGACCCGATGCCCAAGAACGTCACCGCTCCCACGGTCGCTGCCGCCGGCGAAGAGGAACAACCTGCCCCCGAGGATGACGATGAAGACAACGTTGGCGTTTCCGCAAAGTAACCAGCACGTATTGTGAACTATCGAATCTAACTGGTGACGAAATAGGGATTACGACTACCTGTTGTCGATGGCACTGTGGAGCTTGACTGCAGAACGGGTGCAGAACCTACGAAACGACCTCGAGGCCAAGAACGAAGAGCGCGATGTGGTGTTCGCGACCACCCTGGAAACCATGTGGCTCAAGGACCTGGACGAGTTGGAAGTCGGGTTGGGCAAGGACGAAGAGAACCGACTGGCCCAAGAGCACTCGACCAAGAAGCAAGCTGGGAAAGCCACCAGTGGGAAGAGCCAAACCAAGCGCAAACCCGCGGCGAAGAAAAAGTCAGCGAAAGAGTCCGACACCGACTCGGGGTCGGACTTTGAACTGGCAAAATCCAAAGCCAAGAAGGCCAAAGTCGTGGACGAGAAGCCCAAAATCAAGACACAATTTGGTGCGGAAAAGCCGCTGTCGACAGTGTGGAAGAAACCGCAAGCCATCGTGAAAAAGGAAGGCAAAGCGCCCAAGAAAGAACGGACTGCCTCCAGCGAGCCCAAGCCGGCAAAAGTGTTTAAGTTGTTTGAAAAGAAGCAAGCGATTGTCGAATCTAGCGAAGACGAGGAAGTGTTGTCCTTGGCGGAACGATTGAAGCGACGTGCGATGGCGGAAAAGAAGGTCGACTCGGACGAAGACGACGTGTTCAGCGTGCCCACAGCGCAGAAAGTCGGGGCGAAAACCATGCCATCCATTGCACAAGCGGATTCCGACGACGAGTTTTCATTCGCGGCATCGGCGAAGAAAACTGCCCCGGCACTGAAAAAAGCACCGGCTGCCAAGAAACCCACGCCGAAACCAAAGGTGGCCAAGAAGAAGGCTGTCGAATCCTCGCCCGTCGACAAGCCAAAGAAAAGGCCCGTGTCTGTCGATTCAGATGACGACACGTTCAAGTTTTCCGACTCGGAGCCAGTGACCAAGAAGCTGCCTGCGCCCAAGGCCAAAGCATCGAAACCTGCTTCGGGTATGACATTGCACGTAGCAAGGACACCCACCACATTGTTCTCGTAGGCACCGCGGCCAAACGTAAGACTGACAAGGCCCCCAGTTCCCCAAAGAAGAAAAAGCAAAAGCAACCGACATGGAGCGACGATGAGTCGAGCGCCGACGACGACGACGACGTGCATGAACCTGTGGAGCCAAAGGAACGGCCTGGCAGAGCCGCCCGAGCCACCAAGCAAGTCGTGTATAAACTCGACTCGTCCGACGAAGAGCAAGACGCCGCGAGCGACTTTGAAGATGACGCGAACGACTCGGAGTAGTAGTCCTTACAGTAATAGAGTTTCCATTTGTATTGTAAAAGATCATGCCACGTGTGATGGAGTGTCGATATATGATTGGATGAAATAGTTCGAAAGGCATTGAAAATCGAGCGCTGATTCGCTCGTTTCCATTCGAAACGTACTTAAAGAATTCATCGATTCTTGGGTGGTAAGTCAGTCTCCATCCCCGCCGCACCGTGCAATATCCACCATGGCGACCCCTGTGCTAACCATCGACACGCAGCATGACGACATGATTGTGCGTCTCAATATGCGTATGCCATGCCCATCTCCATCTCATGGTGTGGTTGTGTAGCATGATGCCCAACTGGACTACTACGGCAAGCGCCTCGCGACATGTTCGTCGGATCGGACCGTCAAGGTGTACGACGTGACCCATGACTCCCAACATAGCAACGAGCAAGTGCTCACTGGGTATGATGTCCTGCCATGCGTGTATATAGTAGTCACCTTGTCTGTGTAGGCACGAAGGGCCCGTGTGGCAAGTGAGTTGGGCGCATCCCAAATTTGGCACGCTCTTGGCATCTTGCTCGTACGACGGCAAGGTCATCATCTACAAAGAAGCGCAGCTGGGAAAGTGGTCTCAAGTCCACGTGCATTCGTTCCACCAAGCGTCGGGTACATATATATATATATGATACCTTCTTTGGCCATCAACCTCATTCCTTCGCACAGTCAACTCGATCGCGTGGGCTCCTTACGAGTACGGGTTGACCCTTGCGTGTGCTTCGGCCGATGGCAAGGTGTCCATCTTGACGCATACGGCCGGTACGACCTCGTTGTCCATGTCCAATCGTATTAATGCCGTGTTCCAGCGGAAGGGTGGACCACGGGGTTCTTTCAAGACAGCACGCTCGGGTGCAACGCCGTGAGTTGGGCTCCGTTCCACAGCTCGGGTCGCCAAGGCAAGCGCGTGGTCACGGCGTCCTGCGACAACTCGGTCAAGGTGTGGTTCCTCGCTGATGGCGCGTCCGACTGGGTCAAGGAAGACCTGGCCCAGTCGGGGCCGCATCATGGCGACTGGGTGCGCGACGTCGCGTGGGCGCCGTCGACGGGCGCGCCGATCAACATCGTCGCGAGTGCGTCGGAGGACCGCACCGTGGCCATCTGGACGCAGCTGAACGACGAGCGGTGGACGAAGGAGGTGCTGCACACATTCGAAGCGCCCGTGTGGCGCGTGAGCTGGTCCATCACGGGCAACGTCCTCGCCGTCTCGAGCGGCGACCACAAAGTCACTCTGTGGAAGGAATCCCTCGACAAGAAGTGGGTCCAGATCTCGTCCGTGGATGAAGTCGGCGCGTTGCACCAAGCCAAGGACTAACCACGTTATAACTCTAAAACAACGGCCGTCGCATTGTGCAGTGTTTCGTGTAGAAGTACTAGTATATGACGCTTGTAGCCTCGAAGCAATGTGTCTCGATGCTTGAGTGGGATAGACTCTTTGTACTGTATCGCATGTCTATTCCATCAGTTTAACAATCGCCACCGAGCGTTCCTTGGCGACGTGAATGCAGCTTTGCAGCGTCGCCGCAGCCAACGGCTGCCCGCCGGCTTTGTACACCCCCGCAAAAGCCCCCGCTTTGGTAACCAGCACTGTAAACGATGACGCCAGCACTTCTTCTTCACGGGCGGTGGGGTCCACCATCACATGGGACTGGTATTGGCCAAACGTGGTGCTGAGTAGAGTTTCATGCAAGGGGAACTGCGCCTTGGCCGATTGATCTGATCGTCGTCGTAGTGTGAGATGAAATGCTTCTGTGTCGGAGGAGGACGTACCTGGCGCCAAGGACACGATCGAGTCGGGAGAGATAGAGATGGCCGGAATGGTCAGCTTGGACAGGACGGACATGACCGCGAGCAGTGCTGTGTCGACGGCATTGCCGTCGTGGTCGAGGAACGTGACTTCCACCAGAAGTTTCCACGCGGCTTTTCCTCGCTCGATGGAACAATCTCTCAGATCGATGCACTTGGAGCTGAGTAAGACGCGTGTGAGGTAGCTGCTCAGGCTTTGCGCTTCGTCCGTCGTCCGCTGGGTGGAGAATTTGCTGGCACAAACCCCAGGAAACAATACTTGCAAGTCTGCCCATCGCACGACAAGGTAAGAACTCTATGTTGTCGTCGAAAGAACGATGCACGTACCAATTTCGCCTTGGTCCGGGGTGGCAAGCGCCGGTGTGCCCACAGCCAGCTTGACACTGGCCAATGCACATGAAGCGCCCAACTTGACTAAACATTCTCCAGATTGTGTCCAGTTGATGCTCACAGGGCGCGATTGCAGCAGTTTCCGCGCATCTGGGCGGACACCCGACTCCAAACACTTGGACACGTATGCCTCGGGGAACAACGTTTCGTAAAGCTCGGCACTGCCCTGCATGATGTGCGTCGGCTAGTCGGCAGTGGTATCGGTTTGGTTGGCAGCTCGAAAGCTAGGATATCCGGATAATCCATCCCAAGTTCGGATAAAAACACTGTGAAATCCCAAATCTACCAACCACAGTATCCAGCAACTCGTCGCCGTGGAAGCAGCAGCAGATTTAAAAGCCCATTGCTGGCATGCGTTCACATTCATGACGATTGTGGGACTCTTGGGCATGTGGCGGGGTTACCGGCCATTCTGGGTACGTCAAAAGAAAAGTCGATGGCATTTTCAATACAATATCCAAGGTTAAAAAGGGTGGGCCTCGCGAGAAGTGCCTCCGCCCGGGATTGAACCGGGGACCTTCTGTTTACAAGACAGATGCTCTACCACTGAGCCACAAAGGCGGGGCGAAATATTATGATTTTTAACATATAATAAAGCAAAATTTCATACACAACAAGGAAGTTGTTGGTCATTCGACCAACACCACCGCAGTTGCGATGTCCACGAGGCAACAGGCGCTGTCGTTCTACCGCAAGATATACCGAGTACGTACGTACAGTGAATCTCGCAGCATGCGAGCGACGCTCATGGGTCGTGCTGTAGACTGCTGGGTTGATGCCAACGAAGGACCGAACGGAGTTTGTGCGACGTCGACTCCGCGGAGAGTACGACCAGTACCGCCATGAAACCAACCCCGCGCGCATCGAGTACGCTCACTCTCCGACAGTGCCATGACGTCGTCATCGATCTAACATATGTGTATGTTGCGCAGGTTTTTGATCAAGGTAGCCGACACCCAGGTAGGTTCATGACCACAACCTCACTTTGCGAAGTTCGTTTTTGTCTATCAGATACCAACCCACAATATGCGATAACGTTATATACGCATAGTTGGACACGTTGGAGATCCAAGTGGCTCACTTCTCTCGAGTGTTTTCCAGTCCGAGTTATCACAACCAATAAACCCTCGGTCGCTTTGCATTAGTTACTTTGCACGAGTCGCCAGTATGACCGCGCGGCGCAGACGTTCGACCCATTGCTCCTTGACTTCCATCGTCGACGCGCGCAGGTAAAAGATGCGCTCGCTGTCGCCATCTACCTTGCGACGGCCGAGCGTCGGGTCGGACCCAAACAGCCCTACATCGATGATCGTGTTAAGACAGACACTCGTCGTTCTCTTCTCGATCATCCCACCTTGCTTGTAATCGTACACTGCCTGGCCCGTGGACGGCGGCCACACTTCGAACCCTTCGCCGGCGTCTGCAGAGTCCTTGATCACACTGCCGACGATCGAAAACTCCTTGAGGATCTTGCCGCGCTCGTAGTCGTCCTTGGTCTTGGCGTACGACAGGATGTTCTTGTGCAGCAAAAAGTACTACACCCCCACATCATTCATATACATATATCAACACATGGCGTACCCGCTGCTTCCAGTTCTTGCGCCCAAATACCCCGCCGCCGCCTTGTTTGATCAGGTACCCTTCCAACGCTCGTTCGTCTTCCTGGGTCGCCTGGCTCACCTCCAGCACGCGCTCCGCCGTCCGCTCGACCTACGATTGTCCCTGTCACAGTTTCGACCAGCATGCATGCGACGATGGTGCGGACGTTGTTGAACGCTTGCGTTTCCAGCGACTCGCCTTGGACCTTGGCCTGGTCATGCAAATCTGTGACATCGTCCACCGCGTCTTGCAGCACTTGTTTGATACGCTACCACACACACACATATCGACCTCTAGATTTAAAGGAATCCCTTCGCCAGTCCATCCTACTGTTTCCAGGTGCAAGTTGGCCACGAGTTTCGCCTGCACTTGGCGCTGTGAACTCTTGATCGCCTACGTGCCATCAATTGTCAAAGCCATATAGCAGTTGGCAGGCCAGTGGGAGTAATACCTCCATCGCTGCCGCCTTGGCCTGCACAGCGTCCGCCAGGGTCGCTTCCCCGTCCACAACCACTTGCTAATTCATGACCAAGTGATTAACATAAGGACGATTGGAGATGATACCTCGACCAGCGCCGTCTGCCGATGCATGGTTTGGTCGCCCAGGTGCACCAAGTACTCGATAAAGCGCGGGACGACCGTCGAAAAAAACTGACTCAGCGCCGCCATCTACACTTGACAATGAACTAACCACACAATGAATCTGAACGACCTTTTGCGGCCCCACGGCTTCGGACGCATACTCGACGACCATGTTCTGCACGCTGTGTTGGTATGCTCGTAGAATCGCCTACATTCTCACGAGTTTATATATATATATATATTGAAATCAATAGGCGCGTCAGCAGACAACGATACCTTAAAGTCGACGAGGCGAAGGGGGTTGTTGTCGTCCTGGGGCTGCAGCTTGGCTTTGATGAGGTGCTCGATGTCCGTGTGCAGACGTTGAAGCACCGACAGGCACTGGGCTGACGAAGCCCGGTCGTTCTCGTCCATCCATTTAGCCACGTGGGCAGCGCTCAACTCGTGAAACAAACGAGCGGCCAGAGCCGCCAGGTCGTCGCCCAACGCGCCCGCTTTGGCCAAGAACGGTTGCGCCGCCGCTTTCCCCGCCACATGCAGAGTTTTCACGTCCCCCTCGTCGCATGGAAACTAGGCCAATACACGGGTCAGGTTCGGGGCTTTGTATTGCATTCATGGGATACAGTAACAGGTATCAAAGTAGACGAGGATAGATTTCCACTACCTCGATCCTGTCGTCATGGTGTGGAGGTGATGTGTGGCCATCATGACAGATGGATGTATCCACCGTACTTTTATACACGTCAAATGCGACCTCGACCAAGTGCAGCATGTCTGACCGTAGCACGTCGTCCCATTTTGGCCCCCACACCTAGTCAAAGGATATATATCTATAAATATATATTTATATACTTCGAAGTAAACAATAAGGATCCATGGGTGTGATTTATAATGTACTTGTTTTCATTTTAATAAATATTATGCTTTCAATGTAAAAGGAAAGTAAATGGCAATCGATTCCTTTATACTGCAATATATATATATATAAACAAACAAAAAAATGCCCAACGGCAATAAAATAAAATAGTTTGCATCGAGTTTTAGAATGAGTTTTCAAACTATCTGTACCGATACATACTTAGTACCAAATATCACGACATCTTTTACGAACAAGGTACTAAATATTAATATTTCATACTGCCTTCAATGACCGACCATAATCACGAATAACGTACATGCTACCATCACCTATGTACAAATCCAAGTATCCTATCGCATGCACTACTGTATGAAAGTACCTCGGACGTGATGTTGCTAGGGCTAGCACAGAGCAGGGCCATGACGTGGCAAAAGATGGAGCCGTGAAGGGCGACCCCTCGCACCTCCTTGACGTGGCTGGGTTCGACCAAGCTCTTGCGCACGCGAAGAACCTTCTTCGAGTAGGCGGGGCTTGAAGTTGGCGGCAGGATGGCGCCGATGCGCTTGGGGAAGAAGGATGTGAGGATTTGCCACGACAGGCTCGACGTGAACGGACTCGACTTTGGATTCAGCACCGCCTCGAGGTACTGCTGATCGATGTCCGACGCGGGGTCGGCAGAGGGCACCGCCGCTTTCACGTCCTTGGAAGACAAGTCGCGAACAATCCACGTCAGCGCCGGCAGCAAGCCTGGACATGAACGATGTTGTTGATGCAGTATCGTCGGATGGGGGTGTCGGTGGTACCTGGTCTGTCACCAAGGACGTGTACGGCCGACTGCAAAAAGTTCATCTCGTCAAACACATGCTCGTTGATGTGCCCCACGGAGCCATGAATCACGTTGCTAAGTATCGTCAATATATCAATATTTGCTATGCTGGGTTGAAAAGAAATATTTTTTTTTAGGATTTATATATATGCCGACGGACCTGCTGAGAAAAGACACGATGCCGAACAAACGCGCGTCAAGGCCCTACATGATGGAAACGATGTGGGAATGGGATTGACGCTTGGAAGTCGGGAAACGTACTTCGTTGTCCCCGTAACACTGGACGTCTAGGTAGACGACCCGCTTGGCATGAGCATATGTCGTCTCCTGAACATACATCCACACCCCGCTACGGAAGAGTTGACATCGCGTAAGGATGTAGATGTAGAAGGATTGAGGATCAGACACAATCACGTACGAAATGTCTGCAGGCGGCGCCGCGACATCTGCAGGATGCGTGGCACCATCGGACTGTTCACCCTCGGTTGGTTCACTCGCTTGGAGGATTTCACGAAGCAGTGCCGACTTGCCAGAGTTCTGCGAAACGCGGTGCGAGGAGTCAGTCGCCGACGACATGGACCATGACAATGCTGTACCTTGGTGCCGTGAAAGGAGAGGACGGTCAGCGCGTCGTAGCTTTCGTTGAGGAACCGAACTGCCTCGGGGTTCACAGTCAATTGCTCGTCCACGTCGACAGAGAGCAGCTGCATGGACATGACCATTTCAACCGTGCAACCAATATACGTGTATACCGACCAGGTACATACAGAAACGGCACAAATATATATGTACTCACACAATTCCTAGCATTTGATTGGTTGCTTTTGAAACGATCGTTTTTATTCGCTGATTTTACATATTATCCACCAATGAATGTGCGAGTACAGTCTATCCCTACATATGTATTTCAGTCATCCTCAATTCACTCGAGTGCATGGCGGCGTACGAGCTAATGCTGGACAGACGAAGTTCGATTCGTCGCTTCCCTGGAAGGGTGTGGGCTAACCCTGCTGTACTTATCGACCGTCCTATGTATCTACGCCTTGGGTGCTTTGGGCTTCTTGAGCGCTTCCACGTACGCACCGAGGGCGTTCTGGACGCGGTCTGTCTCGATGAAGTCGACAAAGTTGTCCACGTCGCCCTTCAGATCGCTTCGCAACCGGTCGGCGGTTGCATGACGCATGAGGTGCTTGGTGGCCTTTCGGGCATGCCCTACATCATTCCAAAATGAGGATTGAGAGTGGAATGAACGTCGACCTGGGATCGCAAGCCATTGGTGCAGAATCGACTCGGCCACAGGGAGCACTTGGTCCACCTCGACGGCTTCGTCCACGAGTCCGATGCGCTTGGCGTTGATGGCGTCTACCTGCATGCCGAGCCCGAGCATTTTCTCGGTTTCGCGGTGCCCGATTGTGTTCAACATGACGTCTTTCATCCAGAATGGTGCGGCAATGCCCAGCTTCGTCTCGTTCAGACCCATGACGGGTTTACCGATCGCCATCACGCGCGCATCGCAACACATGGCGAGGAAACATCCACCTGCGGGAGCATGCCCTTCGACAGCCGCGACTGTGGCCAATGGAGACGTATACAGACGAAGGTAAAATCGCTGGAACGAGCCCCAGAATTCGCGCAACCGATGGTTCTACGGAGGCGAGGGTAGGATGTCAGGTGTCGGTCACCCAAAGCGTACCTTGGGCTGATACAGCTCTGTGATGTCGAGTCCCCCAGAAAAGATTTTGGTGTTCGCGGACGCAAGAATTAACCCCCTACATCATCATACCAGATTTAGAAGACGTCTACCAAGCAGACGGTTGTCCCTCTTACTTGATCGCCTTGTCCTTTTCCAGCTCTTCCACAGCTTTGTCTAGTGCTTGAAACATCTATGCGCACACACATCCAACGCGTGAGTGGAGACGACTCGCCGCGAAGGCGAATTCGAAATGCCTCACCTCAAGGTTGAGGGAGTTCACGGGGGGACGGCTCAAGCGGACGATGGCATATCCTTCACGGCGTTCAATGTTTACAAGGGGGCTAGCAGGTGTCGCTGTTGAAATCCATCGAGTTAGGGAGCTGCCGCGGGCAACGCCGCGGAGAGTTCGGGCTGTGTGCATCATGCTGTTTCGTCAACTGGATACCTTTTGGGCTGCAAAATCCAAACGACGCACATGTATCCGGACAAATTTGGTGTGTATCCGGAAATGGAGGGACATCCCGAAATTGGCGCGAAATTATGACCCCATGCGAACAAGCCGAGTACGACCTCGCCAGGGAGCGGCAGCAGCAACAAATCCTGGCGCGAAACCACGTGCGGCAGCTTCGAAGGACAAACAGCACGCACTATCAGATGATGCTGAACATGCATGCGCAGGACCACAGCTTGGTGGCGATCAGCCGGCGCCTTCGCATGGCGCCATGCATCGTGGCGCGGACGTTCCTGGAACATGTGGAAGGCGTGGACAAGAGCAAGATTTACAAACTGCTGCTCTCCACATTGACACCCGACGACGACATCAATAGTAACAATCTCAACAACCTGCCACCATTGAGCACTCGCCTTCGGCGAGAGCTGCGGGAGTGTGTAGAAGAAGACGTGCATTGCTCACCCTTGTGCGACCGCGTCCGACGAAGCGAAGGTGATGAGTATGAACACTTGATGGTCCTTCGACTCACCCAACTGGGCATTCCCTTCGAGAACGAGCACATGCTTCGCGAGCGAGGGCTGGCCAAGACTCCGGACGCGCTCCTAGTCGTTCCGATACAAGTCAAGGTGGGCGACACGTGGCATGTCGTACAGTGGATCGATTCCAAGGCCATGGCGCACGAGGTCGGCACGGAGAACGAGACGCAGCACATTGCTCAAGCCCACGCGTATGTCAATCGGTTTGGCCCAGGGATGCTGGTGTACTGGCTCGGCGTCGGCCGCGACCACGCGCCAGCGATGGACGACGTCATGCTGGTGGATCACCTTCCCCCCGCCTTTTTGTTTCCAGGTCAAACGTCCAAAGAGGTCTCCAAGCTTCATGCTCCCGACGTAGCAAGCAACGGTACGACCTTTCTTTTTGAACCGACGCACGTCATCACGACAAGGGACGACGATGGCCTTCCATCCACAGTCGTGTCGTTCTAATACTGTATCAACTCACCCGTCCACCATGCCCTCCATGTCTGGTTGATGTTGTTGGATTTCGAGTGGAATCCTCTGCAAGCAGCCGCATCACGCCGCCAGTTTGACCATTATGCTAGTGTTAATATAAATCCCCCTTTGCTTTGATGAGCTCGTCCTGTACCAAGCTCGGGGGATTCGTCAGCATTCCCTTCAAGTACTCTAACGTTACAATACTTCCATGCCTCAATAAGTATTAGCGTCGGTATACATGTATTAATACTACGTAGTACTGCGTAGTACTATACAATACTATTAATAGTACTGGTATGCTTCAACACTCTGTATATGCTTCTGTTTGAGTGGTAGTACGACTGTGTTTATGATTCTAAACTAGCTAGCCCTGGTGAAACGATCGCTGGGTGAGAAACCGGCGCATCATGTCCAGCGAGGCCTCGGGTTGGTCGGTGGGGACCAAATGGCCCGAGTTTGTGATCACCACCACCGCCACGTTGCCGCTTTGCTTGGCGAGGCCCCCCACGCCGCCGACGCCATCGACTGTCCACGGACGCCTCGAAGCAGTATGGTACTCGTCCGCTCCGTCCCAGTGGAGTTGGTCCACCACGCGAGACACGCCCAGGTGGTTGCAGCTGGAGCCGTCCATGTTGCCAGCGTAAAACAGCACGTGGTAGTGGTTCATGAGGGTTTCGAGGATGGCGTCGGGCACGTCCACCATTTCGTCGTTGAGCAAGTGCCGCGCGATGGAAGGGGCGGCTGGGTCATCTCCGTAGGCTGAGCCATCGATGGATGTCCACAGCGTGTGGGGGGGGATGTTGAGGGCCTCTCTCGTCTCGGGGAGGTTGAAGTACGTCGAGAGGGTCTTTGTGAGGGCTGAAAACGCGTTGCCTTGCTGGCGAATGTCGTAAATGAACGGATTCCCGGCTTGCCGGTAGATCTATTCGATGCGATGCTGTGAGGACATCTGGGTGAATGAGACAAGGTGGGACCGTACCTCGTCTTCGGTACGTTGGCACACTCCAAAGGCCTCGACGAGCTTGCCGTCTTGCACGAGCGACGCACACGTGTCGAGCGACTGACGATGCTGGATGAACTGCTCCTGGTCAATCAAGCCAAGGGCCAAGGCGTAGTCGGGCACACTGAGGGTTTGCAGCAACGGTTTCATCTCGCCGTTTCCGATGGCGATGCCCCACAAGTTGATGGCCGATGACTTGTCCAATTGGTTGTTCTTGTCGTGAATGTAGTGGGCGATGTGCGGCACGTACTTGCCAGCGTACGACTCGCCGGCGACCACGACGGGGTTGCTGGCGTATTCGGGATGCAAGGTGAAAAACGCCGTCAGAGCGACATGCAGTTGTTCCGCCATTTCAAGCTGCGAGTTCACGTAGCCGGATTCGTTCTTTGCGCTTGTGTACCCGGTGCCAACAGGTTGGTCGAAGAATAACATGTGGCCGAGGGCTGTCCAGCTGTGCGGGTGCCTGGACAACGACCCGTCCGAGTTGATGCGATAAGGACCCATTTCAGTGAGAAGCCCGGTCATGGAGGATGCACCTGGGCCACCGTTCAGCCACACGATCACGGGGGTGTCCCGCGATGTTGGATTCGTGCGGGATTCGAAGAACCAGTAAAAAATATTGCCTTCAGCGGCATTCACAGTCACCAACCCAGCATACTAACGATACATGTAAGGTGGATGTAGCACGCATCACACACTGTACCTGCTTTTCAAGGACATTCCCAAAGCGAGGGAGATAAGGCACATGGTCTGCTGACGTCTTTGGTGCTCGCGGTTCGTCCTGACGAAGGGACAAGGACACCTGAGATCGTGGTGGAACGGTAGAGCGCATGGACAGACTAGTGGTAACGAAGAGGCAGAATGCAAGAAGCCCAAAAAACGGGTAGAGCATTCGGTGCGGCTGCTTTGCTTGCGAGTCCGAGTACGGCGGGCGGTAATGACGCGAGTTGTGCATGTCAAGAAGTTGAATTGTGAGTCAAGTCGTGCGTGTGTTGAAGTGTTGGCAAAGATCGTACATTACGTACGTACTGTACGTACTGTTAAACTGGATTTCAATCATGAGATACGGAATTAATGTATTAGTACAGGAAAGGCGTTCCGATTGGCCCAACCCAAACCATAGAATATCTTTTGAATTTTTATGAATGTGCCATCACCACAACATGTCGTCGATACGAGTGCTCGTGCCTTCAAAGCAGCCCAGTTCTCCATCATGTAGCATCGCTAGGGTCATATCCAGCGTCGTGCCATTCGTAATGTCCCCTCGAGCAAGGTACCCTGCAAGTAAATGTCGCATCGTCCAGTCCTTCAGCGCCACGACCTTCATCAACTCGTGCTGGGTCCTTGTAGCCGGCGACTTCATGGCAGGCAAAAGTTCCAAAAGGTTTCTTGCATCAAGTGAAGTCACCGACTCGAGCTTTGTTTGAGGTGGCTGGGATGGGCACAAGACAGCCCATTGCTGGTGCACCAAGGTCACGTCGACGTCGACCGCAACGCTCGATGTGGGTGCGACCTGACTCCCGTTGGCCAGAGATACCAGGAAAGTTTCGACGTCTCCTTTGACGTGGTGATGCCACGTGTAAAAGTATGCTGGACAGGGAAGCTCCATCCGGGCACAGCCTTCCACCCATTCCTCGACGTCGTCACCCACCAAGATCCACGACAGCCCCGCCGTGGTTTGTACGAGCCACTCGTCCACCGCACGAAGCAGGGCTATTGTCAAGTGCAATGTGGGGTTCGACCACGTGTGCTGGCGCTCGACAGTGCTGGTGTATGCGTTGACCACTGTGAACGTCACAGTGTCGTTTGTCCCAAGGCGACTTTGCAGCAACACAAACCGATCGAACGATTGCAATGCTCGAGCGTTGTCAGTGGTGACGTGATCTACGATGACATTCCACATGTTACGATGACGTAATCACACACTGTACGTACGTAATCTTGCGGATTCGATGGCGTCGTGGAGCAACAGCATGGCGTAACTGTCGTTGCCATGTACCGCTGCTTTGGCATGTTCAGCGTTGAAGTTGTGGTCGAAAACCACTTGAAATGGATCCCCACCAGTCACGTCATGAACCCATTCATGGACTGCCCGCCAGTCTCGGCCTTGCTCTTGACGCAACACAAGAGACTTGTCACCTTCTCTCGTGATGAAGCAGCAGCATGAGTCCAAGGAAACTTTCCACGTTATGGCGCCAACAATGGGGTGGTGCGATGCCTTGGGGAATAACGCCAGCACCCGTCGCATGGCCTCCAGACTCAGTCCTAATGTCGTGTAAACGCGATATATGTCGTGGACAACAACTTCTTATACCTCGATGGGGAGACGTTTGTACAAAACAGTCGCGTGGCATGTCGGGATGAACGTGTAACGCTAAATCGTCCAGCGCTACCCACCTGAGGCGAGGGTGTCCCCTGACGAATGCCAGGATTTCCTCCGCTCGGCAATAACCAACACTGTCTTGTGCATACAGCAATGGCTTGACGGTAGGGCCCGTGACGCCAAGGATGCGATGACAGGGCACATTTGCCACGCCGAGCGCGTGGACGAGTGTTTGCAATTGATTGAAATGCAGTCGCCATGTCGAAGACACGACGAGTTTAGCTCGCGTCAGGTGGACAAGGCGACTCAAGCGATGCAGCAGCACTGCACTCAACTGGGCCTGGCCATGGAGAGTGTTCAGGACTCCATCCACGTCCAAGAAGATCACCCGGCTGTCACGCTTGGCAGTTTCCGCCATTGTTCAGCATCCGGATAAGTGACATCCATCCGTTCATGTTGAAGTGGCGCCTTGACTCTAGTACATAATGGGGAGGCGGCAGGTACGACACCACGCGTAGCAAACGCACTGAATGACAAGAGCAGCCAATTTGCAGGCCACCAAGGAGTGGTGTCGGATCTCCTGCACGTCGTGGCATTCTTTCTAGTACAGTGTACAGTGTACCGGGGTACGTATATTGTTCAAGATTCTTGCGACGGCAAGGGCTACTGGTAGTCGATATTGCTTCGAGATGACGAGTGCCAGTGCCACGTCCCTGCATGATACAAGCTCCTCCCAGCGTTCATAGCTGGGAAGACAGTGCTGGCCATGAATGGTACTGTACACGGGGCCTGTGCCCCCATCCGTGATGTGATACTGCATGCCGCAGAAAGGCACATCAATGACTGCGACGACAATGGATGGGATAGGGTAATAAATTCGAAGAAGGTTTTTATTGTTTTGTCTAAAAGAATGATACAAACATGAAGTGTAGCAATTGAAATGAATTAAATTCGATGCCTAAAACGTCTTCGACTAGCTGGTATTTAAAATATTAGTCCATACAAAACGCAAGTGTAAATGTACCAGTATAAACGGACGGTTCTTCGATTTTCGCCATGGGCGTTCTGCCACCTCCACTTGCAATTATCCTGGTGCTGTACAACTGTCATGTGGATGCAACAGAGCATGGAAGGCGGCGGCCACCACCAAGGTGGCGGGTATGGGAACTACGGCGTCGGTGGTGGCTCCCAAGGCCGCACTGGGACGTCAAATGATGACGATTGGAAGAGTCGCATCGTCAGCAATGGCCAATGGCTCGGCGAAAAGGTGATGGCATTGGCATCGCGGTCGCACAACACGATCCCCGACAACCAGCGCGCGATGAACGATGGGCGCGCGAATTGGATGGCTGAAATCCGCAACAACGCGCGGCCTGCGAACAACTCGTCGAATTTCTCGAATGGGTCGTCGGGGTACAATGCCGGCGGGTACCAGAACGACTTTGCCACAGAACGCCCGGGGCAGTACAGCGACACGTCGTATCGTCCGACGTCAACGTACTCGGACAACCCGACCTCCTCGTCTGGTCAGACATCCGCGTACACTTCGAAGCAACAGTCTGGCAAGTCGAAGGCATCAAGCAACAACAAGAAGTACAAGTCCAAATCATCTCGACGTGCCGCCACGTCATCCTCTGAAGAGGATGAAAGCGAAGAAGAGTCGTCCGAGGACAGCGATGTCAAGAAGAAGTCAACCAAAGTGCGCTCGAAAGTGACCAAGAAGCCCGAAATCGTGGTCTCGTCCAACGACGACAGCGACGACAGCGACCACGCGGCCAAGTCGAAACGATCGACGAAAAAGGGAAGCAAGGGGTCGTCTTCTAAAAAGAAAGCCCATCTCAGTGACAGCGACATCTCGACGGAATCGGCACCCGAGGACAAGAAGGCCAAGAAGAAGCCAGCCAAAGCACCGAAGAAAGCGTACGCGTATGCACTGGACGCGTCCAAGCTGGCCGCCGTGGCCGCTCCGTCGACCGACCAAGATGCCAAGAAGGGCAAGAAGAAGGCTGGCAAGAAGGACAAGACCGGGGCAGCGGCTCCCGCGCTGGTGGACTTGCTCGGCGTGGAATCTCTCCCTCCGGCACCACCAAATGCGGCTGCGGTGTTTGAAACGCCATTGTCGACCATCGATCGTACGCCTTTTGTGAATATATGCCATGAGGTTAATATTTGGCGACTAGAATTGGCCGGGCTGTCGTTTGACCCGTTGGATGGGGCGTCCCAAGCGCCGGCATACCCACAGGACCAGTTTAGTGCCCCGCCCCAACAACCATTTCAGCAACCTTCGCAGCAATTCCTAGGAAACCAGCAGCAATTCCAAGGACACCAGCACCAGTATCAGCCGCAGCAGCACCAGACCTTTCACCCGCAGCAGCACCAGCAATTTGCCGCCCAGCAACCGTTCCAACCAGCTGGGTTTGTCGTCCCCGGCAGCAACTTGGTGGACTTGCGCTTGTCGTCGGAAGTGTCGGCGGCTGCGAAAGCCAACGCGGCACCCACCGACACGCGATCCCTGGACCAACTCAAAGCGAGCTCTGGTCCCGTCCAAGTTCAACCTCCTCCTCAGATGATGATGCATCATTCTCATGCCCCGTATCAGCAACCACTGGGCCATCACCCGTCGTTCGTACATCAGCCCATGCTCCATCAAGCGAGTCCTCCCGCCATGATGGCGCCCGCGATCGCATTTGGCGGCGTGCAATACCAACAACCCCAACCCCTGCATCACCCCCGACGTGCGGCCCCCGGCCTGGCGACGCCTGGATTCTTGTAATCCGTTTTTTATTGTAACTACCACGATATTCCTACGTCATGGTGTGTTAACCTACAACTGGCTCGTACAATATACATCGGAATCGCAGTAGACATATCGCATATCCGGGATAAGTCATTGAGAGTTATCCTAATCGTATGCTGTACGTCACTTGCTCTAGAATCATAGGTCATGGCCATGCTTCGACAGGTCGATTGTTGTTGGTTTCTTTATGAGGACGCTTAATGTATGTACATCACATGTCCTAACTCGATAAATGGGGTGGTGAGTGCGGCAAGATCTCGTCAATGTAGGGTCGGGTCGAGGGCTTCGGTGAGCTTGGGGTCGGTAAAACTCGGTCGTCGTTTGGCTTTCGTGGACAAATTCCGGTCGTCGGGGGTCATGGGGTGCACGGGGGGGATGCGCGACCGACCCTTGTCGGTCTTGCTGTCTTTAGGGGTGAGCACCGCGTCTTTTGACGACCCCATGGAGCCGCGCTTGGCGTTGGTCGGGGACTGCAGTGCCGACGCCGCCGGCGCACCGTGCTTTTCGACGTGCTTGTCGGACCCTTTGGATGTATTGAGAGGCGGTATGGACAGCTGGCCGGAGCGGGGGCTCTTGTGCTTGGGCAGGTCGTGGCTCCGAACGGTGCGCTTCGAGCTGCCTCCGTTGGGGGGATGGGACACCACCGTCGAAGGGGGCGACTGGGGCACGAGGTTGGCCAGAGGGGGCACAAGGGGGACCGCGCCCCCTCCCCCCCGCCCTTTTACGTCCTCCGACAGGGGAATCGACGCCGTGTCCGGCTCTTTCTTGAGCGTGAACGACTCACACCCGTCGCCATCGTCGTCGCCGTCCTTGATAGGCGACGACATCATCGTCAACGAGTCCAAGCCAACCGACCCCGCTTTGCCTCGGATCCACGGATGACTGAAAATGTCTGGGATCGTCGCGCGCTCGATGGGGTCCAGCTTGAGCATCCTTTGGATCAAGTCTACAACTTAACTGTCGAAACAACGATGATCGGCGGTATGTGTTACCGGCTACGTCTGCGCTCAAATGGTCGTCGAGTTTGTACTGGGCCCGCATGATTCGATTTCGAATCACATTTTCCCGCGGCCGGTTGGACCCCTTCAAGTCGGAACCCTCGAACGGCAATCGACCGCATACAATGGCAAAGAGAATCACGCCCAGACTCCACACGTCCAACGGTGGTCCTGATGAGGTGGACATGTCGAGATGTGTGTTTGTTGTCTAAGTAACGTACCTGCGTTGGACGTCCCTCGAAAGACTTCTGGAGGCAAGTACGAAATCGACCCACACGTTGTTTTGGCCATGGCCCCTACAGAATGATAAGCCCCCCTCACTCCCCCCAACCATTCGGCTCGTACCAGGGCGATAAAAGTCACTTAGCCCAAAGTCGGCGATTTTGACGCTGTTGAGGTCGTTTTTGCTACACGTGGCCAGTATAAAACGGACAGAATATAAATGGTCGGGGGAGGGTGGAACGTACCTTTGCAAGAGGATGTTTTCGAGCTTGAGGTCGCGATGGCAAATGTGTTGGTTGTGGGCGTATCCGACGCCCGCCAGAATCTGGGAAAACACCAACGCCCCTTCTTCTTCGGACACGCCGCCTGGGGGCAGTTGCGCTAAGTGATGAAACAAGTCGCCTCTACACATGCCCCCCCCCGTCTGATTAACTCGATCCTCCGACACAGGAAGAACATGTTTGGACGCGAACCCTTCCAAGAGCTCGAACACCAAAACAACGTGGTTGGGCTCGTTAAATACGCGAATCAATTTGATGATGCTCGGGTGATTGAGGGCCTAGGGGCCACAACAACGTGGCGTTCACGACACGTCTTGTATCGAGATAGGCGCGTACCGTAAGGCATTGGATTTCCGTGGTCGTGCGCTCGACGTCACCCAGGGAGCCCATCTCGTTCTTCAAGATGAACTTGAGCGCTACTTTTTCGTTGGTGAGCTGGTGCACTCCCAGTCGAACCTGGAATCAACATTTTGCTCAGCTTGTGTTCGCGACAGTGTGTTGTTGGGTACCTCGCCAAACCCGCCCCGCCCCAACAACGACGTGACGCGGTACCCCCCCACGACACCGCCAGCCCCCAAGTCTTCTGCATTGCTGTGGTCTTCGTTGCCAGGGATTTTAAACGGCGCCCCCGTGGAAAAGAACAGCATGTCGCCCTCTTCGATGCACATGAGGTCATCGATTTCCACTCCTAAATCAGGTTTAGACATGCAACGTATTATAGTCTTGCGAAATAGGCACCGTCGGAATTGAACACTCGAGAGGCCATCGGCACCATCTCCAGTCGCTGGGAACACGAGCACAAAAAGTCATCCCACGACCAGTGCAGTTGCACAAACAGCGCTAGGACAGAGACACGGTCACGAAGCGTGTCGACGGATGACGTGGCAGTATGTGTACATTTGGGGTTTTCGAAGCACCCGTTTTTGTACGCTTTGATGGGGCGACCTTGCACTTCGTGCTCGTTGAAGTCGTCCAAGTCCCCAAAGTCAGCCATGGACGCAACGGTGGCTGATGCTCGGGCGGTCGTTCTCGCGCCGCGTGTGAAGCTTGACCAGTACTGAGCTTAAAATAGGAACATAACCACCATTATTTATTCATGGGGGGGTTGGCAGGTGCAATGTGGAGGGATCGGGGGGGAGGGGGGTTTCGCCAGCTAAGAATACACTACCCTAACGTTACTGACCCAAAGTGAACAAACACCTCCGCGCGCGACCGTCAACCAGATAATAGTGCTATATATCCCAAGTGGATTATAAACAGGAGGGGCTTGGCAACATCCATAATATAACGTTCATGGCGAGGATACGAAGCTTGCAATTTATATTACTCGACTGTGTGGTGTATGCATATAACACATTTCAAGTTTGAGCTAAGTAAGATGCTAAACAAGGGAGCTTCGACGCTTGGTCAGTGGGCGCTTGAACGCGTTGACGACGCGAATTTGAGTAGTCACACGGGTGACCCCCCGCAAAAATACATCGGTGCCGGGAAGGGCCAGATTTTCCGGCTCAAAGCCCAGCGCCACGGGCACGGGTACGAGGCGGAGGAGCAGGCCGAGGGGCAGCGAGACGGCGCCGAGGCCGACGCAGAGGAGCCACTGGGTCGCGTCCAGCTCGTGACATCCAAACACCACCGACCCGAACTGGACGATGAAATACTGCATCACGACTTGGAAGATCGAGATGCCGACGTAGAGTTTGTTGGCGAAGATGCCTTCGAACACGTTCAGCTCGTCGTGGATGCGGCGCGAGTTGATTTCGTTGAACACTTGCATGAACACAAACGTGTTGAAGATGAGCGTGTAGTGCACGGACGGGTCGTTGGACATACGGTCCCCCTTGCGCCCGGACGGAATGCCCAGAATCCAGTCCCCTGCAAATGCCAGGGTCAGGAGGACTGTCAGCTGGTACACGCCTTGGCCGAGAATGTGTTTGGTCATGGTCTCGGAAATGAGGGGCTTGGTGCGCGGGTACGGCTTGCGCTCGAGCATGGCCTGCGTGGGCGAGTCCGTGGCCAGCGCCAACGATGCAAATGTGTCCATGATCAAGTTGACCCACAGCAACTGAATGGCCGTGAGCGGCGATTCCTCTAAGAACACGGCGCCGACAATGGCAATCGTGATCGCGACCAAGTTGACGGTCAGCTGAAACTGGAGGAATTTCGAGATCGAGTCGTATACGTTGCGGCCCCACTTGACTGCATTCACGATCGACCTGAAGTTGTCGTCCATGAGAATGATGTCCGACGCGTCCTTGGCCACCGCCGTGCCGCAGATCCCCATCGCAAACCCGACGTCCGCCTTCTTCAAAGCCGGGGCGTCGTTCGTCCCATCGCCCGTCACGGCCACCACCTGGGGCCCGTACGTCTTGACGTCAGACTGAATCAACCCTGTCACAAGCGTGTGCTTGTCCTTGGGACTCGACCGAGCCAACACGCGGAGATGGGGCCAGATCTTGTCAAACTCGTCCTGAAGGAAGTTGCCGTTGTCGTCGTGCACCCGGGCGCGGAACGTCGCGCCTTCCATGACGATGGACTTGTCACCGGGCGCGAGAATCCCGCACTTGAGCGCAATGGACTTGGCCGTGGCAATGTTGTCACCCGTGACCATGCGTACGACGATGCCGGCTCGGTTGCACTGGCGGATGGCATCGGGCACTTCGTCGCGCACCGGGTCTTCGATCCCGACGATGCAAATGCACGTCAGGTCCTGCTCGATGTCGTCGTCCGACCACTGGGACGCATCCTTGATCTCATCGACGGTGGCGTCCACGTCACGGTACGCCAACGACAGCGTGCGGTAGGCTTGACTGGCGTACTTTTCAATCACGGATGCATTGACCTTGTTTTTTTCGGCTGTTGAGAAGGATGATGTGGTTCCGTCCAAGTTGAGCTGCGACGTGCACAAGCCCAAAACGATTTCACTGGCGCCCTTGGTGAAGACTCGGACCTTTGTATCGGACAACGGCACGACCACGGACATGCGCTTCTTGGCGCTGCTGAATGTGATCATCCGCACCAGAGCGTTTTCCTTGCGAACGTCGGCGTATTGTACGCCGAGGTCGGCGGCAAATTGGAGCAGCGCACATTCGGTCTTGTTGCCCGTATGTTCTGGCTGCCCCCCCACTTGCTTGGGCGGGAGAATCTCGGCCGTCGAGTTGAGGCAGATGCTCTTGGTGAGAATATCCTTGGTGTCAGCGCTAACTTGGAGTCGGAGCGACGCCGCCGACATGAACGCGGACTTCCCCACAAACGATTCCATGACCGTCATGCGGTTGGTGGTGAGGGTACCGGTCTTGTCGGAGCAGATGGTGGTGGCACTGCCCATGGTCTCGCACGCGTCCAAGTGGCGCACCAAGTTGTTGTCCTTGAGCATCTTCTTGACGGAAAACGCCAGTGCGATCGTCACAGCCAGCGGCAGGCCTTCCGGGATGGCCACCACGAGCACCGTGACCCCGAGGATGAAGTGGTTGAGGTAGTCCTTGAGGTACTCGTTGCTCCAGGCATCGCCTTGGATCCAGAATTTGACGACCGAAAACCGAACCACCATGGCCACAAACACAAACAACGCCGTGTACATGCCAAGGGATCCAATCATCACGGTCAAGTTGTCCAGCTTGCCTTGGAGCGGCGAAACGACTTCGTCTTCGTCGTTGTCGGTGGCGGGCTCGACGGGACCTGATGATTTTGCCAGCAACGGCGTAGACTCAGACACGATGGAAGATGTGTCGTCGGCTTTCGAGGACGGGCCCTTACCAGCGATCAACTGGGTGATTTGACCCGCCTGGGAGTGCTCCCCCACGCAAATGACGAGCATCTTGCCCACGCCTTCCATGACCTTGGTGCCCGACAGCAGGAACGGCGCCGTTTGGCGGTCCTTTTTCATCAAGAACGACTCGCCCGTCATGGCGCTTTCGTCCAGCTTCAAGTCGCTTTCGTCAAACACCAAGCCGTCTGCAGGGATGATGTCGCCGAGGTCCACACGGACAATATCCCCCACGACCAAATTGAACTTGCTCACTTCAGCAGGCACGCCGTTGCGAATGACTTTGATCTTCTCGTCTTCCTTGACCGCATTCAGCGCGCGGAATTGTTGCTCCTTTTGGTAGTCGTTGATGGCCGTGACAAAGGTCACGATCAGCACGGCGAACAAAATCGATGCGCCTTCGATCCACGTGGAGTCCGTGTCGTCGTGGCCACCGGCCGTTGACGTCGATTTGGGCATGGGAATGAACCCGAGGACGAGGGAAATCGTCCCCGCACATGTCAACACGATAATGGTCAAGTCATTGAACGCCTGCCACATCAATTGAAACAACGTGAGCGGCTTGTCGGCCTCGATGTAGTTCCTCCCGTACTTGGCTTCGCGGGCGGCGAGGTCCGCAGCATCGTTTGTGTCCAGACCTTGTTCCAACGTCACATTCAAGCTATGGGCCACGCCCTCTACACCTCCGAGCTTTTCAAGGGCCGCGGCGGCATGTTCCTTCTTCGTCTCGACGAGATTGCTCAGCGCCTGCGTCGTCAACGCCATCGTAGGTGAAAGGAAGTGAGGGGCAAAGGCGGCACGCCACAGATTTCCCCTTTTTTGCCTGTGCAGGTACGTGGATGAGAGTGACATGGACTAGAGTATATGGCTGTTTGTATACGAGAGTGGATTCTAGTTCACTGTCGAGGATTGCATCCATATCTTGATCCAGTAGCCAATTGACATCAATCAAAGCGCATGCTTTTATCCAATCCGTGAATGCCACAATTACATGAATGTTCTAGTGACTGGGTTGTATCGACTCCTGCGCACCACCGCACCCGGTGCTACTGTACTCCTACTGTACGTAGTAGCACTTGGATGGGGTGCTTCGTCAGCCAGCAGATTGCACCTGCCAGTCTCACTGCACTCAATGTTGACACACCTATTACTGTATTAGAGAAGTATCTGTACTAACGTTAATGTATACTAGTACGTAAGTTATAGTACTTCAAAGTGAACACACTTCAACTGTCTACAAGCAAAAATGATGTTGAAGATCGCAGCTGTAACAAGATGCAGATTGGCGTTTGGGGGAATGACAATCGATGAAGCGTTTGGTCTAAGATAAAAGTTGGTCGTGGTGCTGCTGCTGTGAGGTATCATGGATGTCATTGTAAATTATGGTCTGTATGTGGATTTCAAGGGTAGTTGGAAGCAGATCTGCAACTACACCTCAGCTAAGCTGTCTGTCATTCTGCTGCTTCCACAGTGTAGCTAACGTTACAATATCGAATCTCCGTGACGTAGCTAAAGCTCGTAGGTACGTGAATTTAAATTATTAATAATACAATCGTGTACTTGCCGAACGGAGAAATGTCGCATTTGCACTTACCCAACGGATTAACTCTGCTGATTGGCTAGAACTTGAAACGGACATGCAATGTAGCCAATCCATGTGCAGACACTATTAACTGTAAAGTAGCATGTTGGGGTACCGTATGTTAGTTGGCTAACGACATTAACAGTACTTACTGGAAGGCATCGACAATAACGTTAATAGGGAGATTTCGCAATTCACTGTCAATCCGTGTTCGCGTCCGTGAGAAAAATGACACGGCCACCGACATGGATTAAATTTAGACGATTTCGCTGTATAAATAGATTTCCGCGTCCGGAATAAACATAAGGAATCTGCTACTTCGAAGTACTTGCAATAATGCTGTACTAGTACTTGTCATGGTTGTCAAGCGTTCTCGCTTCGCGAAGCCTGCCCGTCATCGCAGACTTCTGCTCGCACATTCCTACCGTCAGTCAACACCATCCAAATACACAGAATCCTTCTGGAACTTTTCGTGGTTGTGGAGGATCAGGTGCAACCTGTGCGATGTTTTCTTGCCGTCGACTTCGAGCTCCTGGCAAGAGAAGCCAGGAACTTTAAGCAAGTTGCACGCGAGCACTCCCCAAGACTTCATTACTCGAGTGGTTGGCCTTTATCCACAGCGCCAAGTCATCCTCGCTTCTCAACCTCCTCATACTGTAGCACACGAAACCACCCTACTGTTCGGATAACCTCTATTTCTTATGATTATCCGAATCCGTGATTGCTGCTCTTTTCACGGATTCCGATATAATGTAGTTTTTCCGTTATTGTACTAGTATTAATAATTACTAACTGTGAGGGTAATTATTCCGGAAACGGACACGGATTACTTTGCGAAATCTCCCTAATGGCGTACACTTGCATGCGATGCTCTATGCCATTCCTTCGTGATGGACGCGTTCAGTAGTAGTACACGGACACTGCTTTGCGTGCGCATTTTACTTCACAGTGTAATCAGTATTAGTAGTACTGTACGTAAGAGTAAGGCCTTCACCCCGGTAAAGTGTCCATGCATGTGATCAAAAACACTATACGTATCGTCAAGTTAGTTCGCGGAGGCTAAGCTCTGGCGATGTAACTATGAATAAACCTTGGGAGTTCAAGGTTACAGGGCTACAGGCTAACATTCACTGCAAGACCGACATACATGTAGCAAAGCAACACTCATGGATTTGAATCGTCGTTCATGTAAATAGCTGTGGTGTCTCTACTCGAATTGGGACAATTTGCGCTGCGACAGCGTTCGCTTGAACGCGCGGATGACTCGGATTTGCGTGCGCAGGCGCTTAAAGCCTCGGATCCACAATTCCTTGGTGCGGTCCGTGGGGACGTGGGTCACGGGGGCTGTTTCTTGGCATACTGTGAACGAAGCAGGAAGGGTGATTAGGCGAAGGAGCAAGCCCACGGGCAGCGACAACGCCCCGATGACCAGACAGATGATCCACTGGGTCACGTCCAAAGGCACACAGCTAAACACGAGCGACCCAAACTGGACGATGAGCACTTGGAACACCACTTGGACGACCGAAATGCCAAGGTAGATGGGGTTGGCGAAGATGCCCTCGAACACGTTCAGCTCGTCGTGGATGCGGCGGGAGTTGATTTCGTTGAACAGCTGCAGGAACACAAACGTGTTGAAGACCATCGTGTAGTGCACGGACGGTCCAGTCGTGCCAACCGGGCGGTCATACTTGCGGCCCGAATCAATGCCGAAGATCTTGTCCCCGGCAAACGTCATGGTGAGAATCACCGTCAACTGGAAGATGGCTTGGCCGACAATGTGCTTCAACATGCGCTCCGAAATGAGGGGCTTGGTGCGCGGGTACGGCTTGCGCTTGAGCATGGCTTCCGTGGGGGCGTCCGTGGCCAGCGCCAACGACGCAAACGTGTCCATGATCAAGTTGACCCACAGCAACTGAATGGCCGTGAGTGACGACTCTTCCAGCACCACCGCGCCAATCACCGCCGTGGAAATAGCCACCAAGTTGACCGTCAGCTGAAACTGGAGGAACTTGGCGATCGAGTCGTACACGTTGCGGCCCCACTTGACCGCACTCACGATCGACCGGAAGTTGTCGTCCATGAGAATGATGTCCGACGCGTCCTTGGCCACCGCCGTGCCGCAGATCCCCATCGCAAACCCGACGTCCGCCTTCTTCAAAGCCGGGGCGTCGTTCGTCCCATCGCCCGTCACGGCCACCACTTGGGGACCATGCGGATACACGTTCGACTGAATCAACCCAGACACCAGCGTGTACTTGTCCTTGGGACTCGACCGAGCCAACACGCGAAGCATGGGCCAGATCTTGTCAAACTCGTCCTGCTTGATGTTGCCGTTCGCGTCCAACACGCGAGCGCGGAACACGGACCCCTCCATCACCAGCGACCCGTCGTTGGGACTGATGATTCCGCACTTGAGCGCAATGGACTTGGCCGTCGCGATGTTGTCGCCAGTCACCATGCGCACGACAATACCCGCTTCGTTACACTGGCGAATGGATTCCGGCACTTCTTCACGCACCGGGTCTTCGATCCCGACGATGGAAATGCACGTCAGGTCCGTCTCAATCTCCTCGTCCGACCAGTTCTTGACCACTTCTGGGGTCACATCCACGTCACGGTACGCCAGACACAACGTGCGGTAGGCTTGCGACGCATACTTTTCGATGATGTCATTGTTGACAGCGTTGCGCTCCGTAGCGCCAAACGCGGACGTGGTCCCGTCCAAGTTGAGCTGCGACGTGCACA